TACGCTTTGAGCACGGAACGGTTCGCTTTGTGGACGGTACGGTACGCTTTGTGAACGGAACGGTTCGCTTTGTGCACGGAACGGTACGGTTCGTTTCTGAGGTGTAGTAGCACGGTTTAGGGTCTGTAAAAAGTCAGCAAGTTTCACCTTATCAGTTCGATCAGTTGCTTTACATATTCTCCCGAATACCGAAGAATGAAGACGTTTGCAACGTTCCTCAAACCAAAGGTCGTTGGCCGCTTGTGTAGCTGTTTTTATCATAACTTGACGTGCATTCTCCTCTGAAATTTCTGATACATTTAAAAGTTTCAAATGATTTTCACTAAACGTGTCTTTTAGATAGTCATGGTCCAGGTTGTAAGCTTTCATGTTTACAGGCTCATACAGCTGAAAAATTGGAGTCTTACTAATACCTGGGTAATTCAAGCACACATTTCTAAAGTAAGACTGGTATCCCGGATTGCCTCTAAATTCAACTGGACGAGGGTCATAGTCATTATTGCATACTTCGTCACAGCCTGGCATGTCCAACTGTCTTGCTTTCATAGGGCTTCCTTTATGGGGCTTAGCACGATGAAAAGTTTGTAACCTCTGTGTGCAGGTGAGTTCTGTTTTGTATGTCCCATGCTTAACAAAATCTGCACATGAAAAAAGTACAGCACAGACATGCTTGCAATGTGCATCGGGTCCCATGCCTGCCGCACATTCACACTGAGACTCTATAACACTTCTGTCTTTTCCTATCATAATGTCAACAACATATTTCACAGACTTCATCATTGAAGCTTTTACACTACTTCTAACGAACCAATTTGAATCATGAAATGTCACCCTCACATACTGGATAAACCCATCGTTGTACATATCCCTTCCTTTCTTATCAGTTGTCTTATTAAACTTCGACAAGAAAGTGGAAATTTCTGCCTCTGTGCAACCTGGAAAGGTCTTGTCACCATGAAGGTCCTTGTAGAGTTGTGGATCTGGCGTCATCATCATAAATTCAGGTCCATAAACATCGGTCTTAGCACAATGTGCATTTCTTCTGTAGGCTTCAAGTCTGCAATAAAATAAGCATATTTAATTCTTTTTCATGTATATTTTGAGTGAAACATAGCTGCAACAATCAGGAAATAATAATACTGCTTCATAATAAAAATGTAGAGAAGTATTCTTATTTTACTGCAAGCACCAAGCAATATGAGATCGATGTTAGAATTACCGAGGAAATTCAAGTTAAAAATCTAACACGCTAAAGTTGCAGATTATTTAAGAATTAGTTTCTTAAACGAGGTAATTCTGATATTTACTGTCAATTTGACTTAATGTTAATCTTTTACACACCATTGATAATTATTTACTGTGTTATTAATAATGTTTACTTGGATTTGCATGAAAACATCGTATGTTTATTTACCTCTCCACAAGTTCCCACTTCCTTCCTGATTTCTTTGCTCCAAGCTTTTCTAACTCGTTCTTAAGTTCAGGTATAGTCATATCACCACAATTAGATGCCATAGTAAATTAAGGATTGTAACTGAAACGTGTGTGCTTTCCGATATCGTATTCGAGAATGGATGCTGATTATCCATCTTCACAGGTTTTATCACTTTTGTAATGGACCGCATTTTCCTGTGGCGCCCCCTACCGATACAAGATAAGATAACCGACTCCGGTTCCCCATTAATCTTGTTCTCAGTTTTGTTAAAATATATTCATATTCTAATCTTACATGACATACTGTGTGAAGCCTGCCAGTATAAAACTATAGATTTGTGAGCCCATGTGGGGGTATATAATAAATCAGTATACAACCTCTCCTGCAGAGTGGGGATATAAAAAGGGAGGAAACTGCTTCTTTTCATAATACTGCTTTTATAGAAAAGAAATAAACATGACATTGGAATGTATGCTCCACTTAAACAGTGACATTTTTTGAAAATACAAGAAATCAATTTAGAAACAATTTAGAATACACATATTCTCTAAGGAAAACAGATGCTCTGCTTTAAAAAGAAATTCTGCTAAAATTTGTTCCTTCATATTCTCTCATTTGATGTCAGCTTGGTTTCCTCAAATTACATCACATTTCTTTATGTCCTTTTGTATAAGTTTGAAAAGTAGCTCAGCCTTGCAGTTTGCAGTGGATTTTAGTAATGATCTTTAGAAAACCCTCTCTATATCCATTTTGCACTAGTGACAACTTTTACTGGATCTTCTTTTCTTTCTGTTCTTTTTCCTACTTTCTTTTTTTCATGTAAAAATTACTTCCTGTCCACTGGGAATTTTTTTTGGGGGGGGGGGGCTGTGTGTCCTCTGCCCTGGTCATTTCTATCTGTTCACATGAAAATTAAAAAAAAATTCCATTAATTTTTGGTCAGTTTGGATAAAAATTCATTAAAAATTATTCTAAAAACTTAAAACTAGAATCTTACAACTTTGCTATATATAAAACATATACATTTTCAACCTCTAAACATTATTATCTCCCTTTATGTATTGTCATGGCAATCATGTCTTAAGTCACCATGAATCCATGTAACTTAATACACAATACATGTACCTGTCTGATCTCCTTGCTAGAGGATCTGTTATCCTAAGAATCTTCATTAGGAAAATCTTGCAAGGGCTGCAATGATCTGTGAATTTAAATTATTTTTTTAATTTGAAAGTTTGGGTTAAAATCCTAAACATCAAATATATATTATTACATGTACCTGAATGTTATCCTGAAAACTTTCTGAATCATGAGGAATGATTGATAAAGGAGGGGATTCAATGTTGTCATCAAGCATTTCTTTTTTCAATTTACACAGTTAAAGCTTTTCTGTGGTTTGGACAAATTGCCGAAGATCTAGAGTAGAAATGAATTTGACAACAATTAATTTTTAAAGTGGTAAATGAAATGTTATTATATCATAAATTAATTGTAATAAAAACATGCATGTTTTATGAATACTACATGTAATGTGGTATAATTTATTTTGTTCTTTAAATTGACTTTAATGTGACTATTTTTAATTTGTACAATATGTCCTTGACATGTAAAGTACACAGCATCAAAATGATCTCATCTGTACAGATCAATACTGTAAACTAAAACTATTCATAAATGTGTGCAAGATTGATATGCCTGCAATATATAGCTGAAAAACAGTGATCAGTAAAATAAAATTATGAGACAGAAAGCTGCATCTTAGAAAAGTCAATAAGGTGTGCTTCATGACAATAATAATTAATTAATTTATAGGAACTCCAAGTACAAATGAAATGGAGTTATCACATTCTAACACCCTTGGATAGATTTCTTTACCTACTTTACAATACATTACCTTGCAAAGCAAATACCTTAATTGTATCAAGGTCCCAAAAATGATTTCACATAGTATGACAAAGTATATGTACTCAGATCTAGAACACTATTAACAGCTGTAAATCTGTGTGTCTGCATGTACTGAGTTAATTTTCATAATTTTACACTTACACTTTTTTTTATCAATTCTTTCAAATATCCTACGGTCCTGATATTGCTTAAAATTTCAAAAAATCTAACCCACTATTCAGTTATCATTGTCAAAAGTCAAAGGTTTAATTTTTCCGTGGCATGATTTTTACAAATCCTGTTTGTTAAAATAGAATGGACACAAACATATTATCACTTGGAAAAATAATTTTATACAAACAATTTTCTTCAAATATACTGAATTTTATAGAAAATGAAATACCGGTACCCACATATATTTCACAGTAGTATATGATTCAATGTCATGTACATGTAATATGTGCAACTGTGCATCCAAGTTTTCATGGGTTTTTTTGTTTTTATTGTATTATATTTTAATATACAGTCAGTTACCAGGTACATGAGACAACTGAATAGAATTATAAATAAAAAATACTTACACATTGCAATGGGGGCTGGTCGGGGACTACCACACCACTACATGTATCACTCGATCTCTATTTCAAAGACATCTTGAAGGGAACAGTTAAAATCCTCTCGACTTTGGCCCCATACCACTCTGATTTCCTCATATTTTCCTTTCTATGAGTAGCTATATGTGTAATACTCATCATGTCCAGATCAACCTTTTGGTATGTCTTAAAGATTATCCCTACTTTGTTAAGTGTTTTTCATCAAATTCTGAGTCTCTTGGGGTAGAATTTTCCTGAACAAGATGTTTCAAAACAAGAAGAAAAAATGCAGCTTTTATTGTCTGCCATCTTGTTTACATTTTACACATTTCGTATTCTTCAATGCCGAAGAGCTCCAACAAGGGAAATAACTCGGATAGAGAAAAAGCACATTTAGACCAACTTTATAGTGTAATAAAATGTTTATTTTTCATTTACCCATAAATGTTTTAAATGATATTTGCAAAATAACATTTCTTGAATCTAAATCTTCCTACTAGAATTTTCACATCACTTGTCAAAGTCTTTAAATATTAAGTCTAACAAGGGAGGTAACGAGGCCTAATTATTCACTTTTTTGGCATCAGAAAATTAGAAATTGTAAAAACTTTGTGACATACACTATTTTTTACATAGTTTTGGTTGTCAAGAAGCATATAAAAAATATGCACATAAACAGCTTTGCCTAGTAACATTTTTTTATATTATTGATAAAAAAGCAATATTCACTATAATTTACACCTTTTAGCCCCGTTTCTATGGCAACCGGGTAATCTACCATGCTTTCTTTCATATAGTCAATCTTTTCATTCATTGAAGTTTCAGTAAGAAAAAAATAAGCTGAATCCAAGACATCGCGTGGCCACGTCATTTTGATATTTATAGAGAATTGATATTAATATAATTTAATTCATTTATACTATAATACTATTTTAGTGTAAATTAAACCAAAATTATTGCATAAAAATGAAATATACAATATATATAGCACGCTGTCGAAAACATAAATCAAATGACAAATGTTAGAGGCATTAGGTTTGTCTTGTTCCGGATTTATTTCTCGTATCCAGTTCTTATCGTTATAGAATATAAGGGCAAAGGTCAACTTCAGCCTCCGAAGCCATTTTAGATTTTACATCATGGATTACGAGATAAAATAGAAGCAGGTGGCTTTTTAAATGCTTTGTGGGGTATTTTGAAACATGCCGAAACGGAAAAATCACCCTGCAGATGACTCAGATGGCGATCAGACGATCCCTCTCCCAATACAGTCGTTTTTCTGGCGACAAACAAGGTGCATATAGACAGTGATTATCATTATAATGCTATGCCGATAGATGAATATTTTACATGTATATTTATGCTAAAACCATGGATAAGATATTTTTGCACTATTTTGTGTACATTTTATGGATATTACTAAACAAGAAGTATTGATCTGTGTGAATGCATGGATTTATTTAGGAGAGAGAAATCCGAGGATTGTCTGCAGAATGCAGATATTACATACGATGAATTCAATACCTCCAGTTTGACAGTGTGAATAAAGACAAACTATTTTATTAGATTTTAAATCTCCACTTGATGAAACACTCATTATTACAGTGACATGTACCTTAATAACACTATAGTATAGCAAATAACAGAATTTTCCCATAGCCCAGATTTATCACTTTCTAATAAATAAACATAAACAATCACTCTAAGGTCAAGATCTAGTAAATGAAAGGTGCCTACAGATTTATCAAACTTGAGAAATAAATTCCTGTATTGATGCTTTACAAAATTAGCTTGGTCAAATAATGTGTTTCGGGGCATAATTTGTAGGTAAACAAGATAAAAAACTGTATTTGAAACTGTCATTTTCAATGAAAAATTAAGAAAACCAGTCATGAATATGGGAGTTTTTTTCATATTCGACAAAGGAAATGTATCCAGATTGCCTACAGTCTCTCAGAAAACAGTAATTAGTATGTTTAAAGCCTCTTCTTTAAATCAATATCAAATTTAATATAGGTATCCGGTTTACTTTTCATATGATTTCAAATTGAATGTCATGAAAATACCCTATTTTCTACATAATTCTGCTAAAGCCATAAAGTACGGGAAAAAGAAAGTTGAAATTGATTATGACGTCATAATGGATCTAGCACCAAAAAATTAGTCTAAAGTTATTTACTAGATCTTGACCTTAACTGGGGTATGAAAATCTTTAAAGAATACTGGGTTTTTTTTATATTCAATCAAGGCGATTTTTTCAAAGAAAATTGTTTTTTAAACAAATTTAAAAAAAGAAATAGGTATACAACATTCCATTTCAGGCTTATCTTAACCTACATTTATAGCAGTGTTTAGGCAATGGGGTAATCATTTTGGTACATATTGTTTTTAATCAAGATGCAAGAATGGATCCTCAGGGCTAGCTGCAGATCTGTAGCGTTATGGTTTTATATATTTGTCTTTGACCATAACGCTACAGATCCAGTAATGCAAAAATTAAAGATGCAATTTAGGCCAAGAAAAATTAATAAATAGTTTCTCAGGCCAAAAAAATCAAAATCCAATGCGGCAGGCAGGCTTTTTTTTTTTTGTTTTTTTGTTTTTTTTTGAAGCAGGTTTTAAACCTTCTTTAAGTCATCTGTTGAATGAAATGATAATAATTTACTAATTCTTAGTTTTTGTTCTCTGAAATTAGTTATAATAAGTATTCAACTTTAAATAATGTTATTCCAAACATTCCTTTAAAAGTTAATTCATAAAATACTGTAAATTTAGAAAAAATACATTGTTTTTCTAATAAAAACGTCTATCTTAGCATTTATGCAATCTGATTAAAATCAGATCCTTTGATCCGCTCACTTAGATCGCCACACAAGGATCTGAAGAAACCCCATTCAGGGTCATCTCCTGGTGACCTTTCTAATAAAAATATTCATGTAAATTTTGACCAACTAGAGAGATCGTACTTAAGCGACATTCGGGAAAACGAATATAGAAGTGAAAGTAGCTGCGGAGAAGATCTTATCGTTTCGTACAAAACAAAGGGCTAAAAAACAAGACAAAAGCAAGTACTTATGATATTACTGTACAGAAAAGACTGTGGTCCTTCTCTTGACAGGCTTCAGGAACTAGGTCACGATTTTTCCATTCGTGTATGATCGGGCCTTTCCCCTCTGTAACTGAATTCTGAGATACTTTCCAATTCTCTAAAGTAAGTATTTGATTAGATAATTCAAAGGTCACCAGGAGATGACCCTGAATGGGGTTTCTTCAGATCCTTGTGTAGCGATCTAATTTGTGAGTGGATCAAAGGATCTGATTTTAATCAGATTGAGCATTTATGAAAAGGGGAATAACTCGATTTTCTTTTTCAACTTGGAAAAATAGAAAATTGAGTTATTTCCCTTTTCAATATGTCAATAAAATTGATCAATGCGGCCGTTTTTGAACTGATGCGGCGGTGCCTGAGAAACTATTGATTAATTTTTTTGGCCTTACGGCGCAATATTTTTTGCGCACTTTTGGAGGGAATTTCTCCACTTTCCAGCATCATTCAAATAACTACCTTTCTGTCCCTAATTCTAGGCACATTATTTAACTCATCTATTTTATTCATCTCCCAACCCTTTATAGTCGTCTCTACAAGTGATAAAATCGCTTGATTAATATATATGTTTTAGAATGCTGAACATTCACCTCGAACGAGTTTATTGCCTGTAGAGACAACTGTAAATGGTTAGGAGCTGGATAAAATATACATATTGGCTACAGAATGTGTCTGGAATTAGGGAGTGAAAGGTAGTTGATACCAATGCTAGAAAGTGGGAGAAATTCTCCCCAAAAGTGGGCAAAAAATATTGCGCCATAAATTGCACCTTTTTTGCATTACGGGATCTGTAGCGTTATGGTCAAAGACAAATATATAAAACCATAACGCTACAGATCTGCAGCTACCTCATTATTCCTTTTTCAGTGCAGTTTAATGAAGAAAAATCACCAACTTGCTTTTGTTTGGTAATATCAAAGCACTGGGCAATCTTTAATATAATTTTTATTGCCATCTCCTGTCCCAGGAGAAATTATTGGGTCAGTAGTTAGGAGGAAAAAAATCTGGAAAATTTCATCATATTTGTTGATGGGATACAACCACACAATTTTTAAAGATAGCCGTTGAGGAAACTTCAGATTTGGATCTGAATTATTTTTGATAAGAGAATTTTTGTTGATACAATGTTTGAGGCAACTTATTTTCAAATTTTATATCTGCTCATATCTGCTAAAATGTCAATGGTAGCAGATTTTTTAAAAATTGAAATGTAAATATTTTGACTTGAGGTAGAGGTACCCTTTAAAACTTTGTAGAATCATTATCATATATATTGTTCATGCTTTCAGTCCTTTCATAAGGCCAAAACTAGGAAAACTATGTGAAGCTGCTTGTGTGGTAAGTGTCTGCATTTTATTGACATATACCTGCAATTCATTTATAGGTGTTTAAATACTTTAAGAACTATGTACTCTTTCCATCAATGAATGATATTCCTTTTAGATTCATCATTTTCTTTAAGTATATATTTGATTTCAGTCCTTGGAGAGAGTGGTGGTTCAGAATATTCTACATGGCCTGTCCCCCAGTCTCTGTGAAGCTATACAGAGCGTGCCCAGATGGAAGGTCATCCAGGCAGCCTTTCCTCATGTCATGCATGCATGTGCAGCTCTTATTCAGCAATGCAAGCAGAGTGATAAGGGTAAAAAAAAAACATATTTATGATTTATCCCAGTGCACTGTATTTTAAAAGTATTGATTATGATTTGAATTAAGTTATTTATGATGGAACTTTCTATGATTTTCATCTTGTTGAAATTGTTATATTTGTGAACTATTGTAGACACTGCCTTTGGTCCAAGTGAAGTAAAACTGCTGTATATTCTACACTGGATTATCCTTGATGCTGCCTCAGAGTGTGAAGATTTGGAGACGGACCCCTCTAGGAGTAGCGTCCCAGTACAGCTGCACTCACTGTGTACTGTCCAGCTCTTGGTCTACCTTCTAGCCCCAGTGATACACCTGCTGAGGGACTCAGATTTCCAGACTCTGAAGCTTGAGAATGGTCTCCGATTTTGGCAGCCATTATGGGATTTCAGACAGCCAGATATACCATGTTTCTCCACTCCTGTCAAACCACAGAGAAACATACTCAAAGCTCAGCGAAATTTGCTCAAGGTCAACACCAATGCTGCGAATATCTATGTCGGTAAAGGCACATCTAGGGAAAATCTTAACTTCTTAGCCGAGCCATCAACGGCCAGTCGCAAGTCCAGCTTCAATGATCAGCACTCTATACATGCTCCTCTGGCAAGAATGAGTGATATTTGTCCTATGTCTACTGCAGATTCACACTCTGTAAACATGGAGGTGTTATGTGAGCATTGTAACAATGTCATATCTAGCAGAGAATCGGAGGAGAAGCATTGTCAGTGCAAGAGAAAAGAAAGCACAGAGACCTTTGAACCCCACTTGTTTAACTTCCAGATGTTACCCTCCTCTGTGGATGAGGAGTTGGTGAAGCAGAGATTGGCCAGTGCTGTCACGAGTGGAATCAGAGGACCCACGGCTCCAGACATACTGAGTGCCAGCTACTTTGACATTGCTGTCTTACGCTGTCTATTCAGCCTGCATTGGTCTGAAGACGGGGTTTACTGGGCTCTGAAGTATGTTCACCAGAGACTGCTGGAAGTTTGTGATGAGTACGTCAGAAGGGATTATTCCGAGCGAGAGAGAAGTCATTCACTGCCGTTCCAAGATTTTAAGCTCTTAAGAAGTCAGAGTATCCCATCACATGGAATAGAAAAATCTATTGGAAAATTAAAGAGTGGCCTAAAGAAGCCTTCCTCTAGACTTGAAACAATTCCAAGTGCCGGGGAAATTTCTCCATTGCTGGAGCATAAGTTGCGGTCAAATCAGGAGTCAGATGCTGCTACTGACCATGCATCAAAGAAAATCAAAACTTCTGGTGCAGAAGAAAATAAAAGCCAGAATGCCAAAGAAATGAAACCCTTATTTTATCTCTCTGGGTCTCCCACCAAAGAGGACAGTCACCACAGCCAGCTGACCAATGAATTCCTGAACTTTGAAAAAATGAGAAAGAAAGGACTGAGGTATAATGACAGAATTTATGAACAATATCTGACAAAGAGAGATGACTCTTCAAGTACAGCTGCACCAACTACACAGGACTCGGATCAGGACCCCAGTAGTAAGGGCCAGAAAACTGTGTCATTCCCACCCTTTCTCACCAAAAGGGAGACAACTGAAGCTAAACCGAAGCATTTAGGTTCTGACCGGGATTCGTTGATGACGAGTAGTCACAGTTCTTCGTCTTCACAGTTGGGTGATTCCAGCCATGCAGAGACTCGGACGGGTACAGAGGGCCGGTCAGATGTCATGTCATCTGAGGACGAGAAGCAGAAACCAATGATAATGGTCACAGAACATAATGTCTGGGATCGACAGAGGATCAGGAACACAATCAGTAAACCCACAGAAACTGCCAATGGAATCAGGGACAGGAAAGGGGATATATTTGAGAGGAATAGTGCCAACTGGTTAAAAGACAATGCTCAGAGAGATAAAGTCTCAGCTATGTTTTTCATAGATGAGCTGCCTCAGAATCAAAAGAATGAGAAAGAGAATTCCCTTCCTCGCAGTATGACTGACTCGGACATTAACTACAGCCACGTGGAGGAGGTCCATGAGGTGCCAGGGTCTGTCCATTATATACAGGACAATGGTCACCTCAACTACAAAGTCATACTACAGGCCATTCACTTTAATGCCCTAAACCAAGCCACACCGAGAGTGTGTGAGGTTCTGTTGAACATCATCAATTGTCTGCTGGACCTGGACATTGTAGAGAGGAAGCAGGACGTCAAGGTACCGGACTCTCCGGAGAGCAAGAAGACGGAGGAGGACAGTACGAAAAGTACGACGTCCGACTCCTCACAGGAGCAGTCCGCCCATGGACTCGCCATGGACAGCTTGTTCAGGTATGGCCAGTTATAGTTTCAGGGTCTACTTGATCAAACCATATCAACTATAATGTACATGTCAGAGAGAATTGTGTCACATTTTGAATTTACCATTCTTTATATCACTTCATTAATGAGAAATGTAATTATATGGTAATTTATGAATATTTTGTTCTACATTACAAGCATTTTTAAAGCTCTTGGCTGTCCTAATGGTTGTGGAGATGGTTTAAGGGGTAGTTATGGTGACCACTTAAGGTTAAAAGGTCACAAGTGTCTACAGAGACTACAGCAGATCAACTCAGTGTTGTTCAGAGTTTACCTGAAGGAGACGGTGGAGCGATGCTCAATACAGGAGACTGTCGACTTCTTACACGCACTGCTGGGCTTCTGCTCAGATCCCACACTGATTCTCCAGCAAGGCCAAGGTCAAGGTAATGTGTGCATGTCAGTGTTTGACTGTTTGTCTGTGTTGAATTGTAACAAAGTACCGGTATTATGCATTACCTCCATGTCTCTTCTAGTAATTCAATGTACAGTAGTAGCTTTTTTTTACTTGTCTTGACTTAAGATCATGATTATGATTATTATTTTTAATAGAAAGGAAGAGGTCCTGTACCCAGCAGGACCCCCCAGTGAATGGTTTCCATAACAACTTTGGTCACAGTATAGGAGGAGTGGGCTATAGAGGGGAGGAGGGTGTACTTATTGCCAACATCCTGAAACCCTTTGTCTCCAAGTGTGTGGACAATGCGAGGGAACTGTATGGAAGTGACAATATAGTATGTATCATGGTTTATATATCTGTTTAAAGCATTTGATTTCTCAATATCTGTGAAAAAAATTGAATGAAATTTTAAAGCAGTATAAGCCTATTTGAAAATGTGTCAATGATCATATATTTTTTTTCCATATTTTAACTGAGTCTTACATTTTTACCTGCAACAGCCACAAATTATATCTACTTTCAGTGCTTGTTCTGTGATATTCGTCAGTTAATGACTTACGTTAAAGAGATCCATGGAGGAACATTCAGGCGGGTGGAACTGAGTGGATTGTTAGATTCTACAATGAAACTGAAAAAGCAGGAAAAGGAATCCAAAGTCAGATCATCAATAGGGATCAGGTAGGTCTGAGATTAGCTGTAGTATTCAGGTATTAAGGTATGTCTTGAGACTGTCTGAGACAATGTGGAAAATTGAGATTTGAGATTTTAATGGATGCTAGATTTCAATGTTGTGGTATTCTGTTGTATAGGAGAACAACATCCCAGACATCTGAGAGTGGAGATGATATCGGGAAAACCTCGACAACACCTAATGAAGATCCTCCCAGTCGAACTAAAGGAAGGAAATCCCTATTCAAAAAGAAGCTCAAAAAGGTGGCCACAGCTAAGATTCCAAAGAAAAAAATGATACCATTAATACTGTAAATCACAGATTGTGAGAAATTATTATCTGAAGCCACAAGTGAAGTCATGCAAATTAAATCAGAAAGAGGACAAAATATTTTCTCATCTTTAGTAAAATTTTCTAGCTGAAATACTGTTAACTAATGGTATTAATTTTTCAGTCCCTAGCTCTTCAGCCTTATGCCACAGCCAGTGACTCAGAACTCCTGGAGGATTCTAAGAACAAGAATGCCACGACGGATGACGAGTCGGTACCTAACACCTCCAGTACTGGAAGGAGACGATTCAGCAGGTTCCATTTAGGTAGGGAATCTACACAGGTTCTTGTTATTATAAGGAGAGGGGGGTATACTGTTTTACCCTTGTGTGTCTGTCCGTCTCTCTGTCTAGCTGTCTGCCTGTCTGTCCGCCCGTAACAAATTTTCGTAGCAATTTTCTCAGCAACTACTTATTGCATATGCTTGAAATTTTAGCACATTCTTTGCTGAGGCATGCCATATGGTGGGATTCATTTTTCTGCAAATCCAGTGCAGGGCTCGACATTAACTTTTTTTCCTACTTGTCCATTCGGACAAGTGACCAAGACATTTACTTGTCCGAATTTCAACTTCACTTGTCCGAAAAATTTTCAATAAAGGTCAATAGTTTCAACTTGAAAATTAAAATAAAGTCCATTTATTTACACATGTCATGCGCTTGATTGATTCTTGATGTTATTGATAAATGCAACAGGCACATAAAATGAAATTTAATTTAGGCTTTCTGTCCTGACAATAACATAAAAATCCACAAGTGAACCTGTCAGCAATCAAACAATTCACACTTAGGTTCGTATCATGAACCTCGTATCTTCCATGACTTTTCAGTAGTATGCAATTAGTGAACTTCGATCCTGATCGAATGTGAACTCAATATTAATATAGCGATACATATCGGGATCAAAGTTTAGATTTCATGTACAGCTTCCGTCTTGAGACTAACGATTTAGCTTTCAACAGTTGTTCTTTTTATTATTTAGAGACCCCTTTACATTAAAATGCACTTGTCCAATCGGACAAGTGCCCAGCAATATTTACTTGTCCGTATTTATTTTTCATTGGTACTGGACAAGCGGACAAGCGTTAATGTCGAGCCCTGCAGTGTCAACTCTCTGTTCATCTGTGTGTCTGTCCATACCATGCATAAAAAATTTTCGTCGCAGTTTTCTTAGCAACTTCTCATTGCAGATGCTCGATTTTTAGCACATTTTTTCCTGAGGCATACCATATCATGGGATTCATTTTTGTGCAAATCCGATGTCAGCTTCCTGTTTATCCATGTGTCTGTCTGTAACTGAACTTCAGTATATTAATATACAATTATTGACTTTTGATGAGGTCTACTCGTGAGTAGACCGAATTCAAAAGTCAATAACCGTTTTATTAAATGATCAGGAATTTTACAACACTTTTGACACTTTCGTTCTTGTCTCCATCAAATATAAACACTCATAATAAAATGCAAAGTGTAACAACACTTTTCACATGTTGTTATACTTCAACAGCTTAACAACTAGTAGTTAAAAATGGAAAACAATATTATTAAACAATCAATACTCAACCATTTACTTTCAAAAGCGTTTAATCTCCTTGGTACTGGCGTCTGACATGTTTACATTCACACCGACACATGCTTTGAAACACGCAATCTGATTGGTAAAAAAAACTGTAAGGAAATCTATGGTTGGTCAAGAGGGAAAACCCGAATAAACCCTCCAGAATGTCATATGAGGTGAACTCACTCTGAGGTACATCTCAGGAAAAGGCGTTTAGACCAATCACAGAGCACCAAAATTCCTGATCATTTAATAACAAGATATAACAGTGTATATTCTCATTAGAATGGGGATATTACTAGTGAGCATTGGCTCACAGACTTCTTGTAAAAATGTGGCAATAATACATGGTGGATTATGTTGGTTAAGGAAAACTATACAAAAATTTAATTTCATTGATTAGAAAAGTTGTGTACGTTCATGTTCGTGAATTCATCAGGTGATGATTTAAATGTTAGGATTTAGGCGTCCCATGAAACCTGACCATGAAGAAGAGGCCATGAGTGACCCCCCACCACTAGATAGGAGGGAGAGTAAAACTGATCTACAGGCCCCCCGCATGAAGTCTAAGATGTCCTTCAAGACGGCCAGCCAGGCCACCATTACTTTCCTCAGCGCCAGGAAGAGAATCGAGGGGGGACTTAAAAGTCTGGGCAAGCGGATGAGTAAGAGAGGAAGTGTGGACGGTAAGTTTACAACTTATTAAATAAATGTGACAATTTTATAAATGGAGAAAAAAAATTAAACTAAATAGCTTAATAACTCAGTTAGGGGGAGAGTTTGATTCTATAACAACCTTTTTCCTTAGGAAACTGGGGATTCTGAAAATTTTCACAATGGATTTCTTTTGTTTTGGTAACAGATAGTTATGGAAATTTCTACTGATACTACTGATAGAAAAAGCATTTATATGAAAATAAAGAAAAAATTTTGATACTTGATTTAAATGGTGTCATTACTTTTCATAAGGTTTTATCCATTTATGATTTTTTCAAGATCAATTCTCCTTAAACTAAAAAAAAATTCTCCTTTACTTTACTTTGAAAAAGTTAATTTACAGTATGTATTTTGTCCGGATATGTGATGCATCCGGATATCCGAAGCACCAGTTAAACAAGACAAAATAACTTTTAAAAATTTCGTTCCGATGAAAAATCATCCGGATACTGAAGCATCCGGATATCTGGCGTCCGGATATCTGAGGGTTCACTGTATTTTGAATTTATCTTCATGAAGAAGATTCTAAGAAATCTGTGCTATATTCTGTAGATTGGAAGCAGAAAGAGATCGCCCAGGTGGAGGACGCTGAGAACGACTCGATCCTCGTGAAGGAGAAAAAGTTGGTGGACAAGTTCCTCGTTAAGTCCGGCATGCTGAGGTTTTCCTTCCTACTGGAGTGTGCCCCGCCTGGAGCTATTCCTGACCCCCAGCTTGTGGCTGCCATGTTAGAACTGGTACAGCATTGGCTTTCTTTGCCTGTTAATCTACAGATCAAACTATTTGAGCCAATATTCTCAGTGCATAATGCTAATGTTGTTTTCAGTGTGTTGTGTTCAGAATTTTTATTTATTCAAAATGTTACCCTTCTTTGATAAATTTAATTATGTTTTTAGTTCTGTGTACCATAATCATATCTAAGCAGACCAAGTTATACATATGTATTCAGAATGGAAATGAGCTCAAACTAATACTCAAACTTATCAACAAATTTTATAGTTATTTCTCACAGTATACATGTACATGTATTTATGCCATATATGTTTATAGGAGGCCCCAGTTGTTGCCAGGGCTGCATTACTTCTGGAATGTGCCCATTTTATACACCGCTGTAACCATGGAGACTGGCCTAACTGGATGAGACTCAATCTGCCCAGTTTTCGACAGTCTACCTCGGCACTTCAGAATCGTGGGCAGCCCTCTGGGTACCGACGGACTCTGGCTCTACAGAAATCCGCAGGAAGGATGTTCTATAAATGGGCAGAGGTAATGTGTCATGTAAATAAATGTAGGGAGAAGGCAAAAAGTGTGACAAAATATATTACTCATATACATAAATTTTAATATGATAAATTCTTGTTAAGGAGTGATTTATTTTCTTTAGAATCTGGGGAGTATGATGGAGTACATTTTAGCTAAAGAATACAAAGATCGGTTGAACATAATCAGTGACGTTCACAGTGAGTCCAGGAAGAGGGAGCTACGTATCTCTGATGAAGAGGAGGACTTCCTAGATGAAGGTCCCAGCATTTCTTTCATTAGTATTTAGAAAAAGTTTACTTAGAAAAATATGCTAAGGAAATTTGTAAAAGAGTTGCTATGAATGAGATTAGGATTTTAATTATTTCAAATCTACCTGGTACACATGTTTTCAATGTTAAATCATCTTTATCACAGGCACTGTTAACGAGAAAGGGTCAGAGTGTCCATATGCACTGAAAATGGCTGCCTGTCTGGTGCTTCAAGAGATCACAACATTTCTAAGAGAAACATTCAGAGATCTACCAAAAGGCCGCGGTGCCAGACAAGTGTGGGACCGCCCAACCAGCACAACTAGGAGGTGGAGCAGTATTGTCAGCAGTCCAGGTCACTCCCAGAGTTCTGAGTCCAACATGGCTGACATTCCACATTCATCATCAGGTCTGTATTGAACTTTGATGTCATGCAAAAGATTATTTTATACCTACCTAGTAAAAATCTGTTTAAAAGAGAATACTTCAGTCTAATTGCATTTCAGAATAAATAAATCTTGTGACAACTGGAGCTTTATTCTTTGTTTTAGCTGTGGTTGGGAGTCCCAGTGGAGACAACAGTAGGAAGATAAGTTTTGCTGTCCTTGGTGAGAGGTCAGACTCACTACACAGTAGCACCACCTCCATCTCCATGATGGTGGACCCTTCAGTATCACCCAACCTCCACAGTGAGGATAAAAAAGGTTTACATACAGAACTGTCTCAAAATGTGCATTCATACTATAAACTGACAGACTTCCTCTCAAAGTTGAATATTCCATTAATAAATAGTATTTATTCTTTTATCAGGGCGGAAATTAGCTACCACTAGACCTAAGATCAAACTTTTCAGGGGAGGATCTGGAAACAATTCCAGCTTTAGACTGAAAAAGGGCTTACAACAAAAGCATGGAAGTAGTAAGTAATTTGTTTCCAAAGTTAAGTTCAATTATTTATTTTGATAACCATATCTATCACTTAATCAGTTAATTTTATTGTAGGTTTTAAGAGATATGGCAGTCAGAAGTCTCGTAAGGTGAGCAGTCAGTCGCAGTTCTCAGACCGGGGGCCTGATGAGGACGTAGGGGTAGAGGACACGGAGTCCCTGCTAAGTGACGAGAACGAGGCCCCTGATCACGACGAACCTAATGATGTCACTCTCTGTCACAACATGCCGTGGATCAAGGTTAGTGTCACGACAAGCCTAACAACGTCACTCTCTGTCACAATATACCGTGGATAAAGGTTAGGCTATCTAAATTTGATTCCCTGGTTCTCAGGCCAATTTTCTCCAAAACAGATGCGGGAGGGCGGCATTTTATTTTTCGTTTTATTGGCAATAAAGTAGATGAGGGAGGTTTTTTTTTTTTTTATTTTAATTTCCGAATTTTCTTTAACATAAAGATAATTTTTTAATCACAGATATACTTTCCATTTCTGATCAAAATTTCTGCTTTATCCATTGCTTAACAGCGTGTAAACATCGTAGGTAATGTCCTCGAATGTATTTTCAAACGAAGTAGCCAAAATCTCATTGTAAATGGCTACCGGAAGTGATATTTGAATACTAAACTACAAAACAAATGAGGTCGGAATTTTTTTTCCCGGATTGGTCTCCGCAATACCAACTTTTTATTTTATCAAAAATACAATAAAATCGGCAATGCGGCTACCTCAAAACGGATGCGCGCGGGCCTGAGAACCAAGATTTCAATTTTATATGGCCGAATGATGTCACTCTCTGTCATAGTATGCCGTGGATTAAGGTTAGTGTCATGATGTCACTCTGTCACAATATGCACTGGATCAAGGTTAGTGTCTCGATGAGCTGAACGACTTCACTCTCTGTCACAGTATGCTGTGGATTAAGGTTCGTGTCACGACGAACCTAACGACATCACTCTCTGTCATAGTATGCCGTGGATTAAGGCTAGTGTCACGACGTCACTGTTTGTCACAATATGCCGTGGATTAAGGTTAGTTTCACGACGTCACTCTCTGTCACAGTATGCCGTGGATTAAGGTTAGTGTCACGACGTCACTCTCGGTCACAACATGCGTTGGATCAAGGTTAGTGTCACATAGATTCTTATATACATGGGGAAGAAGGACGAGAGGTTTTCCTCTTCTTGCTTTCTGAAGTTCGAAAAAATATTGAATTTATATGTAAATTTCAGGTTGTAGTGCAGCTTGCCAATTTGTCAAACTTCATCTGTCCTCACCAAAACTTCTGCCACCCAAACTGCTATGAGCGCCAGAGAAGATCATGTTCCCGACTCATCACAGCTCTGAAGAAGATTTATCAATCCACGGAAAATGAGGAGGAGGAGAAGAAACAGGAAACAAAGAAGGATTTCCTCAAAGAGAGGCTCAAGAGGAGGGTGGGTGTCTAAAAAATAACAGAATTTATTATACCTCATTATTAATATTCTAAACAACGCGTTATCTGATTGGTTCTAAGTTTTCACGTGATCGGGCCGTAAAACTTCATATTTCCCGGTGTCATATAATATATTGAACCCCGCGATATTTTGAACCCGGGTTCAAAATATCATTGGAAATATTGAACCCCCCTATAAAATATTGAACCCGGGGTTCAAAATATTATGGACATAAAATATTGAACCCCCTCCTTAAATTTAAAGGACAGGGGGGTTCAATATTTTATGGCCATATTTTGAACCCCCACCCTCATAAATGAAAAGGACAGGGGGGTTCAATATTTTATGACCATAATATTTTGAACCCCCCTACCTCATAAATTAAAAGGGCAGGGGGACTCGATATTTTGTGGCCATAATATTTTGAACCCCCCTCCCTCATAAATTAAAAGGGCGGGGGACTTGATATTTTATGGCCATAATATTTTGAACCCCCTCCCTGTAAAATTAAATGGGCAGGGGGACTTGATATTTTATGGCAATAATATTTTGAACCCCCCTCCCTGTAAAATGAAATGGGCAAAGGAACTCAATATTTTATGGCCATAATATTTTGAAACCCCTTCCTCATACGGGGGACTTGATATTTTATGGCCATAATATTTTGAACCCCCCTCCCTCTTAAATTAAAAGGGCAGTGGACTTGATATTTTATGACCATAATATTTTGAACCCCCCTCCCTGTAAAAGTAAATGGGCAGGGGGACTCAATATATTACGGTCATAATATTTTGAACCCCCTATCTCTTAAATGAAAAAGGTAGGGGTTCAATATTTTATAAGGGGGTTCAATATATCGCAGTGAAAAAGTGAACCCGGGTTCAAAATATTATGCGATATTTTGAACCCGGGTTCAATATATCACAGTATCAAAATATTGTGCTACACCGGCCGTCTGCACGCTTTTCATCATATTCCACCTCTTCGGAACACCTAGTGTATTTTCCCGCAATATAGTTCTCGTTCGTTGAACGAAAACTCCCAAGAAAAGTAGACGTCACAATAGCCTGGTTTACGTCACAAAACTGATGACAATGTGTTGAACAAAGGGTTTTATAATAACTTTACGTAAAAAATGAAAGTGACTTTGACAGCGGTGTCGAATTTGAAAGTTTATGTTTATTTCAAAGGTTTTGCTTGTTTCGGTATAATAAACAATTCATTGCATGAATGTTTGGGAAACTTGAAGACTTATTCAACCAAGAAATATCATATTCCCCGAGGGCTTAATATGATTTTTCTTGGCTGAATAAGTCTTCATATTTCCCTCGCTATCATGCAATAAATGTATAATATCACATTCTGAACTAGAAGAATTTAGTTGTATTACTCTACATAAATATTTTGCTTTATTTTTCTCAAAGTTTTATAATGTTTTTCATACTTCATATTTTCACTTTGTTTTACAGGGATCAATTTTTCAACAAACTTCCCCTACTTGGAGAAGGGAGAGTACTCCGCTGTTAGAGAAAATCAAGACAGATGTCTCAATGACTAAACTAAAGATGACATCAACGTGGAAGAAAGAGGACAAACCGAAGGAGATCAAGGAAGACTCAGCAATGATTAAATACATTACATCACAGGTGAAAACAACAACACTGAGTTCACTTTAAAAATCACACATTATAGTAAAACCGTTACATTGAACTTCATGACAAGGCTAATATAGGCTGAGTTTACATAATTACTTAAGTATTAAAGTTCCTAATTGCATTGATTGTTCTTACTGAATGCATTTCACACAAACTATTGTAGCAATTGCATGTATTTCCCTTAACAGATTTTCAAAATAATATCTTGCACAGAAGTTTGGCACTAGTATTCAGACTTAGAGATTTAAGAGGTAGTCCGTCGAAAAACCAGGCAGGGTTGTATTATTAGGCGGCACATCGAATGTGACGAATATTTGATATTTTATTGAAAACAATATCAATGTAGTCCAAATGGAATAATGTAATCGAAGATTTGTTTTAAAATTGCTTATTTAGTAAAATATCCTTTTATTTCGTGTTTTTGAATTCCCCTATATAAACCATTGAATTTAGGTCAGAAACAACGAACTGTAATTTCCAATACTTATTTAACAGGACTATAATTCATGCTGAACTAAATCTAGAAATATTTCGTCTTTCAGTTTCAAAAATAAAATTGGTGGGCAAAACACTTTTGATAGTAATTTTCTGTCAAAATACAGAGACGTTTTTGAGTTGGCTTGCGTAGCAAGCTACTCCCTGTTGACATAGCCATTTCAGAGTTGTAAAATTTTTCACGCATTCATCAAGGTGATCCATACGCCAAATATAATAGTTCTAGCAAAAAATGCTTTGGTTTGAGTGATTGTACAAACTTAAGAGGTAAAAACTGTATAAAATTTCATACTGTAACATTATTTATGCCTTCATGCTTTTAAAGAAATTTTTGATTAAATATCTGTAAGATGTACAATTACTGCGTATGAATATATGTTCAAGCATGTTAGGCGGATCTAATCTTCCCATCTGAAGTTTATTTATAATTGACCTAGAATACTCCCTAACACAAACACCTGCTGCTCTCATTAGCTGCAGCTAGTTGTTGTTGAAAATCTATTTTTAGAATCCAGATTTGCTGTGGTAATCTTTAACCTAATTATTCCATAACACTGACCACTGCAGCTAGTGTGCTTAAATTTATTATAGAATCCAGTCAAAATAATACGGAAGCCCATTAGTGCCAACCTGTATATATTAAGGAAAAGCAATATACACTTTATTTATGAAACGAACATGGATCAGACATATAATATTCAATCTCTAAAGATGCAAAATAAACTGAATATATTAAGGTATGGTGCCCAGATGTATGAAAAAGCTCAATTGACTCCAGCAAGTCAACTCGCAGGCCCTTCAGGCCTTTGATTATGAAATTTTGCGATGTAAGAGTTATCTCCCGTGGCATCGGTAAATCTGCTAAACACCTTACTATCGAAATCCTAGTGAAATATTTAGGATATATACACAAAATAAAATTATTTAACAAAAAATTACTACTTTATTTTCAAAATAGAATTCATTTTCGCCTCCAAACGTAATATTTAGATTAAGATTGGCAGTATTATTCAGGTTGAATCCACGTTTCCATTGATGTATCAGTGACGTCATATACCTGACTAATATTGCGTCACAATTAAATAGTTACAAGTTTTCCAAAGAAGTTTGTAAATTCTTTGCATAAAAGCGCAAATAAAACGATTAAAAATAAATAATTTCTCTTTTTCTGTTCAATTACTTTTCAGAGTGCATTATCCTACATGTTAAATAATCATATATTTATGTTCCCCAAACGGAGTTTGGGAACATATTGTTTTTACTCGGTTTCTTATTAAGGTCTTCCGTCTTCACGGAAGACCTTCTAGTGATTCTACTGTTTCTTATTATTATTATTATTATTATTATTATTTTTTTCCCCAAAATTTTGTGCAGGCGATTTCTCGAAAACTAATCGGTGGTTTTCTATGAAACTTTCAGGAATTATGCGTCATTATATGAACTTTGTTCATCAGAAGGAAAATTTGGAATACTCACCTTCGGTTCCAAGTTATGGACAGTTTTCTGATTTTAAAATGGATTTTTGTCCCCCCTTTTTTACGAAAATGGTCTAAGATATTAACTGGAGACTTCTTAAAGATAATAGATGATGACTTTTAGATATGTGAAATCACCTTTTCGTGTGTCGTCAGTACTTCCGGTCGCTAGCGGAAGCGAATTTAAAAAGTCCATATTTTCTAACTTTTTTGTTTTTCAATATTTTTCATTTTTTTTTTGGAATGTTAATAGAAACCATTCTTATTATGCTAACTATATAATTTGTTTGAACATTCATTAATCCTAACTCTAGAAATTAACATTTAAAAATCTGAAGCGGGTCCAATATGGCGGCTGCCTATGTCAACTCCGACATTTCGCAATAGGGGTTTTCAGAGGCAGCCAAGCGTTTGCTTGAATGAAAGTAAATAAGGATAAATGAAATGTAAAGGAATACGGGGATTATCACGATGTAGTTACGTTGCAATTCTGTGTCAAACTAAGTTTAAATCGATGGTCGTCTCAAACTTCTTCTATAATTGGTTTCGGCTGGTTCTCAAAGAAGAAAAAGAAAAGACTAAATGTGCAAATGAAATACATACCTACTATCATTTGTTTTGCGGAAAAAACAGATCTTAAATCATAGTTACAAATAATAGTTTTAAGAAACAATATCGATGTATATAGTAAGTATTAAACGTATCTCTTGTTTTGCTCATGCACACTTGAGTCATATTAAACTAATAGGAAAGACAAACATAGTAAAATCACTTTTTTAGAAGAATTGAGTTTATATTAATATTCTTGTCTCAAAGACTAGATTTAAGTTATTGAACATAAATGGTATCTGATTCCTTGGCCGTCTTAGGGCGACACATGTTTTTCGGCGAAACATTTCAACCTTTTTATGAAAGTTTGATAACTAATAGGGATAGTTCAGTATGGGGATAAAAAGAAAATTTAAAAGTAAAAAAAATATAGCAGTTTCGCTGATTTAGTGTTACTAATCTATCTATGCATAGAATTTGTAAATGTGTTAAAAACAATTTCTTTTACCTTGAAATTTTAGCTATAAGAACGTTCTTTTTTTATTTCCATTGAAGCTATAACACCTATTTAATTGGACATTTCAAAGAAAAGGCGCGAAGATTTACTAGTGGCGTTTGGCGCAAAAATATTAATTGTAACCGCCTTTCATTATTCAGAAATATATAAAAGTAGATTTAGAGCTGTGGTCACAGTAGCGTAATAGTAAGCGCTTTGGATTTTCATGCTGGCGACCCGGGTTCAATCCCCTTTGTTTCCATGAAAGTTTTATCACTTTTTCAGCTCGATTTTGCGGGGTTTTTTTTCAGAATCGGACGGAAGACCTCTCGTTGCTCGCAACGAGTTTCTTTTCTAGTTATTATTATTATTATTATTTTTTTTCTTCTTTGTTCTCCGGTACTTTTTTGTCCGCGAGTGTTCTCAGAAACTGTTCACCCAACTAAGCTAAAACCTTTTTAGGGTTAATAGGTGTGTAGTGTAGGTGTGCGGAACGAAGGTCATTTTGCGCGCATACGCATGCACGTGCGGGCGCGTGATATGAGTGAAATGACCGATATACTTAATATAGCTATAACTTTTACATTTTTTAATGAAATGATTTGAAACTCATTATATAAAGATATAATAATAGTGTAGATAATATGACACTGTCAAATTAGCAAGAACTCACGCGCATGCACGTGCGCTTCGCTCTGATTGGCTGAAACAAAAATCTCAATATCTTTTCTGTTTTTTGACGGAATGGTATGAAATTTAAAATATAGGCATACTTTATAATGTTCTATAATATAATGTATAACAATTGTCTTGAAAACACGTGCATGCACGTGCGCTGCAATCTGATTGGCTTAAACTTTAAATGGTTATAACTCCCTTGTTTTTCAACCAAACAGGATGGGATTTAAAAAATAGACAGATATAATAGACTTCTACAAGAAGGTATGGTCATCATGCACATACATGAACGTACGTGCACGTGCGCTTCGTTTTGATTGGCTGAAACAAAAATATCAATATCTTTCCTGTTTTTTGACGAAATGCTATGAAATCTAAAATATATACATACTTTAGGATGTACTACAATATGATATATAACAATTGTCATGAAATCACGCGCATGCACGTGCGCTGCAACCTTATTGGCTAAAACTGTAAATGGCTATAACTCCCTTGTTTTTCAACCAAACAGGGTGGGATTTGGAACATTGATAGACATAATAAACTTCTACAGGAAGGTATAGTCCTCATGCACGTGAAATGAGTAATATTAAAAATACGCTTAAATGAGTGTATTTTTTGATACTTCTGGATTAATTGATTTGATATTAAGTATATTAAAAAATATAAATAATGTAGACAAGATGATAATGTCATTACGCACATGCATTCAGATAAGCACGCGTGCAATGCTAAAATTTAAATATATTTTGTATTCTTCGGGGAAAAAGTGTGTCTTATTCAATAGCGCTTACAGGTAATATGGCACCAAAAGGGTGTAGGGGAGCGTTTGGGGAACATCTGTAACGGTCCCCGTTACAATTAGCCCTAGTTTTATATAAAATGTATTTTTTTCACAGGCGACGTCTCAGCTAAAAGTAATTTTGTACATGTCCGAGAACTAATTTTTTAAACTGATTTACTAGGCTATGCGTACAAATAATTAATTGTTTATATTGAATATTTCTTATAAAATTGGGATGTGAAGAGATTTTATTTTCTTCTGATTATCAAGGAAAGATGAATATTTTAGATTTACGCAACATTTAATTCAAGTCAACGGAGTTGAGATATTTATTTCATGATATTTGTACACACACACACACACACACACACAAAAAAAAAAAACACACTTGATTATATTTATCTATGCAGTCAAACCAAAGTAAACGATCCGCGGTACGATTAAAAATATTTTATAAAAAGAGTGAAAAATAAGATTTAAAGAATATTTATTGAGGAAAATTACTGTTGAACTCCCCATGCACTTCAATTTGCCACTAAAACGGAAGATTTCGTGGGCGTATTTTTTGTTTTGTATTGTTTTTGTCTGGGTTTTTTGTTGGTAAAATTTGGTGATTGAAACAATCACATACTCACATTCAATATGAAGTTAAAAAATGTGACCATGTTGGCCAATTCTAAAATGTTTTCCCATTAATGAAAGTTTTTTTTTAATATGCCGCCTTGCCCCCACCCCCCACCCCGTCCCGGCTTTTTGCTTGCGATTTCTAGGCTCTTAAATCATAATACTATATATGAAATAACTTATTTTCTTATTAATATAAAATTAAATTTTATAAGATGAAAATATAGGGGAAACGGCTTTTATAGATGACAGGTTTAAAAAATTTGGATAAAGCCGAGACTGTGCACATTTAAATATTTTCTGCATTTAGGTAGTGCAAGTATATTTTTGCCAATGATAGAATTGAACTCTTTAATTCACGAGAGAATTTTAAAAAACTTTAGTTGGAAATAAGATATTTAATAAAGATAAGCTGTTTACTCTCAGTTGTTGCATAATGCATGTACAAATACTTGTTTTTTAATACCGAGTATCAAGAAATCGTACAGATGTTATACATGATTGTAATCTTCATGTACGTAAAAGACATTAGTATTTTAAATAAATTGTATAAACATTTGAATCCATGTTAAAATAATTTTAAAACAGTTGACTAACTGAACAGAAATAAAAGACAAGCATATTTTTTTCTGATACATTAAATGCAGAATATTTCTAGTTTTACGGTAAAAACCGATATTGAAATATGTATTGAAAATAATGCAAAATGTGTAAAGTTATAAAACTAAAGACAACTGCCACCCATAAGACATGTACAAAAATATATCAAGTAATTTTTTGGCCATATTACAACAAAAGAGCCAAATTTATCATTACAATTATAGTATTTCCTTCTTTATATAATTCACTTTCGGTTTAATTGTGAAAAATTGTAAAACATAGGTAAATTTGACTCCTTTATTTCTCTCAATATAAGGGTGCCCACTGATTTTATTGCGTGACTCAAAAGTTTGTACTTTGTATTCATAATAACATGAGAAAAAAATCTGTCATTGAAATGTATTGGGTTTTATAACGTAATGAAAATTGGATAATGAATTCAAAAAGTTACTTGCTAAACTCAGTTTTGGACCACATATTTTTTTCTAAAGAAATATAAATTGGAGTCTTATTCATTACTAAAATTAAAGATAAGAGTCTATGGTATAAATAATATTGATAGACACATCCAGGTTTTGCATGTCTGGTACATATAAAACAAAATAAAAACGTAGTAATTTTTTTACCCCCATGTTGACCTTTTTGCACTTAAAATTGAGCAATTACCAAAAATAGGACTAGTGGAGCACTAAATTTTTTTTTGATGTTGTCATGTGTAAACACTTGCTTAAATAAGTCTATATGCAAAAAATAATAAAAATCCATGACATGCGATGTGCCACCCATTGCCTGATTTTCAGTGGACTGCCTCTTAAATGTAAATATTTTCTAGAGTTTTCTAATTTTTATACGTCCGTCTTATGACGGGACGTATTATGTTATAGGCTGTCTGTCCGTCTGTTGTCAACTGATACTTCTTGGGTAGACGGTGTGTCGCGCGCAAAAAGTAGGTCGCTCTGACCTTTAATTAAGATGCTATGGCCAAATATGGAAAAATCCTGTCCGGCTCATAACTAGTAAACTATTAGACCTAGAACTATCAAACTTGGCAAATGTATACATCTTGGGTAGAAGGTGTGTCGCGACCTATTTCAAGGTCACTGTGACCTTTAATTTAAGTGAAATTTTTTTAAAAACTAAGTCTTTTAAATTTTGAATTTCATAATCCTAAAAAATGTAAAAATTTAGTTGTATCCTTATTAAAAAAGTGTCAAATCAAGAAAATACTTATTTTTTTCAGCATATACTTGACAGCAATCTATAAGAAATATAATATATGTTAGAGAAATTCCATGTCTCCCATGAGTGTAATTATCAAGCACTGGTCAAGAGTTTTGATAACAGAAAATTGCCTGTCAAATTAGAGAGAAATTAATGAGTTTAGTGTGAGGAGCTAACTGGAGAGCATCCGTGTTATCTATATCCCTTTGGGAATTGGGCAGATGGGTAAGCCTGTTGGATTAAAGATAGCTCTTGTTGGCTAGCCTAAGTTTTAAAATGATTTTGATGAAAAGTAATTAACACTAATTTGATATTGCATAATAAACTAATCTGATATTATATAATATTATTAATTTAAAAAACTAATTTCATAGGGGTGGAATCAGCATGTCCATTTTCCATAGAAATCGCATATTAAAACCTTTCTGACATTAAATTTAAAAAAAAAAAATCATTGAGTATTTTTATGTTTTAAAAATATTTTATGGTAGATAGTGCAGATTCTTTCATCCATAGTAATGAGTAGACAAGCATCCAGTCAAAGATTAATTACTGAGTTCAATTTAGGAAGGCTAGCTAGCATCTTCTTATCTGTATCCTTTGGGAATTAGACAGAGGAACTGCTGGTCAGTTTAAATAGCATATGTCATTTGATGGCCAGCCTTTTATTTTCAAAATTAATTTGGTATAGATTAAGTTGTTAAGACTAATTTGATATTGTTTAATATTATGGGCATTTGACAAGGTCTAATACAACCAGTATAGAAATCTATCAGTGATGTAATTTGTTATGATTAATGCCTACACCAAAGGGGATGGATAAACAAATATTCTAAGGAATAGAAAAAATCTTGGAAATTTTAGAATCAAGGTTTACATGATTTTCTTGCACTCTAAACTGTTTAAGTTAATTGTAATTTTTTGACGGGCATATCATGCTGTGGTGTGGCACTTTATTGCTGAAGAAAATTCAAGCAATGAAAATAATCACAGTGCAGTTTTATGGCTGTATATTTCTGATGTTTGACAGGCTCAGAAGCTGACCCAGTGTCCCATGGGAATCGTGGCTAAAGCTGCCCCCATTTTGTCGGAGGAGAATCTGATTGATATTATTCCTGTGGCCTGGGAACTGATTCTGGAGACCGATCAGGAGCTGGCTGCCTCTGCTGGTACGGCAAAATGTTTTAGCTCTTTCTTATTACTTTTGATAATTATATATCTACAATAAAACTCGGTTATAGCAAAGTCTTGGGGACCTGGGAATTTAATTCACTGTATCAGTAATTTGTTATATCCGTATAACGAATTTGTATAACCATATGTAGCGAATTCACAATTTGCATGTTTTCCTTCAAGTGTTTCTACCAAATATGTAAGGGAAGCAAATATTAAAAAACATTCCTTCGATAACTAAGGTTTTATTATGAATTGAATTTTTATATTCAAATGCTAAAAGAATATAAAGTCAGTTCAAATTATCAAATTTTGAGATTTTTGAAAGTTCGTTAAAAAAGATGTAAATTTCATTATATTTAACCTCAACGGGACTCAAAATCAGTTCGCTATATCCGTAAATTCGTTATATCAGAGTTGTTGTAACCGTAAAATTTAACAAAGATTTGTTAAAAATTTTGCTGGGACCCAGAAAAACTTCGCTGTATCCATGAATTCCCTATATCCGTGTTCGTACTAAACAAGTTTTACTGTATAATTTCCTTTTGATAATATTGGTCTTGTCTTGTGTGAAGAAGAGTCAGACTTTTTGTAAATGTGCTAGTCTCACTTCTTTTCGTCCAGTATTTGAGAGAATCGTTGACTTGATTTTTAAGCTTCAGTGTTTCTGCTGACCTCTGTGAAGTGCCCTGACAAAGCCCAGAAACTGATTGTGAAAGAAATGCAACATGAAGATACCACACAGAGAATTAATGCTATCTTAAGGTAGGCATTTATTTCAAAGGTTAATAAGAGATAAATACAGGAAATCTTGGTTACAGAAAACATGTTTACAGAGAAAATGTTTCTAATTAATTCATGCTTACAACAAAGTGATTTTCATTCCTTGTAGTTTGAAATCATAAAATGAATTCAGTGGAAAAAATAAATTATTTTTGAAACAAAATTGTAGTACTTTTGTAGTATCCTGTTGAACTTCATTATATTTGAAACTGACATCTTGAATATTAAGGATACATTTACTTTTTCTTTATAATTGTCTGCCCATCATCTTGAATCCCTAGATAACTCAAAGTTTAATCTCAATCCCATTCAGTTTGCAGTAATGAGGTTCTACTGTAGTATGCTTTTAAAATAAATTGTTGCTTCTTGTTATAGATTTGGAACATTGTGGAAATTTAGACATCAAGTCTGGCCAAGAATGGAAGATGGAGCAAACATGTTCTTTAAGGTCAGACAACAGTATATTCTTTACTTGGTTGGATGCTAATGTTTGTATTATAAGAAGATTTTCATGAGATTGTTTTATCTGCAGGTGCCCCCTCCCAATATAGACTTCACCTTACCCTCTCCTACCATAGGACTGCCCTCTCAGACCGTCGTGGACCCTCCCTGGACCCCCCACTTCAAGGCTAAGATAGAAGAAGTTACTGTTAATCAAGAGGGAACCGTAAGTTTTTCTTTCTAGAAACTTTGGAATGGAGCATTAGGAATGTTATAACTTTGAATGACATAAGGATAAACAAAATTAATAGTAAACTATACTTCCATCTTTTTGAATATGTAAGCCATAATTCTTTTCTTAAAAGTAACAAGTGAGGTTGTAATGAAGTAAGATTTATTTTTGTATTGTTTTGACAGAAATCCTTAGTGACAGCCACAACAACCAGAAGAAAGGAGCAGCAGGAGATGATAAGGAAGGCTTTCCAGGCGGAGGAGGAACGTAAGAGGGTGGGGCGGGAGCGTTTCCCCATGACGACCATCCCTGTCAATCATCTGGCGGCGTACGAGCCGGCCATTCACCACGGCAGTGAGGAGCATGAGGAAGGTAAGGTCCGCAGCGACGTTAGGGGGCGGCATGTCTTAGAATCGGTATCAGGGGCATGCTCAGGAGTCCAGGGGTCTAGAGCATGAGGAAGTTTATGTACATCCTGACTGCACTAACAGAGTCCCCAGAATTAATATCTGTATTCCTGTTGTGTCTTATTCATTTGTCTCAACTAACTGCATTTCTCCTCTAATTTTCAAATTTCTTTTCTCTCTGTTTCGTGAAGTTTTGTTGTGTATAGTGAGGAAACCTAACATGATTTTTATATAAACTGCAGACTTAGGAAGAAAAACTCTGACTGGACTTACAAATCTAACTTCTAACAAAATCTCTCCCAACCCAGATCTAACATACCCGTTCCATCCAATAATCTTGGTAGTGAATCTATAAATTTGAATGACCTTTGACCCTTCACTGTTCCGTCTGCATTCTGTTCTTTTACATGTTGACCTCACTTGACCTTGTAGAGTTTAACCCTTGTTGTACTGCTTGTGTGATGTTTAATGCCACCCGCTTGTATTTTGTGTCAATAGCTGTGATGACAGATGAACTTAGCAACCTGGCTGCACGGCGTGTATCAATGGCTCCCGTCAATCGAGCTAACTTACAAAGTCGTAGCATGTCATGGAGGAATGGTAGTGTCTATTGGGCAAGGCTGGAAGGTACTTAACATTTAGTGATCCAGTTTTCATTCTGAGAATTCTCACTAAATTTACTGTGTTTGGTAAGTAAAAACTGTAGAAGTTTTTAGAGAATGTTCATCAAAGATGTATTTATTGGGTAAGTAGGTAATTGGAAGGAGAAAGTTAGGTAGAAAATTTTTTTCCTGAAAATTCCAGGTATAAAGGCAAATTGATGATATCTGTTTTGATTTACTTTATCTTTTTTTCTTTTAAAAAACTGATTGAGAGTAAAGAGTCTAAAAGTAAGTGCAGGGTATCAACATTATAATTAAATTTGTCTTGACATGAGAAACCCTCCAAACCCCTGTATGATTTTATCCTGTACAGGTGAGGAGGAGCGCCCGGAACATCTGCATCACATGCAGCAGGCCCAGACCTTCTTTCCGTCCTGTATCTGTGCCGCGGTACTCCCCGTTATACACCTGCTGGCGGACGGAGACGTGAACAGTGATGGTGTGTCTGTCAGTGAGGTGGCAGAGAAGGTGATCTGGAATTGTATGGTGGAGGATCCAGTGTTATTTCTCAGACACTTCCTGGAGAAACTCACCCACAGGGATAAACTGGTACTCTGTCATTGAAATATAGACATATAAAAGTCCTATTTAAATATAATGCCACCAATAAATTGGTACTCTTTCATCTTAAAAAAAGACTACTTTCATTATGCTGTAAATGTAACACTGTTACCCATGATACAACATAAAAGTCAAGTACTGTAAAACGAGAAAATTTGGTGCATGCGTATTTTAGCGCAAACGCAAGTGGGAATGCATTGGCGCAAATAAATTTTAGTGCTTTCACTTGTCAGTAAAATATATAAATGTGACATTTTGTTTGTTTTTTATCCGCACCCATATTTGACTTTTTGGTTAGTCAAGCACGGAAACACATTAGTAATCCCGTATATCAGTAAACATTCGTTACGTTTACCGCGGTAAGTGTTGCTATTACATGGACGTGGTACAATGTTAAAAGAATTTATTTTATTTCTATTTTCAATTAAAAGAAATGGAGTATTTACTCATTTAAATCACATTAAAACAATGCATGCATCGACAGAAAATTACTTAGATAAAACGGTAATCCTAATCAGGTATTGTCTGCAAGCTCAATGGCCATGCTTGATTGCATTGTTTACCTCGAGGCGATAGATGATTGACATGCCGAGAAGCCAAACTTTGAAGGTGCTAATGATAAACAACTACAGGGGTAACAATAGTTTAATTAAATTATAATTTGGCAGAACTTTCTGTCTTCTGAACATGTGCAGTGTGAGTGTGTATATAAAATCCAATGACCCTTCGACATTACGTAATCGTGCGTTCCGGTTTACATGTACTTTGAACACACATGAAAAATGATATTTAGAAATCCTTTAGCGCACAATAAATTTTAGGGCTCAGGGGCTCTTGCGCCAAAGGTACTAAAATTAGTAGTGCGCCATATATTCTCGTTTAACAGTATTAGCATGTACATGTATATAAAAAAAATAGGATCTGTTTATATAAGAGTTCTTTTTCTGTTGTGTAGGAGGAATTGCTTTTCTTGATGAGGAAACTAGTGCTGCACTACAAAGAGCTACCAGCCCAGATGGCACATGCTCTGTTTAATTATCTGGTAAGGGAAAATGCTGTAAACATTCATGTAAGCATGGAAACATTTTACTGGGGGAAAGTCTCCAATGCTTGTGCCATTTCTGAATTTTACTAAACTAAATTTTTCAATAGATTTAAACAACTACAGGTGACTCTCGATCTCTCGAAGTACAAGGGATCGCAAGAAAAGTTCAAGAGATTGAGGGGTTCGAGAGATAAGAAGTAAATAAAATCCTGAATTTTCGGAAACCCAAATAGCAGTTGTCGGTTCGGCTATTCCGCGGCTTGATAGGGTCCTTCACCAGTGTTCACCAAATTTTTCTTAATCGGTATTCAGTCCTTGAGAAAGGAATTTCTTGTGCATTATTTGCCATACTGCCATTACTGGATTTATGGTGACTTTAATAAAAGTTTGTGATCTATGGTAATTTAATGAAATGACGTCTATAAATTATTTTCTAAAAATTATCGTCTCGGTTTCAAGTCAAAATAAGTTGTGAATTCGTTTATGATTTACATATGTACCAATAAATAGCCAATTAATTATATCCACACACGGACCCACAGGCGTAGTATCATCTATGTACACACCCAATTAACACCTCCATGCCAGCCCCAGGCATTCACTGTTTTCCAGGTAAGTCCAGGCTGCATCAATTTTACACTTGATTGGCGTGTATTCACACGCAATCAAAACTTCGAGAGATAGAGAGTTAAATTCAATGAAATATGTAATGGGACCCAGGTTTTGGTTTGAGAGATAGAGAACTTCGAGAGATCAGGAGTAAATTTGCTTAGTTATATATAGGAAAAAACGGGAGCGGAGGTTCACTTCGAGAGATCGGAGTTCGAGCCATAGAGAGTCACCTGTAACTCCCAAGCTAACTTGTCTCATCTACGTTATACATATGTAATATTATAAAAATAAAAAATACCATACTTTTAATAAAAATAATTTTTAGAATACAATAAATGGTTTTCACATTGTAGACGTTTTTTAGTCTGTAAGACTATTACATGTATCTATTATAGATAGGGTATGTGGTGTTCTATGTGAGATCACCTGTCACTCTGTATTACATGCATTGTAGATTGGGTATGTGATGTTCTATGTGAGATCACCTTGTGCTGGCAGTCAGGAGGCTATAGCAGGTGCCCTGGCTCTGGTCTGGCAGGTAAGACAGTCCAGTTCTTAATCTTTACAATGTGATAGACATTTATCTATGTAATAAAGGTAACTCTGTAATTTTCATATTCAATTTAAATGTAAATTAGAAGGCAAGGTTTTAGATACTGTAGAAGTACTTTTTTCCGCGTGGTATTAATTTACGCTATGTATGCGGTGCAATTTTTCCGTGGAAATTTGTCCAAGCGTACTTAATATACATGCAAGGTATATACAGGGACAGTCTAAGAAATCTGCGTAATTTGCTACCTGCGGATTAAACAGAAATTGAGAATTTGCGGAATTATGACACCGTGGAAAAAAGTACGTCTACAGTATGTATTTTGACTTTGCCCTTAGGCCAAAGTTTTTATTTTTTTTTGGTTTACGATTTTTTGACACAAAAATTTGCATTGGGTGGTATAAAAATAAAAAAAATTTGGAACCTTGACATATTTTTTCTCGAGTAGCATTAAAATGTATTCAAATAAAAATAATAAAGACATAAGATTTTTCAACTTTATTACTTTTTTCTTACCATTCGGTTTTATGTCAACAAAAATGAATCACACGCCAAATGACTCAAGAACAGAAATGGGAGTATCAGGCTCTGTAATGTTGATGGTTTTCATTCTTTTGACTTACAAGTCCGAGTTTCCATAATAGACACATTGCACTGGGACAAATATGGGTAAAAGTAAGCGAATTGGCTATTCTCTGGTCAGCCTTTCCACTTATGAAAAAGTTTCTGGAAACTTCGAAAGTGATGGATTAACTTTTACCTTAAGATAGGTGTGTCCAGGGACCAATCTAGACCCATTATGGAGACTTCACTTCTCCCTCAAAGAAATTTAAGGAGAAGTTTTGAAGTTTAGGGAGACTTCTTGGTGCGCGTATGTGGCGCACAATAATCGTTATAAAACTATTTCATTGTTTATAACTTACATACATATCAATAATTTTTCTGTATAAACATTGAATTTAAAATGATTAAAAAAGAGAAAAAGAATCTTAAAAGATATTTCCCCATATTACAACATATATAAATATTTAGAAAAAATAAAACAACATTGACATTAAATAAAATTTACTACTACTACTATTAAAATGTAAATGTTTCTTATTGTCAGATCAATTGTTTATCAAACATTTTTATACCCCCGCAAACGAAGTTTAGGGGGGGTATATTGGAATCACCATGTCCGTCTGTCTGTCTAGCTGTCCGTCTGTCCGTCCATCTGTAGACAAGATTTTGTCCGGACCGTTTCTCAGAAACTGTTGGATGGATTTGTCTGAAAATTTATACACTTATTATTCACCATATGAATGTGTGCACCTGGTATTTTCATCATGATTGGATGATTTTTCTGCATTTTACAGGCGTTTTTGTTTTGTTCATAACTAAAAAACTAATAGACTTACAATCATCAAACTTGGACAATTTATGCATCTTGGGTAGAAGGTGTTTCACGACCTATTTCAAGGTCACGTTGACCTTTAATTAAAGTGATTTTTGAAAAAAAACTAAGTCTTTAAAATTTTAAATTTCATAATCCTAAAAAATGTAAAAATATAGTTGTATCCTTATTAAATCAAAGTACTGAAAGTACTGAAAAGCGGTTAGCATGCTTTCATCGAATATGTTCAGTGTACAATAACAAAAAATGCATTGAATGATGATATTAAAGTAGGCATGCATATCTTTTTCCAATGTCATCAGCGAAGAAGCAGACACACTGAATTTTGTAGTACTTAACTAAAAGGTATAACCAATAACATCCCAGACTGATGTCACAAATGTTTGTTTCAAAATATCATCCTGATATTTTCAGTTTGAAAGACAGGAAGTTCAATTTCAAAAATTTATCCCTAATTGTTTCCATCCCGGTGGCGTCCAAAAGTGCTCAGAACGAAAAAAAAAATATGTTGATGTTGCAAATTTAATTGGCTTTCATTCTCTATTGATTCTGAAATTAGGTAACTGTAAAGGCCACTATAGCAAACAACTCAAAGAGAAAATAAAATGATAATTCAAATTCTTTAGATTAATTGATTTGGAGTACTGTACATAGATCTTTAGCTGGCTAATCTGAGAAAAACGGATGGACGAGCAGAGAATTAATTAATTTCAGAGAGCTTCAGTTTCGTAGGCTCACTGCGGGTCAGCAGGTGTGACCTGTCATTGGGGATGCTTACTTCTCCTGGGCACCGGAACTTTCAAGGATCCGTTTTTATTTTGAGACCGATCCCTGTTCATTCTGTATTTTGATACAGATACTGAGTACATCTGTTTATTAATATTATGAACTATTTCTTTCACAGGAAGAAAGACAAGTAAACAAGATAATAAAGTTTTAAGAAATGTACATTATTGACTTTTCATACAATTAAATGTTCGAATAAGTAAATGGTATATGACAATTATTAAAAAAGAGTCTAGCACGATATGTATAAACGAACATATACTGAGTATTTGGCAAATATTTTTCATGAAATATTGTATATTAAAAAAAAACCGTGTGAAAAGGAAAGTTGTTGTTTAATCCATTAATACTAGTATTTTAAAAATTCAAAGATTCACTAAAAGTCAGTGTATAACAAACAATTTAATTGTCCATTGCAAGAATTACCTAGGTATCATTGTCACTTTCTTCAATATGTCGCATAAGCAATACATAGTTGTTGTTTTTTTTTTTTTTTTTTACTAAAAACAAGTATGCGAATTTCTATCAATATGTCTGTAAGCATCTGTATTTTAATTTTTATTTCTTCTCAAAGGCTCAAAATGATATTTAACAAATTGGACAAATTCAAATTTAAAAAGTATTTTTACAACTTATACCTTGCATAGGAATTTAGCAAACTTTCAAAAATAATCATTCATTAGATATAATTTTTAATTTGTGCTTATCGTCAAGATTTTTCATGCCTCTTTTTTTCTGTGCATATTTTATATGGGCTTATTTTTAGAAAAGGATCGAATGCCGATTAATTTTTTTTCTCCAATTTTTAGGTCACCTGAGTAAACTCAGGTGACCTATTGCTATCTGTTTTCGTCCGTCGTCGTTCGTCGTACGTCGTACGTCGTTCGTAAACTTTCGAACATTTTCAGCTTCTTCTCTGCAACCACTGAACCAATTTCAACCAAATTTGGCACAAAGCATCTATGGGTGAAAGGGAACAAAAATTGTGAATTTCATGATCCCTGCCCCCCTGGGGCCTGAGGGGTGGGGCCAAAACCACTAAAATTAATGCAATCTTTGAAAATCTTCTTCTTTACTCCTGGACATCAAGCAGTCAAACTGTTTGCATGATTGTAATCAGCATTGAGTCCTCTACCAAAATTGTGAAATTCATGGCCCTGGGGTCAGGGGTTCTAGTGCTAGGGCAGGGCTAAATAAGTAGGTAGTGATAATGCATTATTTCTTTGAAAATCTTCTTCTCTGCTCCTGGGTATTAAATAAACCAACTAAGTAGTTAGTTATGATGAGCAAGAGTGCTTCTACCAAAATTGTGAATTTTATGGTCCCAGGGTCAGGGGTTCTGGTGTTAGGGCGGGGCTCTCTTGATTATATACATTGAAAATACATGATTTCTTTGAAAATCTTCTTCTCTGCCCCTGGGTATTAAATAAACTAACTAAGTGCATAGTTATGATGAGCAAGAGTGCCTTTATCAAAATTGTGAATTTTATGGCCCCAGGGTCAGGGGTTTGGTAGGGGGGGGCTTTATAGATTATATAGTAAAAATACATGAATTCTTTGAAAATCTTCTTCTCTGCTCCTAGATATTAAATAAATTAACTAAGTGCATAGTTATGATGAGCATGAGTGCCTCTATCAAAATTGTGAATTTTATGGCCCCAGGGTCAAGGGTTCTGGTGGGGGGGGGGCTCTATAGATTATATAGTAAAAATACATGAATTCTTTGAAAATCTTCTTCTCTGCTCCTAGATATAAATAAATTAACTAAGTGCATAGTTATGATGAGCATGAGTGCCTCTACCAAAATTGTGAATTTTATGGCCCCAGGGCCAAGAGTTCTGGTGTTAGGGGAGGGGGGGCTCTATTGATTATATAGTGAAAATACACAAATTCTTTGAAAATCTCCTTCTATGCTCCTAGGTATTAAATAAACTAACTAAGTGCATAGTTATGATGAGCATGAGTGCCTCTACCAAAATTGTGAATTTTATGGCCCCAGGGCCAAGAGTTCTGGTGTTAGGGGGGGGGGGGAGGGGGGCTCTATTGATTATATAGTGAAAATACACAAATTCTTTGAAAATCTCCTTCTATGCTCCTAGGTATTAAATAAACTAACTAAGTGCATAGTTATGATGAGCAAGAGTGCCTCTACCAAAATTGTGAATAATTTTATGGTCCCTGGGTCAAGGCTTCTGGTGTTGGGGGGGTGGGGGGGCTCTATAGATTATATTGTAAAAATACATGAATTCTTTGAAAATCTTCTTCTCTGCTCCTAGGTATTAAATAAACTAACGAAGTGCATAGTTAAGATGAGCAAGAGTGCTTTTACCAAAATTGTGAATTTTATGGTCCCAGGGTCAGGGGTTCTGGTGTTAGGGTGGGGCTCTATTGATTATATAGTAAAAATACATAAATTCTTTGAAATCTTCTTCTCTGCTCCTAGGAGAGTGCCTCTACCAAAATGTGAATTTTATGGTGTGTGGGGGTGGGGGGGGGGGCTCTATTGATTATATAGTGAATATACATTAAATCTTTGAAAATTTTCTTCTCTGTCTCTGGGTATGAAGCAGATGAACTACCTAAATAGTTATGATGAGCAAGGGCCCTAATCTTGCAAAATTTTGAATTTCAAGGCCCCAGGGTCAGGGGTGGATGTGGGGCTCTACTTATATACTGAAAATGAATTAATTGTTTGAAATCTGCTCCTTTGTATTTATAAAACATTTATTTATTTTTTGATAGGCAATTTTAATGGTGCCTTTTTAAAATATGTGCAATGTGTGGACCTAGGGTCAGGGGTTTATTTCACAGTGTTAGGGGCATTACTGATTATTTATGAATATTACTGATTAGTTGGAATGCATTTTTTTTCCCCTACCTTGCGTATGGGTATTCAGTACCCCTGCGAGGTGATCATGAATAATTCATGAATTACCTTGAATTTTTCATGAATTTTATTCATGAAATGTTCATGAAACGTTCATGAAGATCCTATGAACTTATTATTGGGCATATTTAAATCAATAAACCAAGCTAAGCAACTGCTAAGTGTATTGTTATGATGATCAATGGTGCCTCTTTCAAAATTGTGAATGCCATATAGCATCTGGCTTAAAACATGAATCAAATTCAATAACTGGAAAGTTGTTGCAGAATGCTCAGGTGACCTATAAGGCCCGTGGGCCTCTTGTTTTAAATTAATTTTAGTATTTTCAGGCTCCCATTATTTTTTTTTTAAATAAAAATGTGATCGTTTAAAATCATTTGTAATAATTAGACTGAGTACAGAATTTATCCCTGGAAACAAAGCTTTTATCATCTTTTAAATAATTTCAATTGAGAAAAAAAAGGAGAAGAAAACATTTCATTATGGAAGTAATCCATAACTGTACAACTTACAGATGTATTCAGTATTTTTATATAAAGGCTTTCTTCGTGTACTAGTATAAGTTAATTAAAGGGATGCCTTAATATTTTGGAAAATGAAACTCGATCGAGATATTCTCCGATGTTTTGCAGTCGGTAATAGCCTTCAACCCCTTTAGCCAGTAATTAACCCGTCCTCCCTGTGCCCAGTGGCATAATTCGGTCAAATATTTATTGTTCATGAGGGGTGCCTTATAATTAATCACAGGCACCTGAATTTTTTATCAGTAAGTCTCTAAATTAGCCAAATATCGAAACATTCTACCCCCTCTATATATAAATACACAAGGTGTGAAGCCTGAATCGAACAGGTGGTCAAAATGGCGTTGGAATTTAACACATAAATCGGAAATGCCTACTGGTTTTCGTGTAGCATTGGGTTCAAATATGATATTTCTCGCTATACATTTCTTCCTAAAGTTTAAATCTAACGCGTTGATAATGTTCAAGTTGTCAGCTAAACTTCATGCTGACTTCGAATTTCGTCACAGGGCCCGATCGCCATCAGCTGATGTCACGAAAATTTAGTCTCGACACCAAATGCTCCTATACATAAACTTTTTTTAATACAACAATTATAAATTTATTTCATTGACAAACAAAATCAGAAGGAAAAAAAACCGAAAGATTATGTTGTTTTGATAGTCTTGATTTTATTTAACATATGTTATATGTGTTGAAACAAATCATAGGTACTAAGTAGAGGCTTTGTTGAAGTTTCCGCTGTCAATAGGTAGCGCCTTATGGAAGTTTCCGGTGTCGATAAAAATCGGACACATGCCATAAAGCGGTTAGCGAAGCTAACCGCTTAAAAATGCTAAATTAAGTAAAAACTTATTTTTTCATTATATACTTTACAGCAAATTCTGTAACAAATGTTAATGTTTTGAGAGGAATTCAGTTTGTCCCATGGGCATAATTATCAAGCACTGGTCAAGGAGAATTTTGATAGCAGAAATGTGCATGTCAAATTAGAGAGAAATTAATGAGTTCATTATCGGGAATTAACTGGCAAGAGCATCTCTAGATCTGATCATGCAGTGTTATCTTAATTTATCTCTTGGGAGTTGGGCAAAAAGAAATGACCTTATATTTGGTGTAATGTAATTAAGAGTTCTTGATGGCTGTAGTCCAGATAAAGATCTTTCAATTGGTGTAATGTAATTAAAATAAATTGATGTTTTAGTGTATGATTAAAACTGAATTAGTATTGTATAATATAATTAAAATTAAACTATACATGTGTTCATTGAAAAAAAAAATATATTTCAATTTTTATATATTTGCAACAAATTGCAGTCATGTCTCAGAATTTTATAGTTTAAAGAATAATTAATTTTTGATTTTTTTTTATTAGACTGTAGCATTTCCATTATTTCATAAAATATGCAATAAACAATTTGAAGCTGCAGATGGATATTTGTTAAGCTCTAACACAGCCGGTTTAGAATAATATGATGTATTATTTGTTTTAACATGATAAGAAATGGAAATTAGATCATTGAAATCTGTGTCAATCTGTTAATCAAGGTTACTTGATTTTCTTGCACCCTAACCAATTTATGATTATCGAACAATATTTGACGGGCGTATCATGCTGTGGCGGGGCACTTTATTAGACAATAGTGAACACCTCTTACTAGATCCATAAGATATTTCTGAATTGGCACCTACTCTGAAAACCCAGCGGGGGTATTTGTCCCTATTGGACAGTTCTAGTTTTCATTTCTTGCATAGTAGCACAATCTTAAACTTCTAAAATTTCTTTTCTCATTAGATTTCCAGGCTTTTGGCATAGTCATAATTTTGTTAATTTATCTTCAAACTTGTTTTCAATATACATGTAAAATTCTTTTTCTAATAAAAGTTTTGACGCACATCTGCATGCCAATTGAACTACTTATGTTTATCGAATCTGATGTGTAACTTCATAGAATGTTAATAACTTCACAATTTATCAGTAAAAATATGTCTGTATTCACAGCATGAATTAATTATTTGACAATAAAAAAGATCTAAAATCTTCTCCAACATCTTTGGCATGACATCGATAAGTCTCCAGCTGTTTTGCATCTTGTTGTGTATAACTTGGTAACGATGGACTTTTTCATACCCGGAAGTGTAAAATCTAGAGGCGTTCTGACAGAGTATTCGATGCATTGGTCATTATCATAGAAACAGTCTGTAATTGAGTCGCCCCCTACGTTGGGTTAATGATTAAGATGTGTGTAAATTATAAAAACAGTCGTTTGGTCGAGAAAATTTCGAGTCAGACATATTATTTTTATTTTCGTAAATAGGGAAAAATAGGGTCGGCGGAATCGTAAACCAAGAGAAAAAAAAACTTTGGCCTTAAATGTGTTTTGCCAGTTTGCTCATATCTCGCTGCTCTGTTGTGTGGGGAGGGGGATATAATTTTATGAGCATGCTAGAAGTGCTTCTAGTTATAGAATAGTAAATTCACCATGCTGTTACATTATCTTATACAGTGTTTTGTTTTTTATAGGTTATACCCAGTGTAGATGGGATTTATTTTAAGGACTTAAAACAAACACTTAAAAAGGAACAATGTGATGTAGGTTTTTTCTTCCTTATTGTAATTTAATTGTAGAATAAAATCAGCAATTGATATTTCTTTAAATGTTGTATAATCTGTTTTGTTTTTCAGCCATACATTTTGATCTCTGCTAACGTGCCGAGTGCTAAGAAGATTCTGATTCACGGCCCAGATGAGGCCAGTATTCCCTCACAGCTCCCTATACACGAGGTCTGTATCACTGTCCATACACACATGGAGTCCAATTATGTCTGTTTTATTGTTAAAAGTTTGACTTCGAAAATTCATTGTTCTTTAATCTTGTATTTAGTGAGATAAAGGGAGATAATTCAGTACACCGAGTTCACTTTTTTTCTGTAGGACACCCAGTTTTCTCAGATTTTACAAGACAGCCTGGATTTCTTCAATATTCCAGAGGAAGATTATCCACTGTACTTCTTAGTGGACACCAAGTCAAGTCAGTAAAATAATTTACCTGATATAGGATTTGTCTTTTTAGAGGATGTTGTCGAATTATTTCAAACAGTTCTTTCTGCCAAGTATGAAATTTAAGGCAGTGAATTTCAATTATTGAAGTTATTAAATTACTTCCTGCTGCCCCTTACTGAAGGCCTGTTATGTAAAGTAATTTCCAGATTTTTTATGTGTAAAAACAGACACTCTGTAATTGTAAACATACTCCTTTTGTTGACAGACCAAATCCACAACCTGAACTCTTATGTGAGGGACTTTTACTTTTTCCGTCGGAACTTTTATCCTCAGCTTAGTTTGGTTGCAATAGATCCAGATAATGCCATGGCTTCACTGGAGAGACAGGTCTGGTATTCCTACACTCCTTTAATTTTTTTTACTCACTGTGTTTGTTCATAGATATATGTATATCATTAATCTTCATACTTTATTTGATAGGCCTTTACCCTGAAGTTTGTGGAAATAGGAAAGATTCTCTTCACAACCAATGTCTTGAAAAGCACACCTCTACATCAGGTAAACGATACATGTCATGAATGTCAATTCATCTAGCTGATTAAATCTACTTGTACATGTATAAATTATGAATGTTCATGAAAACAGTGATCAAAATGGAACTATTAAAAAACTAACTAATGAATGATGGATGGACATGTTGTTTTGCAAGGTATACCCTAGACATTGAGATAGTGTACTTTGGTAATGGATTCAATGCATGTCTTTAGAGAAAAAAAAATGGTGTTTTTCAGATTCAGAATCATGTTAGTTTCCTTCATGAAGAACTGCTGAAGTTGCCATCATTTCCTAGGAAGGCATTGGAAGCTGAGTTCAGTCTGTACAACGGGAAAGGAGGAGAGGTCAGTGTTAAGATTATTAGTGCTAGAGAGGTCACAGAGGTCAGTGTTAAGATTATTAGTGCTAGAGAGGTCACAGAGGTCAGTGTTAAGATTATTAGTGCTAGAGAGATCACAGAGATCAGATGGATCTTCACATGATAAAAATTACAAATGATAAAACCATTTTAGAGATTGTTAATGATGTGAACATATTTCTTACAGGAGATCTATGGCTTGGACACTCTGCATAAATTCTCATGGGTGAAGGTAATATTTGCGTATAATTCAAGTTACACAACTAGAAATGCAATAAAAATGCTCATTTCTTTCATGATAATCTTTCAGTTGATATCCACGCTGTTTTCCTCCATGTCTAACTCGTTTTCGTGGAGTAATGACCTTCAGCTGTTCCTCAATGTCATCAATGGCTGTGTTATACTCCACTGTGAGGACACGGCTCTACTGAGGTTCTGTCTGGCCTCCCTCATCAACACCTCCAGGAACTTCAAACACGTCTTCTCCATGAATGGGTGAGTTAACAGATGAGTATCTAAATGTAGCATAATCATGACAATAATGTCTACCTCTCTTTCCATTCAGTCACATCTAGCCGATAAAGATTCCGGGTGATCTAAGTGTGTTTCTTGATCTTTAATCTAATATTCTTTGTGTTTAAGAGACTTAAGTTCCATTTTGTATTGTAGGTTTATGCATGTCATGCCCACACTTTTGAAGACATACAGTAATAATCAACCAAACCCAGTGTTGTGTCAAGCCATAGAGTTTGTCTGCAGACAGTTTTATATACTCCATCGCAAGCCATTCATACTTCAGGCAAGTCTAATTATCCTCAGCATTATGTTCATTTAAATGGCAAATATTCATCTGTAACATTATAACAATATTTGAAATTTTATACTTTGACCTGGAGACTAGTATGCAGATCATGAATATTTAATTACCAGTACAATGAATTATATTGATACTCAGTATGTTAAAACAAAATATAAGAGAATTGCCACATGTTTTCTTTACAGATGTTTGGAAGTATAGCCAACATGTTGGACATGACTTCCAAAGACACTGGAATGATAGACTGCAGGAAGGTCTGTATCTGTAAATCATTGATTTCTGTAGAATGTTCAGAGCTTTGACATACCTTTTCCTTCATGATGTTAATTTTTCCGTGTCCAGATACAACCTGGTTGTCTGTTTAAGCTGTTGCTCTCCCTAGAGAAACCAGACTGTGCTGACAATTTGAGTATCCTAGAATTAGTGGACGGGAAAAAACCTCTCGAGGCGCTTGTAAGTAGCTTAAGAAATTCCTCAGAGTCATGCAGTATTGAAGTTTTGCTTATTAACCTACAAGAATGAGACCCTAAAAGATTTTATATTGCCTTGTTGACATGTTTTCTGTAGGACTTTTGCTATGAGAATGACCCTGACAGACTGACCATGATTGAGGTCATCAATCTGTGTGTTACAGTTATAGCTTATGCCCCGGACTCATTTAGGAGTGTTCAGATGTTGGTAAGTGAATAGAACAGTAAAAAAGTAAGTAAGTGTCAGTTTTGTTTCCTTATAACCAGTCCATCTTAATTAATCTTTTTATTTTCTCAGACCATCCTAGAAGTAGTGGTTTCTAAATATGTCCAGCATGTCAAAAGTGAGACAATCCGCGTAGATAAACCACATGCAGCTCAGGCAGAAGTGTCTGCCATCAACGATGTGGGAATAGCCATGCGGGCTCTCATCAGCTCCTGTGAATACTTTACCAGGTAAAATTCTAGAATCAAGATTGGAGAAATATATGTTTTTGATCACTATATTCCAATATACAAGATTTTCTTTGTAAACATATTTTTCACTTGAAAAGGAGTATGGCGCTACCGAGACAGATAGAGAATGAGAAAGCTAACCCTAAAAATGTGGCCAGTAATCACTCGCCACTGGGAGGGACCAGTTACTATGACGACAGAGAAGACTCCCACATCAGGTTAGTTTGTTTTTCTACACAAACAAATATGACATTATGAATTAAATAAATAAATCTTTAAGGGTATGTTTGTTTCCCAGTTTTTAGAAACTGAATACTTAGTAAGAAAATAAATCTTGCTAGCAGAACTCTGTTTTGTCCAGTACCATTTCTTCTTTTTCTCAGCTATCAATTATTTCCTATCAGGTTGTTTATAGTTTAAACTGTTAATGTGTTGACTTTTACTCAACAAAAGACTATCTGTTTCCAATATTGTTCTTCTTTGTGATAGTATATGTACCATAAATTCTCGTTATCTCAAAATTGATAGGACCATGAAAAGACAGAAATATATGAGGATTAGATACATCAAGAGTATAATATTAAAAGAATAAGTGTTTGGGACTTTCAGATCACTTTAACATATTCATGGTATCTAAGATAATGGTGTTCAAGACACCAAAGTTCAACTGTATTAAAACAGTTATACAACAGTAAATTCATGTATACATTAGTGTCATTATTTCCAGTCGCCATGTAGAGGAAGGGAGGAAGAAGCAATATACACAGGAGACAGAGGACACGGAACTGACCAACGAGTTCAGAAAGCCGCGAGACTTATTCCTGATGGTCATCGCCGAGTTCTACAGCACCTGTCAGCCGCGACTGAGGAGTAACGAGCTCAGGAGGATGTTAGTGGACGCTGCCTCACGACCTCCTACTGAGTTACTGGACCACAAATCTCACAACGTAAGATCTCATCATCACTAGTCTAACAACATAAGATATCTATCTCCTCAATGAAAAAGTCAGTGATACTGAAAAATTCCTAGCGGAAGATTCATCAACTGTAATCTTATTCACTGCAGTCAAGTTTGAATTTTCTGTTACATACTGATTGTAGAGATTGGCAGAGATAGCTAACACATTGCTGAAGTTGGCCCCTTATGATCCCCAGACACTCAGCTGTACAGGACTTCAGAGGTAAGGGATTAAAACTAATGGAAGGTGTAGAAGTATTTACTATTAAAGTTTAGTTAAACAGGGTATTAGTATCGTGCAAACCGTCAGGGAATGGGTAAGGCTTCGAACACCAGATGGTAGTTTCAGGGGTTTCAACTAGGGATTCCTTCATAGAATCAGTTATAGTAGAGTTCAAAGTAATAAGATGTTACTATTTTAGTTTAGTTTATTGGAATATTTGTATTAAGTGAAAGTCTATATAAGGAATTCAATCAGGTATCAGTTACAGTAGAGTACAAAGTTCTAGTGTTGATTTATTTTCAGGTACATGATGGAAATACTACCACTGACAAACTGGAAGCAGGAAGCGGTGCGGCCCGGACTGAATCTGATCCTCCGACGCCTGGATCGACTGTTTAACAAAATCTCTAAAAAGTCCTCACTCAGGGTAAGTCAGATCATCCCAGAATTCTTATCTGTCAGTCAGGGTAGACTCCACGATTATGACATTTCAGCAGTGAAATATACTGTAATTTATCCATTGAATAAAAGTGATATCCTGTCACAGTGTGAAAGGATATCAAAATGATATCCTGTCACATTTTGACAAATGTCAGAAGTGCGGTAAGACTCGAGATTTACCTTCCCATAACGAAGAGTGTTGTAAAAATATTCCTTGGACTGTTATAATATATAGAGAGAGTAAATAAAACATTCTGACAGAGAATAAGACTGCCAAAGTTCCCCAAAATATGTTGCTAAAATCCATTTTTACAATTTTTTCAATCTCGTATCACTTAGCTATGACGTCTCAACTGCTCAACTATGACGTCATGTAGCCTATGACTGTATATACAAAAATACAAATAGGCAAAGGGAAAATCAAAGAAAATGTAATAAACAGAAAATTCAATGTTTTGTAGTTGAATATGGAATTTATTTCACTCGTGAGACAGGATTTTTAGCTCACCTGAGCCGAAGGCTCATATGAGCTTTTCTGATCAAAATTTGTCCGTTGTCGTCGTTGTTGTCGTTGTAAACTTTTCACATTTTCATCTTCTTCTCAATTAAGAACCACTTGGCCAATTTCAACCAAACTTGCTACAAAGTATTCTTGGGTAAAGGGGATTCAAGTTTGTTCGAATGAAGGGCCATGCCCTTTTCCAAGGGGAGATAATTTTGAATTATAGAAAAATTAGTGGCATTTAAAAAAAATCTTCTTTCCAAGAACCACTGGGCCAGGAAAAATGAAAAATATAAAAAAGTTTGTTCAAATCCTTTTTACAGTATAGAAAAAATCTTTCAAAATCTTTTTTTCAAGAACCACTTGGCCAGGAAAGATGAAACTCATTTGGAATCATCCTCAGGTAATTCAAGTTTCTTCATACATAGGAATATATAGGAAAAATCTTTCAAAATCTTCTTCTCAACCACAAAACATTGAATATCCTCTATTTATCTTCTGAATGCTGTCTTTTGTTTCATTTGCTAACAATGCTTTGACATTACTCTTCAGAGACAGGCAGACTGGAATGCAGCAGCCAATCTTCTACAAGGTAAGAAGGATAAGTTACAAAGACCGGTAAATCAAATATAAAAAAAAATCCTGTCTCTGTTTATCCTCTATTTATCTTCTGATTGCCGTCTTCTGTTTCATTTGCTAACAATGCTTTAACATTACTCTTCAGAGACAGGCAGACTGGAATGCAGCAGCCAATCTTCTACAAGGTAAGAAGGATAAGTTACAAATAAATGTAAATCAAATACTCTGTTTATTACAGTAGATTAGGACCAATTAGGCAACTTGATGTGCTTATTGTAAATTTGATTGATACATTGTAATTATTGTTTTAATACATGTACGCAAATTTTTATACAATACTGTTAGTGTTTTAGCAAACTCAAAACATCAAAAGTAAATAATAAAATGTTTTGGTTTTTGTGAATTTGTGCTGAGATTTTTTTAAACCAGCCAATCTATCAAATGTATAAATTCACATCAAAACGTGTTGAAACTTTAAAATTTGTACACTTGCAAATCTGGGTTAAAGACACTTCGATTTTTAGAAGAGGATGTTAATTTTTCAGCCAGTAATTTTTATAACATATAATTTTAAATTTAGTGGAAAAGTTTATATATTGGCTTACTGTAAGTTGTTTTATGTCTCTGTATAAAGAGCAATGATAATCTCGGTCACAAGAGATCTGTTTGCATAATAACATATAATTTGAGTGTATGTACCTTTACAACTGTATTGTAGAAAAACTGTATGTCATTACATGTTTGTTATAATAGTGTTTGCACTAAATTAAATGAATTATAAGTAGAGCAGATTAAAACAATATTTAAAAGGTAGATCAGTAATTTGATTCTGTAAGAATTTTTTTGATTGAATTACAAAATTGCTGGATTATATAGGGGTGTTCCTTTAAAAGATAACATTATGTAGGGGTGTTCTGTATTGTTTCCAGACAAAACAAGGCATGTATGTCATTACATTATACAATATTAAAGTTGTAAAATTATAAAAAGTTTGAAATTGATATAATTAGTTGATCCTGTACATATCAGGTTAAGGTTAAGTTTTTTGGAGCAGTTTTCTTTTTAATTACTTCTGTGTCCTATACTGATTAGACATGCATGGAAATTTTTAAATGAATTATAAGGTTAATGTTTTTGGAGCAGATTAAAACAAACTATTTAAAAGGTAGATCAGTTTGGTAGTTAGTTTTCATTTCCAAGTAACTATAAGCCCTATGTTGACCAAACTTGCATGGATGATACATCTATAGCTTTCAAAATTTTTCCGATTAAAATTTTGGTGCAGATTTCTGCCCTATGTTGACCAAACTTGCATGGATGATACATCTAAGGATTTTTTTTAATTGAATTACAAAATTTTTCCAGTATATAGTGTTAAAGTTTTTGGTGCAGGTTTCATTTCCAAGTAACTATAAGCCCTATGTTGACCAAACTTGCATGGATGATACATTTAAGGATGCATACTACCGGATTTGCTTCGGATGCTGAATCTGACCTACATTTTCCAGTTGAGCGTGTGTGCAGGTTTTTTTTTTGACCAAACTTGCATGGATGATACATCTAATGATGCACACTACCAGGCTTGCTTCGATTATTTTCCGTAGTGATTAGTTAAAAGTTTTTGGTGCAGGTTTCATTTCCAAGGAACATGAGTTCTTTAATGACCAATCTTGCATAGATGATACATCTAAGGATGCATACTTCCAGGCTTGCTTCGGATGCTCTGATTTTTTGTGGATGAGTGAAAATGTTAGTTTTGATGCATGTTTCATTTCCAATAAACTATGAGCATAATGAGCAAACTTGCATGGATGATACATCTAAGGATGCACACTAATGGACTTGCTTCGGATGCTGAATTGGACATACATTTTTCAGATAATAGACAAGGTAAAAGTTATGGTTGCAGGTCTATTACCAAAAACTATAAGGCTTATATAACATTGTATAAACCAAACTTGCACAAATGCTGCATCAAGAGATGAAAACTCTCAAATTTGCTTTTCATTACATTTTCATGAAGAAGAAGTAGTTTAAATTTTTTATGTAGGTCTATTTCAAAGTATAATGCTTTTAAAAATAGTTTCATTTTTGGAATGTATACTTTTTGTTGGTTAATTGTGTGACTTTGCCATTCTTTAGTCATCTAAAGTTGTTGCAACAATTTTTTTTGGCAATTATTTTAATATTATACTTTTAAATTTGAATGGCTTTGGAAATCTAACAATTTAATGCTTGTAATTGTGTAACATGCATTTTAACAAAACTTATATGCTCTTGACTACAGATTTTATATTAATGAGCAGGTCTTTATCTAGTGGACCTTTTTCTATTCTCTGTCCTTGAACTGCCTGTCTATCCATTGACTCAACAGAGGAAATAAAATATCTAACATATGGTTATTTTTTAAAATAATTTGTGTTTTATTTGCATTATTTAAGGCAAATAAATGTATCATTTTTTTGTAAAATTTATTTTTTTTTCCTGTATGCAATGTGCGTATGAAAGCATCTTAAAGAGATGTATTGGAAAATGTACTCAAATATGTATACTAGTAAATAAAATACTGTATACAGGGTTATTTTTGCCCCTAGCTTTTTTTCATTCTTTGATTTCTGCCACAATTTTCCCTATCTTGAATATGCTGAGAAACAATGAATATGGAGAAAGAGTTAATGCTATATAAATTCCCTACTTGTGTTTTGTGAAGCTGAAATTGGCAAGAATTTCCCTGCATACAAATTATTACAGTATATTACGATCAGTCAGAGGACTTATTGTAACTTTCTATACATTTTTTGTTTTATTATGTGTTCAACTCACATCTGTAATTGATTTATTTTCTAGAAACAGATCATGCTTTTATATTTGAATTCTAACATAAACAATACACTGAACTAACAGTACAATAACTGATTAACTGTGCTGCTGTTGTAACCACTAAGCCAATAACATCTATGGATTTGTCTTGCTTGAAGGTGTATATTTGGCACTAAAGACATTCCAGTACATTGCCCATTTACCCCACCTAAAGGTAAACTTGAGATCTGGGTGGTGCATGTGGTGGTCAGTAGATGGCCCTGGCATGTGTGAATATGTAGGTCAAAGCTGTGGTGGTCCCCTGGCATGTCTGAATATGTAGGTCAAAGCTGTGGTGGTCCCTGGCATATCTGAATATGTAGGTCAAAGCTGTGGTGGTCCCCTGGCATGTGTGAATATGTAGGTCAAAGCTACTTGGCCTAGATAGCTCTGGCATGTCCTCTCTCTTAATGACCAACTACAATGACACCTTGACTCTTTGGTAGTGAAGCTCAGATTTTGTTAAATGTATGTTGTCTCTGTGCTCATTTTGTATCCCAGCTATTTTAATCTATTTATTTGGTGTTCTGTGGAGAATTGTTAGGAAAGTTCAATATAGAGAAATGAAAAATTCAATTGCAAGGGAATATTGGGATAACTGATTAATACAGAAATTTATGGGTATCATAAATGAAACCTTACCTTTTAGTGGGTGGTTATTTCCCTTGAAGCATTTTGTTTAAGCTCTGTCCACTGTTTGTTTTGTGTGTGCATCTTGTTGTTTGTGTCTTCGTGCTAACAATGGTATTGTACTGGCATTGTTCTTGTATATGAAGCTTTTGTGAATTGCATGATCAATATTGTAAAAAAACAAAAACAAAACCTTTATTAGTCAAAGGACCACTATTGCTTATTAAGGGTATAGTTTCTAAAGTTTTAAAGTAAATATTGGCATTTTTTAATCCTAAAATTTTACTTAAAAATTAATTGTGTCCATATTTGGTGCAATTTTCTGAATTATTTAATAATATGCATGATATTTGAAAGCAGAGTTAGTTAGAGGTTGTTATTTTCTCAATCACTGCAGTGTGCTGCGATATTTTGTAAAAGCCCCATTTAACTACCTGTATTTTATACAGACGTTTGTCAATGCCCTGCTGGTGATTATATTGGCTGGTCCGGGGGCACCTGTTTTACCAGACACCTCCTCCGGAATACACGGCAGCCATCGCAGCGAGTTCGGTACGGTGTTCCATATCGTACCCCCTGCCTTTTGTTCAGCTGTGGTCAAACTGGTAGCCATGCAGATGCAAGCTCTAGGGGTAGGCATATTTGGAAAATCTGCAAACCTTTCATAGTTGGAAAAACTAGGAGAATCTTTTAAAGAGTTACTGTATATCAACAAATTTAAGTGACACCTTGTTTTCTTAAGATATTTATTTCATATCAATAAGCGATCATATTAATAAGTTAATACAGAGCAACTGTCTGGGGCATTTTTAGTGGATATTCATCAAGTTGTTTAATATACTACAGAAAAAGTTTGTCCCACAAAAGGGATGAATTCCGTTGGGAAAGTTATAGTTTGAATTTTTGTTGTAGGATCAGTTTTCCCTTGAACAGATCTGTGGAGGGAGTGTGTTTTCTTCACATGAGAAGTGTATCAACATGCTGGTTAATTTTATTCTGCCTCTCTGTATCAGACTGGGATGTGCAAGGAGAGGTAAGGGGGGTTGTATTTTAGAGTCCTTAAATTCAATTCAAATGAAAGTTAAAATCAACAGTTCTTAAAATTATCGCATCTCAAATAATATTCTGTCTTTACAGGTGACACCCCAAAGCTTCGATCAGACAATGTCTCCTTTGCCCTGACCGTGATCCTGAATATTCTGTGTCCCCCCGCCAGAACTCCACAACAACATCAACAGAACTCCACCGCAAAATCTGTGATCCACCACATGTCGTTCACAGAGAATCACAGATGTAGCAGCTTCAGTCAGGCCGATAAGATTCACAGACCAGAAAATCAGCTGCTCCTTAATGTGGCCTACCTAGGTATCCCCCACCCCCTATGAATGACATAAAAAATAATTTAGATCATTTAATTGTATTCCTAAAGCTACTACATCTGGATCAGTTATATGAATGAAAAAATCACACCAAGTTCACATCAATTGTCTTTTATTTCCTTTACCCCACAGGTCTGGAGATCTTGATGGTCTGTTTTGATAGAGTCCTGTCCTCCGAGTGGCACAAGGTTACAAAGGTCATCCAGGATATAGGCAGTAAAGGAAAAGGTAGAGTGTTCAACTCACATTACTTTTACTCACTGTAAGAAAGGTATCAGAATTATATGCATTATCATCACATTTTACCCTGTCTTTCTAGTGTCTTTACCGCTATGGAGATTTGTGGACTTTTTGGTCACCCACAGACCTTCATGTTTCCTGATGCTGCAGCCCTTCATACTCTACAAGGTACCCCTATAAGTAGACTGAGGATCATGAAATGAACCAAATCTAAATGTTTTAAAATTATCTTAACTTTGCTGTTGTATTCTGTAGATGATGAAGATAAACTGTGACACGGCCCAGGAGTACTACCTTCAGCAGGCCATTAAGGACAAAATGCAGGGGTTCTCCTTCTCCCATCCCAAGTGTTCAGCCACGGTCTTACTGCAGCTGGCAGTGGACCTACAGCATCTCAAGGAGGAGTTCTATAATGTGGGTCAGTATTTACAGCATCTCAAGGAGGAGTTGTATAACATGGGTCAGTATTTACAGCATCTCAAGGAGGAGTTGTATAACGTGGGTCAGTATTTACAGCATCTCAAGGAGTTCTATAATGTGGGTCAGTATTTACAGGAGTTCTACAATGTGGGTCAATATCTACAGGAGTTCTATAACGTGGGTCAGTATTTACAGGAGGAGTTCTATAACGTGGTTCAGTATTGACAGGAGTTATACAGGAGGAGTTCTACAATGTGGGTCAGTATTTACAGGAGGAGTTCTATAACGGTGGTCAGTATTGACAGGAGTTATACAGGAGGAGTTCTATAACGTGGTTCAGTATTGACAGGAGTTATACAGGAGGAGTTCTATAACGTGGTTCAGTATTGACAGTAGTTATACAGGAGGAGTTCTATAACGTGGTTCAGTATTGACAGGAGTTATACAGGAGGAGTTCTATAACGTGGTTCAGTATTGACAGGAGTTATACAGGAGGAGTTCTATAACGTGGTTCAGTATTTACAGGAGTTATATAGGAGGAGTTCTATAACGTGGTTCAGTATTTACAGGAGTTATATAGGAGGAGTTCTATAACGTGGTTCAGTATTTACAGGAGTTATACAGGAGGAGTTCTATAACGTGGTTCAGTATTTACAGGAGTTATACAGGAGGAGTTCTATAACGTGGTTCAGTATTTACAGGAGTTATACAGGAGGAGTTCTATAACGTGGTTCAGTATTTACAGGAGTTATACAGGAGGAGTTCTATAACGTGGTTCAGTATTTACAGGAGTTATACAGGAGGAGTTCTATAACGTGGTCAGTATTTACAGGAGTTATACAGGAGGAGTTCTAGTGGTTCAGTATTGACAGGAGTTATACAGGAGGAGTTCTATAACGTGGTTCAGTCTTTACAGGAGATATATAGGAGGAGTTCTATAACGGTGGTCAGTATTAACAGGAGTTATACAGGAGGAGTTCTATAATGTGGGTCAGTATTTACAGGAGGAGTTGTATAATGCAGGTCAGTATTTACAGGAGTTATACAGGAGGAATTCTATAATGTGGGTCAGTATTTACAGGAGGAGTTCTATAACGGTGGTCAGTATTAACAGGAGTTATACAGGAGGAGTTCTATAATGTGGGTCAGTATTTACAGGAGTTATACAGGAGGAGTTCTATAATGTGGGTCAGTATTGACAGGAGTTATACAGGAGGAGTTCTATAACGTGGTTCAGTATTTACAGGAGTTATATAGGAGGAGTTCTATAACGTGGTTCAGTATTTACAGGAGTTATACAGGAGGAGTTCTATAACGTGGTTCAGTATTGACAGGAGTTATACAGGAGGAGTTCTATAACGTGGTTCAGTATTTACAGGAGTTATATAGGAGGAGTTTTATGGTTCAGTATTGACAGGAGTTATATAGGAGGAGTTCTATAACGTGGTTCAGTATTTACAGGAGTTATATAGGAGGAGTTCTATATCGTGGGTCAGTATTTACAGGAGGAGTTCTATAACGTGGTTCAGTATTGACAGGAGTTATACAGGAGGAGTTCTATAACGTGGTTCAGTATTTACAGGAGTTATATAGGAGGAGTTCTATAACGTGGTTCAGTATTTACAGGAGTTATACAGGAGGAGTTCTATAACGTGGGTCAGTATTTACAGGAGGAGTTCTATGACGTGGTTCAGTATTGACAGGAGTTATACAGGAGGATTCTACAATGTGGATCAGTATCTACAGGAGTTATTAACTCTTTACAACTTACAGAATTGCTATGCAACATACATTGAATCCTCGCGTCATAGAAATATTACTTTACCATTTCTTCGCAAGCACTTTATAGCGGGGTACAAATTTCTCTAAAGTTTAGCGTAAATAATATCCTGAAATAATATTCTAATTAGAAAATAACTTTTCCAATTTTATGAGGATCAAGCAAGTATAAAATAGTTGGAATTTGGCTATAAATTGAAGATTAAATGAACTTTTTAAAGTGCGTGAAAATGCGTGATTGCGGGGAAACGGTAAATGTGTGATTTTGCGTTTAGAAATAGGAAATGGTATATGCGTTAAAATGCGTGACTGCAGGGAAGGGTGTTAAGAGGAGTTCTATAATCTGGGTCAGTATTTACTGGAGTTCTACAATGTGGGTCAGTATTGACAGGAGTTATACAAGAGGAGTTCTACAATGTGGGTCAGTATTTACAGGAATTCTTAAGGAGGAGTTCCTAACGTGAGTCAGTATTTACAGGAGGAGTTTTATAATGTGGGTCGGTATAACAGGAATATTAACATTATTTTCAAAGAGGACTTCTATAATATAGATGAGTATGTTGTCAACAAAGAGTTCTGTAATGAAAATGGGTACAGTAAAACTCGTTTAGTACGAACACGGATGTAGCAAATTCACGGATATAGCGAAGTTTTACTGGGTACCGGGCAAAATTCTTAACAAATCTTTGTAAAATTTTACGGTTATAACGAACTCTGATGTAACGAATTTACGGATATAGCAAACTGATTTTGAGTCCCGTTGAGGTTAAATATAATGAAATTTACATCCTTTATAACGAACTCTCAAAGATTATAAAGAAATTGATAAATTAAACTGACTCTATTTCTGTTTAGCATTTATATATAAAATCCAATTCATAGTATAACTTTAGTTATCAAAAAATATGTTTTTTGATATTTGCTTTCCTAACATATTTGGTAGTAATACCTGAAGGAAAACATGCATATTGCGAATTCGCTATAATGGTTATACGAATTCGTTATACGGATATAACGAATTACGGATATAGCGAATTAAATTCACAGGTCCCCAGGACTTTGCTATAACTGAGTTTTACTGTATTTACATGAGTTATGAAAAGAGCATCTCAAATTTTACGTGAGCTATGCAAAGATCTTGATATTGTGAAAAAATCTGTAATTTAAACTGAAGTACTCCAAAAGAAATATATCATGTTCACAAAATCTAAGGTTATGTATTTTTATCGCTGTAGGAGAGGTGCGTTCTCTGGATGCTGATCTCCCACACAACCAGTATGAGCAGAGAGCCAGTGTAACGGACATCGCCATTGATTTGATTGGATTATCTCTCGGACCAACACTAGCAGCGGGTGGAAAATTCCCAAGTGGTAACAGAGTTAACTCCCTCTATCAGATACACTCTTTTCATTTTAATACTGTCAATAATGTAAATGTTACAGGAAGGGAAAGCAGTTATTAAATGTTTCTTGCTAAAAGAATTTGCCCTGAATATGTCGATTAAGATTTTTCATGTCTTTCTTATATTTCACATTTTTATATGCTGTAGGATGCAAATTTATTAATATGATGCATATTTGTATCAAACTTAGACAAATTATTTTTTCATTAATTTTATTTACGTTTAGCGACTATTTTGTCCCAGCCGAGTTCTGGTACGAGTCCTCCGTTTAAGGCGACAGCTGTGACCTCCAGTATAGAGAGTGATAGTCCCACACACACCAACACCAAGGCCAGTCGACGAATCTCCGCCAAGGAAAACCTCAGTATTCTGGAGAGATTTCGTAAACCAACAATGGATGACATGTCACCACTGGGTAGGATTTCCAAGTGGTTTTCTTTTTGATTTTCCTATAGTAAATCTAATGAATTTTTATATCATTAATGAAAGTAATTCAACCTGAATTTTCAAAGTATACAGTTTCAACAACAGTTTCCTTTTTTCCTTAACAAGTTTCAGCAATAGATGAATTTATGTATCTTATGATGATTATGCTTTGTGTTGTAAAGTAAATTGTATGAATCTATGAACACCCTATTTAGGCCATTATAAATAAATTGCTAGATTCTCATCCGAATTTTTTTAAAAATCGAGGCAGGCGGGTGGCTTCTATTTTATATTTTTTATTTTTTCAATTTTGCAGATTTTTTATTGACCTGGTCAATCGGTCTAATTTTATCTGCAATACCCGAAAAAAAGTCATAGTAAAGGTTCAATTATCTCTTACTTCACATCATCACCAATCTTTCTCAACCAATGACCCTTGTTTAAATTATATATGCATGTATTACCATCTTTTCAGCTGTCAAAATCATGTCGACTTTCGCGGGATTTAAAACGAAAGTAGAATGGTAGATGAATATTGATCCCGATCAGAATTAAGACGAAGAAAAACAGAAATAAAAAAAATCGAGGTGGGGGTATAAAATTGGGGCGGCGGGGATGAGAATCTAGGAATATTTTTATTATGGCCTTATGTCCACAAACTAAAGATTCTGGAATAAATTTAATTCATATAAATATCTTGACAGATTCCTCTGGCCCGGAGGTTTGTTCGTTGTCCAGACAGCCCGCTATTTATAGATCTACTGACACTGTGTCCAGACAGAGTAGTATAGACGAGACGATACCCCCCGCTGTCATGTACCACGCCAATGAACTTGAAACACCCAATGGACTCGGTATGTGACAATTAATTGTAGGTGGATATGTCATGATATTTAAGACATAGACATGTACCAGGTACATGTATCTGGAAATTTCTACTGTATAAGTGGAAATTTTAGCGAGACGGAAATTTAGCGATTTGACCTTAAAAATTGGTATTTTTTTTTTAGCGAGATGTAATTTTAGAGATTTCAAAGTGCTCGCTAAATAGGCTATCTAAATTTAATTCCCTGGTTCTCAGGCCAATTTTCTCCAAAACAGATGCGGGAGGGCGGCATTTTATTTTTCATTTTATTGGCAATAAAGTAGATGAGGGATGTATTTTTTTTTATTTTAATTTCCAAATTTTCTTTAACATAAAGATAATTTTTTTAATCACAGATATACTTTCCATTTCTGGTCAAAATTTCTGCTTTATCCATTGCTTAACAGCATGTAAACATCGTAAGTAATGTCCTCGAGTGTATTTTCAAACGAAGTAGCCAAAATCTCATTGTAAATGGCTACCGGAAGTGATATTTGAATACTAAACTACGAAACAAATGAGGTCAAAATTTTTTTTCCCAGATTGGTCTCCACAATACCAACTTTTTATTTTATCAAAAATACAATAAAATCGGCAATGCTGCTACCTCAAAACGGATGCGCGCGGGCCTGAGAACCAAGATTTCAATTTTATATGGCCTAAGTTATTGCATATTAAACCCAAAATTTTTAGTGATATTCAATTTTAACGATCTCAGCACCCTTGTTAATAATGTCAAAATTAAATCCTCGCTAAAAATTCTGCTGATATGGTTATTGATTTTAAGCAATTTTGTGTAAAGACTGCATATGCAAATAGATTCTAACAAGATTTTAGTGGTCTTTGTTTCATTTAATAAGCAATGAAGTGAATTGGCTTAATTTAGAAATAAAGCAATTGATATATTGCGTTTTGACCAAAATTTTCAAAAATGAATTGTAAAAAAAATTCTAAATTTACATTGACATTTCAGTATGCAATAAATTTAATGTAGATTCCTTATTTTTCGTGAGTCCTTATTATCTCAAAATGGCACTTTAACGTCTAATTGTGAGAACATTAATTCCCGAGTGGACGATCACATGATTTTACGTTGATTTCAGCACCGTAAAGCGAGTAATTTTATTTTGCAAGTGGTGCTTCTCACGAAATTACGTGATAATTAATTCCTCACATATGTTTAGGAATTTACAATAGTGAGCTTGTAGTTAAAAGATAATGTGGATTAATGAGAAATGATAATGGCATGATTTTTTTGTAGCCAAACAAACAATCAGCCCAGATCTAGATCCAAAGATACATCGTCTACAAAGGCAGGATGTAAGAAGCAGAAAAACATTTAAGCGCAAAAAGGCGACAAAAGCCCCAAGCATGAAGCGACTGGGAGGTGTGGGAGATGATCTTAGTGAAGGTGAGGCCGGGAGTTCCGAAAGTTCTCCCGCTCGTAGAACCTACAGCATGCGACGCACAAATCACGACAGCATCTCTACCTACCAAGACAGATCTGGTTATGTCAGGGAGATTTCCCGCAGTCACCAGGGATTTACGTCACACCCTGGATTTCCTGAGATGTCCCGCACAGTGAACACGCGGTCCAGCTGGGGCAGTGGTTCGGAAAGGAGTCGAGCCCAGCATCGGGGCGGCTTAGCCCAGTCTGAACACGGCCCACATACTGCCAGGGGGGAAGTCAAGGTAGTATTGAATTAAACCACATGCCTGATCTGAGAGTGACTTCGGAGCTTTGCATGTTTTATCCTTGATTTGGGATCATATTTGCTTGTGAAATTTTCTTTTTGTGTTTAAATACAAAATAATTTGCATGTACAATATATTAAATATGGATTGTATTAAGTGTATCTGCCATGAAGCTGAAAGTTCATCTGAGCATTTTGTATTAAAATTTCTGTTTGTTGAATTTTACATTTCATGTTCTTCAGAAGCAGTTTCAAATTTGTTCAACCACTTCCCCCATTACTGCCTCATTTTCTTAGACTACTATTTGATACTTATCCTGCATACTAAAAAATCTTTTTTCCTTAATTTTTGACACTTTTGTTTAGGCCTACGTCTAAATCTAAACTGAATGAAAGATTAAGCATATTCTTTCTTTATTTCTAATGTGAATGCATGATGTCTATAGTACCATCTCTTAAAATCTAAGCACAAGTATGCAACTAAAGAAATTCTTTAACAGAATATGTTTTCTTCTCAACCTTGCTTGAATATTTTTGTTTGATATTGTTGTCACCAGTGGTTTTAGATGCATGATTTTGTTATTCAAATTCAAATAGAATTGATTTATATACTGTTAAATTCTTGGCCCTTTTCTTCATAATGATAATGAGTGTTAGTTAGATTTGTAATATATCTTGTCCCCTTCTGTAGACTAATAGACAGAGGTACATACAGCGCTCCAAATCACACGACGATCCTCACGGTGACCAACATGCCCCGTCTGGTTCGGCCCGAGGAAGAATCGCGCGACAAGGGGGTCGAATTGTCCACTCCCGCTCTCCATCCTCCAGCCCCGCCAGGGGTTCAAGGCCACCTCTAGACTGGACCACCAGAGCTCAACGAGAACCCATAGACGAGACCATCATAGCTCAAAGATTGCCAGGAGATGAGACAACTAGAGCTCAGAGAGAACTGTTAGACAGAACAACCAGAGCTGTATCTGGGACCCAGAACTCACAATCACAAGGCGTTACCTCCCCAATAGTGAGACGCCCAGCTAAGAGGGTCAAATCTCCGACGTCACCCCCGCTGGGCTACAGGATGAGCTCCCCTCCCTCGAGTCCGATCCACAGGAGCCAGGCCTACATCTCGCGCTACGACTCCAGTGACTCACTCAATGCCAACGAGAGCTCCGCCCTCATCAAAGACGGAAATGACTCGAGTCGATCGCAGTCCTCAGTCTGTATCTACTTCGATGACTTTGGGATCAAAGACACATTGGTTTAAACACATGACTTAGGAAATTCATAGATTTGTATGAACGGTTGTTGTTTTTGTGTTGTGTGTTAAGGGTTGGTGTTAAACCTTTAGATAGATTTGTTCTAGGCTAGTCAGAGCATGATACAAACATGGTAGAACTTAGTTGATGTTTACCATACTTATAGACATTGTTTTCTCAGATTATAAACACTGAATTCAAAAACAAAATGTCAGCATAATTAGGATTATCCCAAAAAGATTTGTTTTGTCAGCTAACAAAAGTATCACTTTGGTTATAGTTATGAAGACAAATATTCACTATTCTCTTATACTTGAAATTTTACCCTTAAGGGGGCCGACTATAGTTTTATTGTGTGAAAACTACAACAGCGAAACTCTTCATATTTATACCATATATAACTTACATTAACTTCAGTGTACATGCAAAGTTTGGGGGAAATCTACCGTCCAGGTATTTTTGAGGGACCGTCTCAAAATTCAGGTACATTTACTACAGGATTATATAGGAAAATGCCAATTTTTAGCACTTTAAAGCAAATTATACAAATACTACAATAGACATTTTGTTCAAACTATAATATTTGATGAGTAATACTATGTTATACAATATATGTAAGAAACACAAAATTCTACCGTCTTGTTACCAGAGGGGGCATCTCAAAATGCAAAAATTAGCAAATTTTACTATTTTTAGAGAGTATTAGAAAATATGACGTACACAATGGATTCATATGAAAACATAATAAAAATATTGGAGAATTTCTCAAATTTCTATGTTTTAAATTTCAAGAGCGTATGTTTATTACTTTTTCTTTAATAATATTTTTATTACCCCTTTCTTTAAGAGCTACAGATTATCATAACGTCAAAAACACACTGCAACGACGTCAACCTATCTATTAATTGCAAAATCGGTTAAAAATCAGTTATATCTAATTGTAATTACATTTTTATAACTATAATTTCTTAATTTTGTTTAATTTTAATGATTAAGCGAAAAAAGTTGCATTAAAACAGTAAATACGCTTCATTTTACTATGATGCGCGAAATATTGCGCAATGGAAACTATAGTCGGCCCCCTTAAATGGGGAATTTGTAAATCCAGTGGAATTAAAGACACATATCAACTGATTTTTTTACTTCGTTATGTAAAGTTCAGTACTATTTTTTATAATATTCAGCATCAATATCATGTGATGGTAGTGTTTCACAATTTTTAAATCAACAAAGAACCAAAATAGCTCGTACAATTCAGAAAACAAGAGTATTTGATTATTTTTGTCACACTTTGCTGGACGATTATCAAGATTGTTTTAGTTTTGTGCCAAAGTACTTGCAGTGCAATATTTTTACATACTGAGTTTATCTGAATTTATTTGTTATACAGAACATTATCATGTTATCTTGTTTTTAATTAACATTCAATACTACTGATTGTTTTGTGAAACTGATACTGTAAACCGACTTTTATTTGAGTGCGAGAAATTTCCGCGAAGTTCGCGAGAGTCTGGTAATCGCGAATATTTCTCGCCGCGAACCAGTCCTTAAAGTTTCTTTGTCTATTAAACAGATCAAAAAAGGCTTGATTGCGAAAATTAATCGTCGCGAACTAGTTTAACCCTGGTAAATCCCGAAATAAAGTCCTCGCGAATAAAAGTTGGTTTACAGTATTTTATGGTACATGTATTACCAGGGGTATATTGCCGTCTAAAATTTGTTTTGTAATCAACGCATCAAAATGTCAATGATTCTGATTTTACAGTGAACACTTGACAAATTTTTGACAAGACCATACAGCAATTTGCTGTGGCATACAAATAAAGAATACCTAAAGGTTGTAATCAATGGCATGGCGGATAAGTGGAAATTTTAGCGAGACGCAAATTTAGCGATTTGTTCTTAAAAAGTGGTATTTTGATTTTAGCGCGATGTAATTTTAGCGATTTTAAAAAGCTCACTAAAGAAGCTATTACAAAAAAAGGGCAATAAATTTTTAGCAATATTCAATTTTAGCAATCTTGGCACCCTCGCTAATAATGCCAAAATTAAATCCTCGCTAAAAATTCTACTTATACGGTAAATAGATTTCAAATAAACATAACACAAGTTTCAAAATGATGAAGATAGACCATTATTCTAATTGAAGCATTTACATCTTGTATCAGTATTGTTGGTTTAGAATAAAATTTGTTTTCCAGATCATTTTGCTGTCTTGCTTATTCACTATTTATTTTGTAGTAGTGTTATGTTTGATACAATACTATGCCTAAATAGCAACCACAAGTCAAACCCAAACTATTTAGGCATAATATATGCAAACCGCAATACTATTATCACTGTTATGCTGACATATGTGTATAAATATTAAAATTTATTTTAAAAACCTGCCCCAAACCTGTTTGCAAAATTTCATTGGTTATTGGCTCTTAGCTAATGCTATGGCCATTTGTGCTTTGTACATAAACTTTGAAATGTGGGCTCAAGAAGTCATGGCCAGATTTTTGTCAAATTCATTAGAGAATATCTTTGTCTCCAAGGGTTTCAATTATAGTAAATGAGGACCAAAATTGAAAACTGAAGTAAAAGGGAACAACAAAGCTTTATTATAAACATGATGACTTTTACTTTTCAATTGTCGACTGCCCTTATGCAGCAATATACCCTTATAACCTGGGGGCTTATATCTTTCTATTTGAACAATATATAAAAGGAAGTAAGTTATTGACAAACAAGTTGATGAAACATGCAGGTCATTAATTGCTGACAGATTCTTTGGTTATTTCCCTATCACGACAAGGAGCACATTGCAGATGTAACCAGTGGGCAGGGTATGGTCACTCCTCTATGGCACCTGATCTCACCTTTGATGTTTTAGAAGCCTGTGTTTGCGCTGCTATTTATTTGTATTGTTTGAATGGACTTTTGAGATTAAAAACCATTCAATGTCTTTGTATATTCCATTTTTCCCATTATAAGGACTAGGATCATAAAATCTTTAAAATCACCTATTTTTGTGGGGGCAAATTTTTGAGGTTTGAGAAAAAAATATTGATACGTGGGGATTTGATTAAATGGTTAGTACATAATAAGTGTTGAGTAGTAAAATATATACTGTATTTACATTTCGTGGTGTTCAGGAATTTGTAGGTCTCCATACTTTGAAAACAACAAAAATTTAACCCCAAAGAGAATTGGTGATTTCACAGTATGTTAACTCCAAATTAGGTCATTGTGTCCTACTTTCTGAATTTTGCAGGCATTCATTTTTCAAATAAATTTTTATACATATCTTAGACTTTGCATTATGGGCCCTGATGTATGTCAAACAGAGTAGGTCCTTTTAAAATTATGTAGCTTATCAATTCCAGAACAGTTCATTATTTAAGATATAGAGAGGTTTAGAATCGTCAAATTTTGTAAGTTGGGACCTTCCAACAAATTTCTTAAAAAGTAGGACACATGGTCCTACTATTTGCATGAAATATGGAGATAAAATCCATAATCAACCTCACATATTGGAAACAGAGCAAATGCAGACTTCTAAAAATATGTGATCCAGTACTCAGTATTAGACTAAGTGATAGATTGTTTTAGCAGACAAGTTAATTGTATTGACCATAGAACTTGCAAAGTGATGACTTCAAACAATACTCTTATTTCATTAACTTGTTTGTCAATAGCTTGCCTCTTTTTTTAACATTTAAGAGCATGCTTTTGGGTATTGCGATATAAACTTCGAATACAGGTGAATCATTTTCAATTTTAAATGCATATTTTTGACAATGTAAAGTATTTGACATATTATTGAGACCTAGGCAACACCATTCTAGGGTATGAACAAATTTTTCTTTCCAGTCAAAAGGTGTGTTACATCCAGAATTAAATTATTGTTGATGACACTTACGTAATAAATAAAACATCTTGTTGCTTTAAAGGATATAGAAAATGCTCCAATATATTTTCATTTTAAACAGGTACAAAGTAAAGAAACATGACAGAATTGATTTATTTGTAATATAACAGTCATTTCTGACAATCTGTATAAACTTCAGGAGAGTCCCTCTGTAACATTTACATATACACTATGTAAAATGTGAACGAGTTCATGTCCTCATTATGCAATAAACACTCAGGAATCCAGTAGAATTATACATCGTAAAGTCATGATTTCTCTCGGTCCAAGACCAAGATGATAAACTCTTCAATGTGTGACATTAATCGGTGAACGAAACATATTTATATATAACACATCAACAAAGAAATAAATATATCACAATGAGTTAAATTTATCTGGTTAAAACAGCAGAATTGATCATAGAACACAAACACAGACATACTATCTTACACTCCTAACTCTACATCAGCTCTTTTCAAAGTCAAAAAAAGATCAAAAGAACTGTCAGAGGCAATAGTCTAGTAGTTTGTTAACAAATGCTGACAAGAAAAAAATAACTTGAAAGGAGGTAAAAGCAGTTCAGAAGTAAAAGAAACTGTCTTTACAGCATTAGAAGGCACAGTTAAAAAAATTTGTAGACCTAAAAATCTGAATAAGGGACCAGCATTCTGTAGAAGGCTTTGTCTTCTTGGCACAAGAGTATTTTGACCATCTCTTCTTCTGATTCTGATGTTGAGAAATAAATGCTGCTTCAATTGGCAAAGGTTTTAGATCGGAGGAAATTCCCATAGGAGCCATTAGGGTGACCACAGACTTCCAATCCTCGTGTGGTGTCTCCGTAAGTGTTACCAAATGCAAATCTTCTCTCTGATAATAGTACAAGCAACAAAGAGTTAGTTTTGGATGTCCCTGGTCATATAACAGCATTTAAATTGCCCATACCAACAAATTAAGAGCCATTCTCTGTAATGACTTGAAATTTTATATAGGAGCTGTGGCACGCATAGTCTCAGAATTTCTCCAAACTCTCTATGATAAAAGTCTTTGATACCCCTAACTAAAATCAGGCAAAAATTGGTTGCTATGTGTTATAGTTACCATGGCAACATGTCTAAAAGTTTGAAAAATGACATTTTTTACCATGTTTAGAGCCCCATAATTAACATTTGCGGCAAAGCAAACAATTGGCAATGACTGTTTCCAAAAGTTGAAGGCCTGTTGCCTCAAATGCATGATAAACAGGTTTGGTAAATCAACTATTACATACGTTACTATGGTAACAAATTATTAAAAAGTAAAAAAAATATTCATTGAATTTTATAAAGTCATACACGTAAAATAAAAAGCAATTATAGGATGAAATGTGATCAAATAATAGAGAAAAGAGCCTTGAAACATATACCAAGAACAAATTATGATATTTCAGTTTGGTTGGCAATGGTTGCCAAGGTTTTTATACAACAGAGAGCCTTCAAATTTACACTCTGTATGTTTAAATCTGATCCTATCTCTTAAGAAAGCACATTTCCTCATAACTAATGATCAATTTTTAAAGATGTTGGTGTGGTCCTTATTTTTCCATTAAAAAAAATTCAGATCGGATTCTTTAAATAGAGCGTTGCTATGGAAATAAGCAGAAAAAATATGCTTAAAAATCTGAAAAATATATTATTACCTTGGATACGTACCCTCAAATGTAGGTTCCCAAAACTTTTATGATTGATATTTATTAACAGCTAACCTGACTTTTAATTTTGACTATCATCCAATCTCTAACTGGATGCAAGAAGCTGGCACACAGGGTTTAATATTGATATAAAGTTCACAAAATCGAACATTTTCCCTTCTTGGTAACCATAGCAACAGTGTTGTTTTCTTCGTCAAGTTTTATCAATATATGATATTCAACTTCAGTTCTAACAGATAAGGACTATTCAAGCTGAGTCCTTAAATTTGTTTCTTGATTATATGGCAATTTAATTCTTAGTGCAGCGAATAATAATTCACTTTTAAGCACTGGTACTTTGTTTCCATGGTAACACTGCAAAGTAGAAAATATACTTAATTTTTCTTATGGTTTTGGTGTTGCAAGGTCCTAACAATGCATATTTGCCGGTCTTGAATTTTCATGTTTTTTCCTCAAGACAGTAGCATTAACCCAATCTTAGTTACTGGTTTTGCATGGTTACACTGTGTTACCATGGCAACCATAAAAGTCATTTCTAGGATAATATTGCTTATACTTATATACTTAAGGTCAAACATTTTCATTGTTTTTCTAAAGTCGTTGATTGAGTTTGACCTACCATTAGTGAATACGGAGTGTTTTTCTGCATATTTCAGCATTTCAAATGTATTCCATATGTACCCTTGGTTACCACTTACTTAGAGATATATTTTAAACAGTTTCTTTACAGTATAAGTGACATCAAAGTGTCATGTTTTTGTGAGAATGGTTGTTTGCTTTTTCTAGTTTTTATTAAGCCATAGTCAAAATTTAAAGAGGCTGAAAATCTCGATTTTTCAAACTTTTCCGGCTGTTGCCATAGCAACCGAGACACATAGCAACGAAATTTTGTTTGATATTTGTTTCTGGTGTCAAGTACTAAGCATGGGTGAAGTTTCATCAAAATCGGTGACCATGCGTGGCAACGAAGTTTAAGTGGTTACAGAGAATGGCTATTAAAAACCATGTGTTAGCAGTATGATGGCAGCACAACCAGATGCTGCTTTGCAACTAATAGCAATCAAAAATAATATTTCATTTATATTTTATATGTTTATTCATTATCTCTCTATAAATTTTAGCAAATTTGATTTTTTTTTTTTTGGTCATTATACAAATTCATCAGCTCTTATTAGTGGGTTGGATTATAAATAGGGTCACACAATAATATTGATATTCCGGTATATTTAGGTTTGATCACAAAAAATATTGTATTGCAATGTTTTTTTTAAGTACTGATACACCAGCAAAATTTATTCTTTACTGAAGATAACAATTAAGATTATGAGAAAAGACACTGGGAATTTTGACATAAATCAGTACATTATTGTTTTGAAAGTAGGGGTCAAGGAAAAATGGTAAGGTCAGCTCAGGCATACGAGTTCTACTTACGTGGGACATATCCGGTGTATTTAGGAATCATTCCGTCATCCAGATACAAGCGACGAGTGTCGGCGGACTTTGTTCCCTGAAGAAGGTGCTGGGGTACACTGAAGGGAAAACAGATGACATTTAGAAGAAACAAACACTGTATTTACGATAAAGTGGATTCATATCGTATTATGTGGGGGTTCATTTTCTTGCGATTTTCATTGATACCTTTTACACATAAATTTAAAACCACAAGAAATACTGATAAATAAGCTGTATCTTTCATGAAAAACATATTTACATAAGAACTTGTCCTGAAATTTTTCATAATCCAACAAAAATTTAGTACCCTCAAATTTCAATGTAACTGAAATTCTGATACAGTGTTTAATATTTTTGAGGAAATCCAAGCCACTGAATCCCTGTCTTTGGGATCTATGTCTGACTAACCTATCTAGAGAGGCGGGAACCTGGCCTGTTAGTCTTTGAGAAGCTGAGGCAGTTTCTTGAGCAAATAGTTCTAATCCGTTCTTGGTGGACCTGTGATAGCGGGCTCCTAGTCCTTGTTCTGTGGTCTTGATTCTGGGAATATATCCACAGTACCCAGGGATTGGTGGTTCTGTCAGTGCCCGCCGATCCTCTGTAAGTTATCATTTAATATACAGTAATTACTTAACTATTTAATGTTGTACTTGCCAATGGTGTTATTTTAGATTACTACATTACAACTAGCAGTATTCATTGTCATTTGTTGGAGTAAGGCAATAATTTTATCTTTAAAGATTTTCATAAGATGTAACTCTAACTTTAGGTCTATAAAGGTCTTCAAGAAATTGCTATTACAGTCTTCACTGGTAAATTTACCCCCGGTATGTAGTGGAATTGACATTAAAAACCAATAATGAAGCACTTACCCACAAGGATAGGCCTGCTGGGATGAGTGTCTCTGTACAGATTGAGCTTGTCCCTGACCTCAGGGTCATGAGAGATGGGGGTGAGGCGAGGATAGCTGCCTACTTGTCTCTTCAAGTCGGCAGACTTTGTATCATAAAAGTTCCTATTAGTGAAGTATTCATCTATACAAGCATCACAGTCCTCTTTATATGTGTTTCCAAATTTGAATGGCATGCGTGGAATGTAACCTAAAAGTAAAATTTTTTTTTTATATAATTAAAACTCACTGCAGTTATCAAGTAGCACATTCTCAGAATGAAACGTGTCAAACATTTTTTTGGAGATTAGAACCATCATTATTATTATTTTTTTTTTTTATCTATAAAGTTTACTTTCATACTGTTGCTGAAATATGTCAAAGGATTTATACATACATGCATATTTTTAAACAACAAAGGGCTGCTATTTTGAGATCTGGCTTTACAGTTTCAAAGATACTGGTAGTTACTCATGTTGGAATAGAGTTACCTCCCTTAAAATGTGTTCAAGAAAGATGATCATTTTTCAGCACAATACTAATCAATGAATCATCACCAATATATTTTCATTGCTTATTAAAAAGTTCCTTTCAATACTTCACTTATATGCAACAACAGTGCAATGTTATCAAGGTTTTTTTTTTAAATTTACAAGAAACTTGCATTTCATAGTTGTTTTATACCTTAGTTCTGTTTCCCAGGCACTGTTTTACTGACATAAGGAGATCAATGGCTAATATTAGCTTACCTGTTTAGATTGGGAATATTGCTAAGCTCTCTAGATGGAGACTATTTTGCTATCAAGTGTAGACAATTGGGCTATTTTACTTGTCGGTGAAGCTGTGGACTATTTTTCTATACTGTGTAATGGGGACTAATTTACTAACCTGTGTAGCATGGGACTATTTTACTCATTTAAGTAAACTGTTTAGCAGACACTATTTTGCTAACCTGTGTAGCAGGCAACATAAAATGGGGACTTATTTACTAAACTGAGTAGCAGAGGACTAAATCTGCTAATCTGTGTAGCAGGGGACCATTTTGCTAACTTGAGTAGCACAGTACTATTTTTCAAACATGTGTAGGGACTAATTTCTTGGCCTTAGTAGCATGGAACTTTTACAAACATGTAGCTGGAGACTAATTTACCAAATGGGGTAACAGGCTAACCTTTGTAACAGATGACTATTTTTGCTAACCTGGGTAGCAGGGGAATATTTTGTGTCACTTAGCAGGGGACTTAATTTTTGCTAATAGCAGGGAACTTTTTTTTTTACCTGTGTAGCAGGGGATAATTTTTCTTACCTGTGTAACAGAGGTTTATTTTTTCTTACCTGTGTAGCCAGGAACCATTTTTTCTGTGTATTTATTGTCTCCTGTGGACTCTGGCAGTCTATTCTTTGTGGTTGGTTTACTTGGAGCCTCAGAGAGAATGGAGGCTGGATCCAAGTGGATAGTACTCTGAAAGGTATGTCAAATTTTATAGACCTCTGTCAGGAAACAAGTCTATAATTTCATTTAATACTTCAATAGTATAACAAATACTCTGTCAATGGTTTTTTAAACTTATTTCATGCTCAGTGGTGTTTAAATGCTACTCTTATCATTTTTTATTAGATTTAAATGACAAAGAAGGAAAGAGTCATATATCACCTTATCGGCCATTGTGGGTAATTTATAATTGATCTCTATAAAAAGACGATACAGACAGTTAAATGTCAGCTAGGTATAGCTGTGTTTGGAAATGCTCTAGGATAATTCGCATGTAAACAGCGGCAGCTCAAAGGATTCGTCTAAATGAAGTTCCCAGTGGCGGATATGTTTAGCATAAATCAAATATGTCTTCTTGGTAGACCTCATTTTCACCCTTCAAAATCTCTAGAATCCAGGAGCTTCCGGGGGCTTCGCCCCCTGGGCCCCCACCAGGGCTTTGCCCTGGACCCACTGGGGGCCTCAAGGCGGCCCCCAGACCCCTTGCCTAATTTTGGCGCCCCCCCTAACTCCAAATCCTGGATCCGCGCCTGGTTCCAGTCTATGTTATCATCAAGACAACTCGTAAATTTATCACAGACCCGAGAGAAAACCTACAAACTGATTGGGGGCATTTCAAAAGTTCTTGATAAATAAAGTACCTCACGGACAGAAACTCTCACAAAGAGACCTTTCAGATCAAATTATGAGTCATTTTCATGGACCGGAGGCAAATAGTGATTAATATACATGTATTTCAATTTTTATGAAGGATATTATATATTTTAAATAATCAAGCATGTTACATTTTGGAAAACTATGTCTCTGTTATACATATACTGTGAAATTTTTGTGGTGGTTTAATTTTTGTGGTTTTCAAGTATGAAGAGACCCACAAATTTATGTCCACCACGAAATACAATTTTTCACATATATTACTACTGAACAATTCTTCAACCATGAAATCAAATCCCCATGAACCAATATATTTTCCTAAAACCATGAAAATTTGACCCCTTGAAAATATGTGATTTTACAGTAGATGTACATTGTTTGGTAGGACCTTGACCTGTAAACATGACCTGATCTTCTAGTCTTGACAAAGTGAAGTATGTTCCACGGTCAATAAAAATTTCACCTTTGTTTGGGCCATATTTATGGCCTGGTTTTTCTCCTTCAGATAAGATTCATAAGAATTTCAAATAATTAAAGATCAGACAAGCAACAATATATAAATACACAATAAATTATACTCACAACCAAATACACTGTCTATAATGTCAAAATTTATCTTCTTTGTTATTTATGTTTTTTTTTTAAATTTTAACCAAATGAAGCGATGATAACCATGTAAAGATTTGCAATGGAGCTTGGATAAAACTTTCCATTTCTGTCAAGGCAGGGAGATGTCAATAAACAATGACAGAAGCCTTCCCTGCTTATTGTATTAAAGCATTGGACTGTACATTGATATTAATGGTGTACATGTACAGTAAAACACGCTTATGAGGAAGTTCCAGGGACGGATAATGTTGCTTTGCTATAAGCATAATTCGTTATATCCATTAAATTTATAATTCATCTTTAAGTTATGGGGAAGGAAAATCACTTAGCTGTAAGCACTAATTCAATATAAGAGTGTTCAATATAATTAAGCGTGTCTTACTGTATAACTTTTACATACCTGAGCCAACTCATGGGTGTCTGTTCCATAAGTTTTGCCTACTCTGTATTTGATTTGTGGACAATATCCTCGATAACTGCAAATAAAGAAACTGGCATATACTTTAAACTCATAGATGTAGGTGTAATTAATACATTTTGGATTTTTTTATTTGATTAAAACAAATTAACTGCCATGGACATGTATATATCAATTTGACATACAGATTGTTATAAATTCATGGTAAAGATAAATATATGACATATTATATCAACACTTATCTTTCTAAATTAAAATGAAAAGACAAAAAGGAGTTATTCATTGTGTAAATGCTTTCATTGTAGACCATTGTATTTTTTGCAAATCTAGATTGCAATCAACAATCAGTTAAAGACCTACCCCGGTACATGAGTTCCATCTCTGAGGGCTGCGAACGACCGTCTCTGGTCTAAACTAGGCCCTCCTCCGAAAGCTATGGTAGTCATTATTTAATAATTGAATATACCCCCTCTCACGGGTGTTTTCTTATCACAGGTAACAATTATAATCGGAAACAGTGACTTGTTGTGCCACAATTCCCTTCCGTCGTCTAGGTCGCTCAGAGTTGCTAGGGTATTATACTCTTTAGAATTGGACCAATCGCATTGTATTATTTACCTGTACCGTGGCGGTAACTTCAAAAGGCCATACATTAATGTACGGAAGTGCCATTGTACGCATGCGACAGCGAATCTCAGGTAAACAATATGGCGAGCATAAATTACAGGTGTTAGCCTAATTCATAGAATACGTTAAGTTCCGACGAGAGGCAATACGCTGAAAAATGGGGAATAAGGTTAGTACGGTCGGGGATGATGTGAAGCGGCAGGGAGAGGGCTCGGGTGTTGACAGTCGGGCAGCCGATGTTTATAAAATGGTAGACTTGAAAGGAGGCGGAGATTTGGTAGAGATGACAAAAAGAGCTCGCTGGACCAAAAATTTCAAAGAATTAGATGACACAATTCAAGAAAAAGTAAAGCCATTTTTATATGACGGTGGGCGTGGAAAGAAAATCCCAATTACGGAAATTATAGATCGAAGAAACAAAGCTCGGTCAAGTGCTATCAAGTCTTCATCAAAAGATAAACAGAGAAAGGCTGGCGAAGCATTATTGGACATGAAGTTCCAGGATAGCGAAGGCAATTATCTTCATAACAAACCAGGTGCGTAATTCAATGAATCAATGATTTATGCTAATCAAGTCATTTCTTTTGACGCGCGTAAAGAAAGATGTAACGTAGCCCGAGCGCACGATGTTGATCATCGACTTGGTCGCAAATCGCATGCAATATTTCCACTTTGTCTAGTTTATAAAACGAACTGAAACATAATTATGTATAATCACAATTTGTGGAACTCGCAGTTTGAGGAATCACACATCTCTGGAAACCATCATGCTCTGCAAGGAACCTACCACATCTTTGACCTTTTTGCACTAGAGTTTCATGTTAGCTCGCGCATTCTCTAATCAAGGGCACTAACTCTGCATGAAACACAACATTTTTTTTAATATAAATTTCAGTTGAAAAAAAAATTAATAAAGTCATGTAAGATTTTCATTCAAGTATAAAGGTGTTAGTTTTAACAATCATGGCATCCAAAAAAGGGTTCTGGGAATGAAGACGTCTCTACTGTACAACAATACTTCAATGGATAATCATTTTATAAATCTTGGACCTGGTCAAATTTAGGTCTGACAGTTTCTTGCAACAATTACAAGGTTATATGTTCAAGTTTACTTTCAGGCAAGTCCTGTTTTGGCCATATCTTGTAATGAAGAAAAACTGGATACTTATTGAATATATACTTGACACAATTAGATCATTTATAATCAAAGAGTGTGTTGTGATCTAATATGCTAGTAGTAGATTTATTCAGGTAATAAAATCAATGTATGATACAGGGTGGTACAAATATAAATAATGCATAAAGTGAAAAACCTAATCACAGTAATAAAATTTCAAAAATAAATATAAAATTCTAAATACAGGTGTCCTTTTCCGAATGTTTAAAATATAAAACAATTTATGACATTTATAAATTTTATGAATAAAAATATATGCATTATAATCATCGTGATATCATGACATTAATTTATAAACCTAAGGATAACCCATGAAAGCAAAATTGCTTATTTCCAATGGGGTCCTTTTTATAAATAAATAAGTGAATAAATAAAACAAAAAACTAACTAAACAACAAAATTAAGTACGAGGATGTAGGCAAGATTTTGGCAGATACATCAATCAAGGCACCTCATTCAGATAGGACAGGTATTAAAAAACCCTGTATCAAATTTGAAAATAAATTACACAAATCATTTAAAATAAAACAATACGAGGGGTTATCAAAAAGTTCGTGGACTAGCGTCATAAAATTAAAACTGCTTTAGGTACATCAATGAATTTTAAAATATCTAGTTGGCATCATCTTTTTTATCTACAGAATAAACCATAAATCATGAATTTTATTTTTTAATAAATTAGTAATGTTTTTGTAAGCAAAGGTAAGTCCAGGCGGCGCAATCTCGAACACGAGGTTTTTGCGACCTATGTGTAACTGAATAAAACTCTTTTGATATGATCATTTGACATCCGAAATTCCCGTTAATTCAGGTACTGTATGTGTAGGAACACAATTGTTCCATAAAATATGAAATTTTCACTTCATTCTGGAAGTTCTATGAAATTTTATCGTAAATTTTACACGGAATGTCCAAACAAATGAGGCCTTGAAAATGACGTCAAAAGGGGGGAGGGGTTTCCGTTTCCAACATTCTATAAAGTTTTGTCCCTGAAAAAACTGGTATAGACCTAAAATATGTTGAAACTGGCTAGAGAGAAATAATATGCATCCAAAGTAATTGTCTTTTAATGTCAAAATAGATTCGGAGACAAAAGGGATACACAGTTAAAGCCCATTTGCTAATCAAGGTGTGAAAAATCAATCACGTCAAAAAATGACGTTGATCATGTGTTGTAGATATTGAACTCCTAAAAGCAAAATATGCCGGCACAATCCAGCGCGGATCTCTCTCAATATATTAATCCATTTGGAAAATTATATTCATTGAAGGTCACTGTTCATGACATTGTAAAGTCATATAAACAAGGCGGGTTTAAATCCTTACTCAGCTCCAGGGAATCTTATCAAAAAAGTGTATGAGGTAGAGGAAGCGTACATTGAAAAAACAATGACGTTATCGGACGTCATGAAAATAAACGACGACAGCGCCAGGTGATCGTATAATGTCATTTTTATTTTATTATAATTTGGCAAATAATGAACGTATCGAGCTAAAATTTTCAACATTTTTTTTTTTTTTTGTTTTACGTTCCTTATCAATTTTGAAAGCAGAGACTACATAGTACTAATTTATAGCCTCAGTCCACGAACTTTTTGATAACCCCTCGTACATTCATAGATGTTAAAAATCAAAAATATATAAACGAACTCTCTTCACAGCTTTTAAAATCCTCCATTAGATGCTTTTTTACACAGTTCTCAAAAGTTTCTTTACATTCTAAATTCTTAATAAAAAGTGGCAAGTCAGTCCAATCCTTGATGGCATTGTAATAAAAAGTCTGATCTTGGCAATATCTAATCGATGGCAATTTAAAGTTGTGGCTATTAGAGGATCTAGTATTAGAGTAATTATTACTTAAACTTTGTTTCAAGATAAACAGGAGCTTTCTTATGAACAATATTAAAAACATGATTCGGTCTCATCTGCTTCACTCTCCTGTCCACATTCAACATATTTAAATAGACTAAAAAATACTATAATTGATGGAATGCATCGGGGAATGATAAATCCAACATAAATCGAATGACCTTATTTTGGCAAATTTGTAATTTACGTTTCATAGCTTTTGACAGTCCAGAGTACCAAGAGCTACATGAATAATCTAAGTGACAGAGGATAAGTGCTGTACATAATGAGAATTTGCTCTTTTGATCCAAAAATCTTGCTTGTCTATACAAAAATTTTAATCTACAGTTCACCTTTTGAACAAGAGAAGATACAATATTTTCACCAGATAATTTGGAATCAATGTACAGACCAAGATATTTTACTTGTTGAGAAGCCTTAATGACATGCTCTTTACACACAATGAAAAAATCATCAACTTTACTGAGTTTTCATTTCGGACCAAATAACATACACTCTGTTTTGCCTAAGTGTAATGATAATTTGTTGTCAACCAACCAGTCTGAACAAGATTCAAGTGTTTTACTGAGTTTCTTAGCTATATGATCGGTACATTTGTGGGAAAAGAGTATGGCACTATCGTCTGCATATAAAATCAATTAACAGTCATTGTCAATACTCAAAGACATGTCATTTACATAAATCAAAAACAAAAGTGGGCCTAAAATACTGCCCTGAGGTACACCACATGTAACATAACCAGGACTTGATGTGGCACCATTTACACAGACAAATTTTCTATCACATAAGTACGATTTGAACCATCTCAAAGAATTGACCCCTAGGGTTTCTAACTTTTTACATAGATATTAGTATGGAATGGTCGACAGTGTCGAAAGCTTTTTGTAAGTCAAGCATGACCATGCCGGTGAACAGACCCTTAGCATTGTCGTCTCTAATGTGATCAAGAAGATGAATTAAACAAGTATCAGTTGAATATTTATCCCTGAATCCAGATTGAAACTCAAATAAAAGGTTGTTTTCGCTTAAAAAATTTGAAAGTTGTACATGAACACTCTTTTCCAGAGTTTTTGACACAATGCTAAGAATACTAACCGGCCTGTAGTTTCCAACATCAAGGGGACTTCCCTTTTTGTACAATGGTTTAACACATGCAATTTTCATGCCCTCTGGTACCTCCCCTGAGGTTATAGACAAATTTATTATAAAAGTAATTGGAATCTTTAAAATATGTGCACCATCCTTGATGAATCTTACTGGTAAATCATCAAGACCTGTACTTTTTGATGTGTTTAGAGAAATCAATTCCTTATAAATATAATCCTCAGTCACCGTTGCTAATATAAATTTAGATCCTTTCACATTTCTCCGTGAATAAAAAGACTTAAAACATTGACTGCTGACAGAAAAAATGTTTGTACATGCTGGTAGTTTGGACACTAGATTTGAAGCTACATTGGTAAAAAAAGACACAAAGCTATCAACTATCTTCTGTGGGCTATGACAGATGCCATTTTCTAATTTCAAACAAAGTTTTTCTTCACCTTTTTTATTTTTCAAACCTAGATCTTTAATGCATTGCCAAAGTTTCTTAGGATTTTTCTTATTTTCCTCTATTTTATCTTTAAAATATTCAGATTTTGCCCTTTGTATTTCTCTTTGAACAATGTTGCGAATTTTACAGTAATTCCTGTAGTCGCTCAATTCAGTATCATTTATGCACATTCAAGGGAGAGAGAGAGAGAGAGAGAGATCTTAATTTTGTGTCTGGTCCATAACTTTCTTTTGAGAAACACTGGAAGTTCATTTTACACAAAAAATTCTTATATGTTGCAAGACCTTGACCTAAGGTCAATTGTAAAAGTTCAATGTCACTCTCAGAAGAAAAAAAAAACATAGTCTGTCCTGGCCATATCTTGAAAAAAATAATTTTGATAGTCAATCCCCAGCATAATATTCATTTTGTTAGGCAGTAGAAGAGGTACTAACAATGACCTTGACCCAAAATTGCAGCTGGAGGCATCTTTTCTTTAATTTATACACAATTTTATTCCAAAAAATTGAATAGGACTGGTCAGAAGGAATAGCCTTCTTAGCTCTCTCCTCACAAATAATTGATATATAAAAAAAGAAATGCTGCAATGTAAATTAATTGATGTATGTTACATGCAATTTAATTGGAATAATTCATTTTCCAAAGTAAATCTAAGAGATATACAAGTATTAAATATATAAAGTAATATTGACATAGTAGATTTTGATTTCAGATGAGTCTGTTGAAGGTAAGGTTTGTGTTTGGTGAATGGACACTGTATGTACAGCTTCCCACCATCTCCTACACATATATTGTCTGTGACCATGGCTCCATGTCTGTCGGTGGCTTTATGTGCTGTACACAAATTCATTGTTTGCTAAAATATAATCCACCAATTGTTGTTGTGTTCATGCCATCTACCAATGTATTGACATACTGAATGTATATCTTTGTACATGTAATAATTTATAAAATCTTCAAATTTGCAGACTTTTCATACAAACAGTTAGTCAAGATAGTTCTAGATTGGGAACTTTTTGACACATCAAGACTAACTGATTGTAGTTAGAGAAATTTTGTTTGTTTGCTGTTTAATGTCTCTCTCTTGAATTTTTCACTTATATGGAGACGCCACCACTTGCCAATGGAAAGTTTGAAATATTTACCTAGTATGCTCGGTTTATGGGGCCAAAAGGCAGTGAGGGATCCTTCCAGATTTTCACATTTTTAATTCAAATTTTCATCAAATAAAGAGACAAATTTTGCTGCAGAAACCATAGAGCACTAGCTTATCTATTAAAGTAGTATACTTCATGCAATGTGTATGAAAATTTCAGACAGACAAGCTTGTGCTCTGTGATTCTCTTTGTGAAAAGTAATTCAAATGTAACAAATTTCTATCAAAACTAAGGAATTTTAGAAAAAAATGTTTTTATTTGTCACCCCCATATGAGTTGAATCATGATTAATGCTGTTTTAAAACAAGCAACATTCTGAGTATTTTTAAAATAGTGCAAACTATCGTAATTTTTCCTGTGTTTTGCAATTTACAAATGTATATTCAATAAGGGGCCAAATTTGGTCAGAATCATTCCATGTTCTTTTAATTTAGAGTATGTGTACTTTAATTTTACTTTTAATTTAGTAAAATTTAGATTTTTTTCTTGCTGAATATTCTAAAGGATGATTATTCTTGATGTATCAGGAAGTTTCCTCTTTCATACAAGAAATTCACCGTCAACCATCACAACCATAAATCAAAATGAATAATCATTTGTGAATTCATGGTGATTGGAGTATATTAAACTCATTTCATGTGTGATGTGTTTCATATTCTTTTCTTTAGTGATTGCTAAGAATGTTTAAAATTGCATTGAAAATTTCAAGAAAAATTACATTGATAGCTTATCATACTTTTTTTTTTCAATTTTTTAGGACTTTTCGATTTATATGAATTGCATTAATAAATGCAATTGATTTTATGAACAGATCGGAAGTTCCGTGAATGTTGCTGGGACATTGACCAGAGAGGCTCAGTAGGGGAGACCATTCTACACTTGTGTCTCCTGAATGCCACTGCCATACACGCTGATCTGGCCAAGCGGTTGATTCAGGCATTCCCCAAAATGATCAACGACATCTACCTCGCGGATGAATACTTTGGTAAAGTATGGGGTGAATATGGTGTACTGATAAGGGCACTTGTAATCTTGTTCTTTGGTATGATAGCTTTTAGGTGGGAGCAAGAATCAGGGTTATAATGCTAGATACAGTAGTTGTTAAGTGCCACTTTGTAAGGGAGACAAGCAGAGATTCATATTGTTGAAATGATTTATGTCAATTACTAATTGTATAATTGTTTTGCTATTCATTGGCTTATCTTTTCCTTATTATTGTAACAATCTCATACTTGTCTGTTATGGGCTCTAAATTAGAATTAAAATGTTCTGTTCTGTTTTATTACAAGCATGACAGTACAATTAAAGGAATTAAAGAAAATTTGAACCAGCTCATAATAACTCGACTTGCCTTTGTCAGTCAGTTATGATTGCTCCCTTGTATTATATGCATTGCCTCATCACCTAGCCCTGTAGTGTTGTCACCCTGGGTCTTTCTTGGTTCATTGCCCTGAGGTTTTCTCTCTGTGCATGGCTCCCCTTCACAGTCCAGGACTGTTATAACTCTCTTGCAGCTTTGTATTCCTTAAAATGCATCCTCAAGTCATTGAAAACTTTCCCTTTAGGACAGATAGCAGGGGAGCAAGTAACCCTGAAAGTACACCATAGATAATAGATATTTGTTACTAGTATTATGACAAGAAGTAAAAAAAAATATGATAAAGCTTATTATAATAATTTTTAGATGAAGTTTGAATTCAAGAGATATAATAAAATGCTATTCACCATTTGAAGATATTGTAGTTTGATTGATATGCAGATTATAACTTGAAAACCATTTGTGAATTTATTGAAATATAATGATATGATAACTTCTTTTACAGGGGAGAGCATCCTACACATAGCTATTGTGAATGAAGATCCGGCCATGGTGAAGTTCCTGCTGGACAATGGAGCAGATGTCCAGGAGAGAGCCTGCGGGAATTTCTTCTGTCCAGACGATCAGAAAAGTTCACGCATGGACAGCTATGACCATGAATGGGTGGATGTTACAGAAAAAACAAACTATGAAGGGTTTGTGCTCTTTTTGTATAGTGGAGAACCTACACATTAAACTCTGAATATGATGGTTGACTTATGGATGAAAATTTCTGCCTTTGCATGTCTTTTGTATAATTATTTATAGGAGAGTTTCCCCTGTCATTAGTAGATATTTTGTAGACTTGTCTACTTTGGAGAGTTTCCCTTGTCATTAGTACATAATTTGTAGGCACGTCTACTTTGGAGAGTTCCCCTTGTCATTACATATTTTGTAGGCACGTCTACTTCGGAGAGTTTCCCTTGTCATTTGTTGTTATTTTTTGTAGACACATCTACTTTGGAGAGTCCCCATGTCATTTGTTGTTATTTTTTGTAGGCATGTCTACTTTGGAGAGTTCCCCCTGTCATTTGTTGTTATTTTTTGTAGACACGTCTACTTTGGAGAGTTCCCCCTGTCATTTGTTGTTATTTTTTGTAGGCACGTCTACTTTGGAGAGTTCCCCTTGTCATTACATATTTTGTAGGCACGTCTACTTCGGAGAGTTTCCCTTGTCATTTGTTGTTATTTTTTGTAGACACGTCTACTTTGGAGAGTATCCCCTGTCCTTTGCGGCCTGTCTCGGACAGGAGGAATGCGTTAGACTGCTCGTTGCCAAGGGAGCTAACCCTAACGTCCAGGACACTAACGGGAACACAGTGATGCACATGTTAGTGATTCATGATAGGAAGGTAAGGGTAACATTATTGTCATTATATTTAACCTCTGTAATCTATAGCCATATTCAATACAGCACTTTACTTAATTTTACTTATATGTGTATTAGCAAAACTCTTTGAAATTAAACTATAAATTATGAGAATAAAAATCAAGACCAGACCAGGAGAGAATATGGTGGGGCTTGCATCAAGCACAAGAAATTATAGAATCATGTAGATAAATGGAATAATTGTCAGGTTTATTGATCTTATGATGATTATGCAGGGTTCGACATTCGCGCTCGTCACCTCGTCATTTCCATCCAGAACCGATTTTGGACGACTTGATTTTCATGAAATAATTTATAAAACATATTTTCCTGTAACAAAATCAACCCATAACATGTTCAAATGCATATTCCTGACAAATCTGCGTTCGATCAATCAGCTGATGCAATTTTTACCAAGTCTTTAATAAAGTTTTATTTGAGATAAAAATATGTCAACTTAGTCAACGATCACCTTAAATATAAAGAGTAATAATCATCATTGTAACATCTTGCATTTCCCCTACAATTTTCTGATCATCTGATGATCGTTTTCTGCTGCTAGACAGCCATGTTAGGTCTCCACTGTAATATAACACCTGGTTAATTCAGTCCAGGGCTATTTGACCCTATTTACTTAGGATTTCATGGTAAATGAAAATGAATGTTTTAAACTACAAACTAAAGCATTCTGCATTTCTGATTCTTCTTATATTTTAATTTGTTTGATAAAATACTAGAAGACATCTTTACATTCAAAAAATGTCTGGTTTACATTTTTTGATACAAAAACACAACTTCTGTGAATTATCTTAACAAATTTTAAACAATTGCACATTAAGTTTTGTTTCATTTGATATTCTATTTGGACGACCTGAAATTCATTCGGGCAACCTGTGATCATACCAAGGTTGCCCAAATGGCGAGACCAAATTTTGACGAGTGTCGAACCCTGTTATGAAAAAGTTGGCTTGCATGATAATTTTATTATCATGATATTTCTATGCATAGTATAAATGTTTTCTGCAATTATGCAAATTATCACACAAGCCATTTGCTTGATCACACCATAAAATCAAAAACACCAGACTCTTATTTATCAAATATGTGAATTTTGATTTATTTTGTTGTTGTGTTATGTTAGCTTTCATGTATACAGAATGTAGTTATACCAGCACCTAAATATTTGCACTAAGCAATCCAGCTGCCAGGGAGGAGAATATGTGTCCTTTGGCCTCCACCAGACTCAACTGTTTCCTTATTCTTACTCTGTAATAACTTGAAATCTGACTTTGTATTTATGTTCAGGAGAGTGAATTTGATGGAGAGGTTTGATTTTATTTTTCCAGTAGAAGCACATCCCCTTTTTTTAATCACCTTTTATTACAAATTTTAATGTAGTTTTATATGCATAACATTTTATACTTCTTATTTTATCATTCTCTAACTTAGTAGTGACAGACTTAGAAGTTTTATTCCTTTACAGGCCACCAATTCTTAACCTTTTTGATCAATATTTGCTCATTTGACTTCAGTTGTCATTTTTTAATACAAGTATGTCAAAATTATAAATTCATAAGTGATCTATTCAGATTTTGTCTTAAATTAGTGATTTTAAGAGTTAAAGTTGTTCATTCATAGGGAGAATGATTCATAATACAGTACAGAACTTCAGCATCTGAAATACTAAAAACTCAAATACATGTATGCATCTAAGTGATTTGGAAGTTACATAGTTATATAACTTATCATGCATTAACCCTCAATATTTTGAATTTTTATGCCCCGCCATGAATATGGCCGGGGCATATAGTGTTTGTCATGTCCGTCTTCCGTCCTTCCGTCTGTCCTTCCGTCACACTTTGCGTTTAGCTCTTTTCAAAGCTAAGTTTCAAAGAAACTATTCAAGATATTTTCATCAAACTTTATATGCTGATAGATATTGATGAGAGCTTTGCAACTGCATCAACATTTTTTGACCTTTACCTTTCCTTTGACCTTGACCTCACTTTTCTTAAATTAGTGTTTAGCTCAAATTTAAAGATACCATTGAAGATGGTGTTATCAAACTTCACATGTTGATACATATTGATGAGACCTATTCAACTGCATCAACATTTTTGACCTTGACCTTTCCTTTGACCCTGACCTCACTTATCTTTAATTAGTGTTTCGCTTAGTTTTAAAGATACCATTCAAGATATCTTTATCAAACTTTATATGCTGTTATATATTAATGAGAGCAATTCAACTTCATCAACATTTTTGACCTTGACCTTTCCTTTGACCTCACTTTTCTTAAATCAGTGTCAAACTTCATATGCTGATACATAATGATGTATGCAATTTAACTGCATCAACAATTTTGATCTTGACCTCACTTTTATCAAATTGTGTTTAAGTCAGTTAATTAAAGACATTATTTCTAGATAGTTTTATCAAACTTCATATGTTGATACATATTTTTGAGAGATATGCAACTGCATCAACATTTTTGACCTTTGACCTTTGCTTTGACCTTTGACCTCACTTTTCCTAAATCAGTGTCAAACTTCATATGTTGATACATTCTCATGTAAACAATTCAACTGCATCAACAATTTTGACCTTTACCTTTTATTTGACCTTGACCTCACTTTTATCAAATTGTGTTTAAGTCAGTTTTAATTAAAGACATCATTTCTAGATATTTTTATCAAACTTAATATGTTGATACATATTGATGAGAGATATGCAACTGAATCATCATTTTTGACCTTGACCTTTGCTTTGACCTTGACCTCACTTCTCCTAAATCAGTGTCAAATGTCATATGCTGATAGATATTAAGGTACTAGTAAGCATTTCAAGTGTATCATTTTTTACCTTGACCTTTCATTTGACCTTGACCTCACTTTTATCCATTTGTGTTTAAGTCAGTTTTGAAGAAACCATTTATAATATTTTTCCAACTTCATATGGTGAAACATACTGATGAGAGCTTTTCAACTGCATCAACAGTTTTTGACCATGGCATTTCCTTTGACCTTGACCTCACTTTAATGAAATTAGTGTCAAACTTTATATGCTGATACATACTTATGTAAGCAATTCAACTACATCACTATTCAAGATATTCTGATCAAATTTTCATGCTGCTTTACTAATATACCCTCGGCGGGCATTCATGTCCCATGGACATATTTCTAGTTGTTTTTTGGTCCCGTCAAGGTCAAGATATTTCAGTTTACCTATTTGAAAAGTATCTGAAAGAAATAGATGAATGACTCAGTTCATAATTATAAGGCCCAAGATTCTTCTTTTGAGATTCCATGATAGACTTTCATTTAACAAGTTACTGAAATATACATTTTTCTTCACCCTATTAGCAGTAGATTAATCATTTTTTGAATTCCAAATAATGCCTTTTATTACTTACTAAGCTAGTTCACTTTTAATTCCTGTTTAATATTGGTAAAGTTAATATGTTGCTTTTGATATGCCCCACGACTTCCAGGGTTCGACACTAACGGTAGACCGGCGGCCCGAGTCCACCAAAAAATTGGAAGGTCCACCAAATGTTAAGGACTAGGTGGACCGTCGGTCCACTTAAAATTTAAACACCACATTTAAAGACAATGAAATTCCAGTAACTCAAATTATTAATTCCTCCATACCTTTATTATACAAGAATTAAATATACATGTAAAAAATGTTTAGGTAATGAGGGGGGCAAATACTAAGTCGATATATTTTACATGTAAAATTGATAACTCCAATATTAACAATATTATTGAGACGCAAGAACATTCAAAACGGATGTTGAATAAGCATGAAAAATCCGTGCCAAATTTAGCCAGTCTCTCCTCTGTTTACGTAATGCACAGAAAGGTGTGAAAATTACATTGGGTAACAGGAAATCGCTTCACGCCTGTACGCACACTGTTGGAGATAATCAGAATTGATTGACAGCTGCACTTAAGCATTGTTTTTTAAATTAAATAGATGTTCAAACAGGCGTAATTTACATTAAATGAACTATTATCTGCAGTTTCATTTTCTTTTCTTGATATACATATTATATCACTACTTATTTGAATAAATAATAAATTTAAAAAATAATTAATTGATACAGATATATGTACCTATGTCAGTTTTGCACTGTAGTAAAAAAAAATGATCTAGCCACGGATACATGAAAAATTCACTTGTTTAATAATTGAACAAATTAATTAATAATTGGAGTTTGAAATTTAATCTACCTGTGGAAGCGAAATAAATGCAGGTTTTCACCATTGTAACTTAATGATAATTATTAAAATATTTCTTTGGTTTTTAGATTAATAGTTTTTTTTTTTTCTAATTTTTTACAATATTTCTGAAAAAAATCTGTCTAGTCCTTTATATTGATTTGATTCTATTGACTGGTTGGATTTATGCTTTATTGGTCTGTCTGGTATCGGTATATATTAAAGTTAGTTTTAATTAACGCCTTGTGTAATGTTTCATTCATTTATTCAATCATTTATAAAGGTCCACCAGATATTAAGAAGGTCCAGCAATAATTTTTGACAAGTGGACCTGCGGTCCACCAAGGTAAAAAAGTTAGTGTCGAACCCTGACTTCTTAGTTCTGGGTAATTAACCTCTGAGTCACCTTTCTCATGATTGCATGCATTCTAATTATGAGCTACCATTATGCAAACTCCACTGTTGTTTTACTGCATTCGGATAAAAAATTATTGCCTTAACGTTCTTAAATTTTAATTTCATTTTTCACAGAAAGTTCCTTCACTTTTTTTTCGTAAGATTGGACACATGTCTTTCTTTGAATTCAAACACTCATGAGTTTAAAATCATATATTCTGAGATCAAAGTTATGACTTTTAGACTTAATTCATAGTAATAAAATCAATCTACATCTCAGCTTTAGTATATCTTTGTAATTATGACCTTGTTCTGACATTTAGTTTATTTCATTATAACGATGATCTTGTAACATTTCAGTTAGTCTCATTGTAATGATGAATCTGTTCTAACATTTCATTCTTTTTCTTCCATGCTGCCCTCAGTATGCTTCTAAAAAGGTTTGTATTAGATTTCCTGTCTTATATGTTGGCTAGCCCCGTATATGTATATATTGATTATAAATGAACATGTGTGATGTATTGCATCCCTTGTTATAAATAATCCCCAATGTTGCAATAAAGTGAAAATTGAGATGTAATTGTAATATTGAATTTGTAATGCATGTAATGTCAGTAAATCCTTAATTACATGTGCATAAAAAAACAATCCAAATCAATCTACTCTCTGTCTGTGCATTATATATGTTACAGTTGTGTGTTTAGAGCTAGAGAATAAGAAATCATGGGTGCCAGCCACCCCAAAGCCAGAATCCCCCATGTATGAATGCCCAAAATATTTTTTTGGGGGTGGAGGCACCTATGTATCTGTTTGAGAGCTATAAATTTAAGAAATCTCTGATAAGATCTACTATTCAATTCTAAAGGTTAAAGTCTAAACAGAGTGCCATAATATTGTTCAATTTTGGTAGAAAATCCACAGTTTTTTCTCTGTCAATACTTTTCAATGAAATGTAGATGAATAGTGAACTAGTGGGCTAACTTGCTATAATGATGATACAATTTATTACTCCTATGGAAAAAAATGCAGAAATTGATACCAAAGAAGTCAGGGCAGTAGTTTTCAGTTTATTTAAAGATGTATAAAATTTTAAAAATGTCATCTCTGAAAACAGATTGAACTTGATAACAGCCCAGCGGTAAAGTATAGATGGTGTATTTTGTGAAGAAAAGTAGTTGAGACCGTGTGAATTATGTGATAAAATTTTAAATGGTAGAACATTTTTGAGACTGATTAGAAATTGATGTGAGATAATCTTGATATCATTGAAGTAACACCAGATCTGGTACATTGTTGTGCCTTTATTCTGCTTTGTAGGGTTTTGTATTACCTGTTGTATAATTATATGTTGTACGTTTTGTTATGTTTGTAGTGTCAAAGCCAGATGCTGCACTCTGCACTCAAATCATTCATTTATGCACAATATGTATTCATGTACTTTCTGTTTTTTCAGTGTCTGTCTTAAATCATTTCCTCATTTATTTTTATCATATTAATTCATTAAAATATGATTTTCAGTTATTAATTTAATTTATAATTTAATGAATATATCATGCTTTATAATAGTCTCTTTCACCCAGCATGTAATATATAAAGCACTGCGTATTACCTGTATGTAGACTGGATACTGATATTTCTCTGTTTATGACAGGACATGTTTAACCTGCTACTGGACCTGGGAGCCAGACTGGACATCAAGAACAGACAGGGCCTAACACCACTGACACTGGCCGCAACACTGACCAGGAAAGAGGTAATGTAGTGAGAAGTCTGACAGACAGACAGACAGGGCCTAACACCACTCCCACTGGCCGCATCAGAGGTATTGTAATGGGAGGTCAGACAGACAGACAGACAAACAGGGTCTAACACCACTCACACCGGCCACAACACTGACCAGGAAAGAGGTAATGTAGTGAGAAGTCTGACAGACAGACAGACAGGGTCTAACACCACTCACACTGGCAGCATCAGAGGTATTGTAATGGGAGGTCAGACAGACAGACAGACAGACAGGGTCTAACACCACTCACACCGGCCACAACACTGACCAGGAAAGAGGTAATGTAGTGAGAAGTCTGACAGACAGACAGACAGGGTCTAACACCACTCACACTGGCAGCATCAGAGGTATTGTAATGGGAGGTCAGACAGACAGACAGACAGACAGGGTCTAACACCACTCACACCGGCCACAACACTGACCAGGAAAGAGGTAATGTAGTGAGAAGTCTGACAGACAGACAGACAGACAGACAGGGTCTAACACCACTCACACTGGCAGCATCAGAGGTATTGTAATGGGAGGTCAGACAGACAGACAGACAGACAGGGTCTAACACCACTCACACCGGCCACAACACTGACCAGGAAAGAGGTAAGGTAATGGGAAGTCTGCCAGACAGACAGCTAACTAGACAGACAGACAGCAAGACAGACAGCTAGATGGACAGACAGACAGGGTTTCACACCACTCACACTGGCTGCAACAGTGACCAGGAAAGAGGTAAAGTAATGGGAAGTCTGACAGACAGACAGACAGGGTCTAACACCACTGACATTGGCCGCGACACTCACTTGGAAAGAGGTGGCAAAACAGACAGACAAACAGACATGGTGCATGGGTCATTTATTTACATTGATGTAAATTTTAGAAATTTCCCTCTACAAAGCATTAAAAATAAACAGTACTTTTACTTGTTCTGGGTATTTTATGTATGATTTTTAGATGTATAGTATTTATTTATAGATGTATGAGCACATTTTGGAGAGGATTCGTCAGGTGTGCTGGATCTATGGAAATGTGACGTGTGCTGGTTACCCTCTGAAAGACATTGACACAATCTCTGAGACTGGCGACATCAATAGGAACTCAGCCTTAAACTTAGTTGTCTATGGGGTAGGTAGACTAACATTTTATATATAGTAAATAATAACTCCTCCCTTAACTTATTTGTCTATGGGATAGGTATATCAAAATCACAAATAATAACTCCTCCCTAAACTTAGTTGTCTGTGGGGTGGGTAGACCAACAACACAAATACTGTAAAACGAGAAAATTTGGCGCATACGTATTTAGCACAAACGCAATTTGGAATACATTGGCACAAATAAATTTTAGCGCTTGCACTTGTCATTAAAATATATAATGTGATATTATTTTTTTAATGCACGCCCATATTTGAATTTTTGGTTAGTCAAGAAGGAAACACAATTATAGCACTCCCGTATATAAGTAAACAATCGTCAACTTTACCATGGTGTTGCAATCACATAGACGTGGCACAAAGTTAAATTTTATTTTAATTTTATTTTAAATGAAAGAAATGGAGTATTTATGCATTTTATTCATATTAAAACAATGCATGCATTGAAGAAAAGTTACTTGGATAAACGGTAATCACAATCAGGTATTGTCTGCAAGCTCAATTGCCATGCTTGATTGCATTGTTTACCTCGAGGCGATAGATGATTGACACGCCAAGAAGCCAAACTTTGAAGGTGCTAATGAGTATCGAGTAACAACTAACAATAGTTTAATTAAATAAATTATGATTTGGCAGAACTTTCTCGATTGATCCTACCATGTACACTGCTAGTGTGTATATAAAATCCAACGATCCTTCGACATTGCGTAATTGCACGTTCCGGTTTACATGTACTTATGTGAAAGCTTTGAACATATACAACAAAATAATATTTAGAATACCAATAGTGCACAATAAATTTTAGCGTTCAGGCGCTCTTGCGCCAAAAGCGCTAAAATTAGTAGTGCGCCAAATATTCTCGTTTTAAAGTAATAACTCCTCCATAAACTTAGTTGTCTGTGGGGTAGGTAGACAGACAGCTTAGATAAGTTAGATAACTACTCTTTAAGCTTAGTTGTCTATGGGGTAGGTAGATGAACAAAATAAATAATAACCCATCCTTAAACTTTGTTTTCTATGGGGTAGGTAGATGAACAAAATAAATAATAACTCCTCCCTAGTCTTAGTTGTCTATGGAGTAGGTAGATACACAACATAAATAATAACTCCTCCCTAGTCTTAGTTGTCTATGGAGTAGGTAAATAAATAAAATAAATAATAACTCCTCCCTAGTCTTAGTTGTCTATGGAGTAGGTAAATAAATAAAATAAATAATAACTCCTCCCTAGTCTTAGTTGTCTATTGGGTAGGTACATCAACAACATGAATAATAATTACTCCTTAAAATTAGTTGTCTATGGGGAAGGTAGACAAACAGCATAGATAACTAGGGGACTTATTGTTCACAGAACAATAAGAGGTCTTTCCACCTTCTTTGAATTTCAATTTTGTTTAATATTTACCAATTAAAGATAATAAAAAAAACACCAGAAGTGGCTTAAAGCATAAAAAAAAATGAAATTTTGAAATTGTTGGAATGACCTTGACTTTTGACCTTGAAAAAATTTTCAAGGTCAAAGGTCAAGAGTCAGATTGCAATTAACCCCATGCCTCTACGACTTAAAGTTTTGAAGATATGAGGTTTTATAGTAAGCACAAAGACTTTAAAGGGTGATAACTCATATAAGGGGTCATTAGATCTTTTGCTTTAAAACTCTAAAGTTGGGACTAAAGACCCTGAAGACATTAGTGAAGATTTCATGTCTATACGGTTTACGGTTTCGAAGGAGTAGCGATAACAAGGTTTTTCGCACGAGGGGCAATAACTTTTCAAAGGGTCAATCTTAGGGGACAAGAATGAAATCTTTGAAAGAGTTGTAAGAGTACATATTAAAGACAAAAGATAGATAGAATATGTTTAAGGACAAGAGCTATAGAAGGAAATTTATTTCTCATACTTGGAATGACCTTGACCTTTGACCTTGGTATAAATTTGAAGGTCAAAAGTCAATAAATCTTATGCAGTTGGTTTCATGTCTCTAAATCTTCTCGTTTTAATTTTTTTAAATTTTTTGTAAAATTTAGAAACTTTCAGGGGCAATAATTCATAGAAAGGGTCGAAGAACTTTTACAATGATTAGACTGAAAAGTGTCCTTAATTAGTTGAAGACATTGGTGAAGGTTTTATATCTCTACGGTTTACGGTTTCGAAGGAGTAGTGATAACAAGCTTTACAACAAAAGGGGCAGTAACTGTGTAAGGGGTAAAAGTACAAATATGTTGGGTCGTTTTTCAGAATAACTTAATATCCAGTATCATGAACTATAAAGTTTTTCGATAAGTCTTGCAGTTTCAAAAGTCCGGCAGAAAAAGAATAAGAAACATAAGCATTTCAAGAGGTCTTTCCACAGAAAGGTGGAAAGACTTAATAACTTAATAACCCATCCTTAACCTTAGGTTTCTGTAGAATTACAGAGGCCCTTGGTCAGGTTTTATTTTGTGATTTGTTTGTTCTGAGTGAATTGTTATTTTTGTTTGTTCTAAGTGAAGCTATTAATGGTGAAATATTCATTTTTCAGACCGAGGATGGGCATCTTGACATGATGGACGGACTTATCGTGGAACTTCTGAAAGACAAGTGGAAAACCTTTGTTGGACACAGGTCAGTAGACACATGACCACAGACTTAATTATTCCTGTTTATAATGCTTTTAATGAGCAACTGAATAAAGGATTTAGTTTAAGAATATTTTATTTTATCGGAAGATTAGAAGAAGGAAACATTTTTTATTTCAAACAGTATTATATATGCTTTTCTTTTGAAATTTATGAAGTGTTATTTTAACAAGAAGTGTTTTTTGATATAGGTTTTACAGAAGATTTGCCATCTTCTTTCTTTACTTCATCCTGTTCATGTTTGCATTTATCCTTCGTCCCGGAAGTGACTTATGTCCCACTAAGACTGCCAGTACCGATAACACGACAGTGACTCAGACTAGCGCAGTAACCACAGAGAGTGACGGCTGTTACCTCATCAAAGCCTGCCGTACAGAGGATAAAGTAGGGGGCTATCATTCTTTATTGTATAAAAAAAAAACTTAACTTCTTAGTGCCAGGAGGTCAAACTCATAATCAATAAGTTGTATTTATTGAAAGGGACACATACCAGTAATGTTAATGAATGAAAGATGTTGATGTCAGTCCAGAACATTTTGTAAACCTTGAAGCAATTTTTGCTGGGACATTGTAGGTGAGGTTTGCTCTGGAGATCTTGGTGTTGATTGGAGCTATATGGTACATCTTTATCGCTATGAAGGAGATCTTCCACCAGGGTTTCAGGGTCTTCTTCACCACTCTTGTAAGTATCGTCCCACAGAAATCTTCATTAAATCTGCGATTCCTAGTGCTAAGCATTGTCTGAGTTTTACATACAAATGATGGACTTAAGTTGTCCTGGACTTTTTATGTGGAGTAGAAAGGTGCCCCGGCCAAGGCGATGTTTCTGCTGTCTGACGTGTTGGTCGTGTTGATGCTGCCGGGCCGAGCTCTCTGTCAACACGAGTATGAGGACATCATTGCTGTGTTTGCCATCCTCTTCACAGCTCCCTACTTCCTCTTCTTTTGCAGGTATACGCTCAATAAAAATTGATATGTAGAAATTCTTGTGTCCAGTTGATGAAATTACTGTGTTTTCATAATCTGGAAAGGTTCATCAGGATTTTATTTTCTTTATTTCAGAGGCTTTAAGATTGTGGGTCCTTTTGTTGTGATGATTTACAAAATGATTGCTGGAGATTTACTAAGGTGGATCATCATCTACCTGGTTTTCATCATTGGTTTCTCTCAAGGTATACAAGTTAGGATAAAAACAGAATCATTCTATGATGCAAGAATATATAAATCTCAGAAGCATAATGCATGCATGCTAATAACAGATATAACAAAATTAGCAAAGATTGGTAGAGATATGGGTTTTGTACAGCAGAAAATTAATTTGTTCAGAATTCTTGGGCAAAATTGGACAAAATCTGCTACAAATGATGCTAGTGGCTTAAGCTTGTGGTGTCATAATCTTTTAATAACTTACATATCTTATTAAAATTGTACACATTAAACAGAAAAAAATCTACATTTTACCTCCCCATGGTGAAAATTTAAAATTGTACAGAGAATTTAGAAAACTTGTACTACATTTATTAAAAAAAATAATTTTTATAAACATTAAGAAAATATTTATAAATAATAGACTATGTATAAGGTATGTACCAGCTTAATTCTGAGAACAGAGAAACAGATGCTGTTAAATATTTGTTTTGTTTCAGCGATGTACATCATATTTTTAAATGTACAAGGGAGCCCGTTCAATGACCCGGTGGAGGCCATTATGGGGATGTTTATGATGTCCCTGGGGGAGTTTGGGGACTATTACGAGTCCTTCTCTCAGACCAATCACCCTATCCTCAGCAAAGTAGGGGACACCACTCTGTAACTCTGTTTCCCTTTAACGCTGTTGTTATTAACTTGATGTTTGTTGGTCACTCTCTCTCACTACTCTGGGGTATGCAGGGGTGATATGTGACCTTTCAGTCTAATATTAATGATGTGCTGTACTTATACTTTCAGTTTTGTTGTTAAAATAACCTTTAATTTCATTTTCTGCAGTGTGACTTGAAAATATAGTTTAGTTGTCCTGCTTTTGACAAACGCTATTAGAAATGGAATCCGATGATGATTTCATCATGGATGAATATTAATTTGCAAATCTTGTAAATGATGTCACAACTTTAATTTGTGGTTATTATTTCTATCAGTAAAATATTCAAGTGGAATTATCCATCCCTCAAAGAAAATATTTCTGATTTCATTATTTAGCGGTAAAAGCGATGTGAAATTTGTCAAAGGCAGAATATACTAGCGTGTTTGGTTTATGTTTTTTGTTTTGTTTTTTTTAAATGCGCATCATTTTGCTTTAGTTAACAGTGATATTGCATAGCTGTTGTTGATATATAAGCATGGACAAAGTAATAAATCATGAACATGAATTTTACACAGTCAGTGGTAAAATAACAAATTCAAACTTGGGCAAAAGGGGAATTACTTTAAAAATTCAACTATATATACAGTGTACCTGTATTACTTGTAAGCTGTACATTTACTACTGGGTACCGTTTTGAGAAATAATTTTTGATTAAGCCCTTATTCCTGACAGCAATAATTAGTCTATCATTACAATCTTTTATGAATCTTCATTTACAGGGCAGTGGACATATTTATAACTTTATTTTAAGCTATATGTATTATTTCTTCTCCTCTTTATTTATGTTACATCTTTCTTTTTTTCAGTTTGATCACTTTGTTTTAACTTTTCTTCAGTTATCTGTGTTTATTTCAGCTTTTTATATTGCATTTGTTAATGGTACCTGTGATCCCAGTTCAGATCCCTGTGTTTTCTTGAGTCCCATTGAGTCAATCGTGGGGATGTTTGCCATGAATGTCGGGGAATTTGAGGACATTTACGGCACTTTTGATTCCTCCGAATATCCCACGGTGGTCAAAGTAAGTCCAGGGAATACAAATTGACTGGGTTGATTAAGGAACTTAGTACAAACAAGAATATATATGTATCAATATTAGTAGTAAAAACATACAAAGGTTACCATGCATGTTTGGTTACATTATATTGTTGTGTTTTCCCCATGTAGTTGAGACACAGGTACCCCTATATTATTCACACAATTTTATAGATATAGCTCTATTGCTTTTGTTTGAAAAGAATATTTTTGCCTTGATATTTTGGTACTTATATTGTTTAGAAACATTAGCTTTTTATAGTCATAGTATGGCTGTATTTGAATAAATTATTTTTTTGTGTAATTTTTAATGCACTTTTTTTTCAATTTCAGTAATTTTGAATTTCTGAGAAATATGGTGTATTACACTTTAAATTTTGTTGATATTCACTCTAAGTTTTGAGCACAGAAAACTATAACTTAATGATTCTTTCACTACCTATATTTATATGTTTACCCAAAAATCCATAAAATTTCACCTATTTAAAATTTGTATCCCTTTAATCAGTTTGAATGAGTAACTTTCAAATTAACTTTCATCATGAACTTGACATTTCTTCATTAATATGGGTAAAGGTAACTATTCAATCCTTTTAATCATTCAGTTTTAACTTTAAATGAATGAATTAAATATTTAATTAATTATTTGAAATTCAGTAACAAATTATCTGAGATATTTTAATGAGTTTCTTCCTATTTTGTTGAGTTAAATATGAAGAACCTGTTATGACATCATTTCCTGTTAACCTGTTGTGACATCATTTCCTGTTTACATTCTAGATAATCTTTATGATCTATATGATCATGGTAACTCTGCTGCTGGTTAACATGTTAATTGCGATGATGGGAAATACATATCAGCTGATTAATGAGACACAGAAGGAATGGTTCAGACAGGTAATGGAGATATTAAAATGCAAAGAACTGTTTCATACAATTATTCTAACCAGTTAATTTTCTTATGTAAATAAATTATTGTTGATAGATATTGTGTTACAATATAGTCATCCAGCACACAAACACAAATTAGATATTTAGCACAAACATGGGTACTACATGTACTAATATTTTTCAGTGGGCTAAAATTGTTTTGGTGGTAGAGCAGAGTGTAACAACAGAAATCAGACGAACACAGCGACAGAAATATTCTCAACCGAGCGCTGACGGGGACAGAATGTTTATTGTCAGATGGCATCAAACTGTAAGTGTAGCAAAATGATAAGCAATCCACATGAATCCTGTAAAAACGTGTACTAGTATCTTATTCATGAAGCAAAAGTGAGGATAAAATCATTATTATATTCTAAACTACCTTTATGGATATCTTAATGTAGTACATGTAATTCTTTCCTCTGTTGCATAATGTTTGAAATTGTTATTCACAGCAAAAGGAGCAGGAAGAGATGGCCCGGCAGAAGGAGGAGATTTACCAGAAACAGAGGAAGGCTGCAGCAGAGAAGAGAAAGAACATCTTCCGTAAGATGTCCACACCCAAAGTGATCGACACCAGAGAGGCGGAGGAAGGTCACATCAACATGTAAAGGGATGGCAATCCTAACTACTGAGGGCAGTCCTAACATTGCCAAGATATGGATGTCCAATGGAAGCCACATTACAAACTCGATCTACAGGAGTTGTGCATTATTATGAAAGATTTTATTTTTCCTGTGAAAAATGTCTGTGTGCCCAAGTTTTGGTACAGAAATCTTTTTATATTTCCCTATTTCTAGTCAATCATTTTTTTAAAAAGTGACCGATGATTGTTTTTTGGCTGAATATTATGTGTGCCTTAACACGCTATTGTCCTAATGTCACTTTGACCATCACTCTGTTCATCCTCAGGTGTCAGGGTCAGCTTATTTGGTTACTTTATTTAACCTTTGAAAAATCTTCTATACTGAAGTGACAGATATGCTGATTGATTAAAGTGAGTATTACATCCTCTCAGTGAAGTTGTGAAAATCATGTCCTCTTTTTTAAATTATTTTCATTCCTGAGCATCATTGGGCCAAGCTTTATGCAATTTGATGATAACATAAACCTATAAAACTATAAAATACTGTACAGTGTATTTATCCTGAGAAAATTTATGATACTCAGGTGAGTGTTTAGGCCCATGAGCCTCATGATTTATAGACTGTCCGTCCATGTTACATATAACCAGTCATAATTTTATTTGCCATTTCCATTCTCTATGAAACCATCTGGTATCAAAAGCTACCTGCTTTTTTTCTTACATATACTGGTAATTCATAGTATGATTATATTTTTTATATGTATTTGACAACCATTTTTATGATTTATATATTTTTTTCACATACATATACTTCTAGTTTACTTAACGCTGAAAACTATTTTTTATAATTTTATTGATACTGCATTGCATTTTGTCCATGCTTTACTGTGATATTATGAGAAAAAAAATCTATTTATACATACATGTACATACAGCTGTATTTGTTTTTTGTGTGTTATTTAAGATTCTTCACAAATATTTTATCTGCTGAAAACTATGATCATTTGTTGTTTTAGATGACCAAATATTGTTGTTAATATGAACAGGCCATATATATGCATTGTCAATATTTTATAACACATTAAATATTGCATTGCTAGCAAAATTTTGTGATGTGTTATGATAGGAACAGCTTTTCAGAATGTAAAAGTGGAAGCTTTGATGAAGTGGAAACTTTGACAAAATTGATAAATTTCTAATACTCATTCAAGTTTTCACTTGTCAACTTTCACATTCCTATTTAAGAGCACTGTTTAATACCGATAGATTGTCAAAGTTTCCACTCACTATTTTTATAATATTATAAAGAAGATTATTTTCATAATTTTCATTGGCTGAAAGAACTTCATGTGATATTCCTCCTTTTGTGATGTCGACGCGGAAAATGATATCGCATGACACACCATTCAGTTGCACCAAAGTTATGTAGAACATGACGTCATAATATAAGAAGCCTGTTTTAACCTTTGTGACATAATGACAGCCGAGTCTGTTCAGTTAGGACTGTGTCATTGCATTCACTTTGAGTGATTATATAATATAACTATTATGGACTTCAGTGAACGGTCAATATGTGGTTATAAGGACTCATGGCAATATTGATATTGACCTCAGACACAGAAAATGATAGCGACCTTGCAGGCTTGGTCGCTACATGTATCACTTTCTGTGTCTTCGGTCAATATCAATTGCCTTATAACCACATATCGACCTACACTGAAGTCCATAATTGTATAATATGCTGAAATCGTCAAACTTTCACCTCTCAATATAACCACTTTTACTGTATTTACTTTTAAATTACCTCAAAGTCAGTTTGTTTTGTCTTGGTTACAAGATTCTAAAAGGGTAATAATTCCTGCAAGGTCATATGGTTTCGGAAAGAGTAAAATCACTTAATGTTAAATGTGAGTTTTCAGTGTAAAATGTCAATCAATAACTGCAATGCTGGAATAGTGAAGGATGTGTTTGTTATGATGAGTTACTTATGACAAGGTCTGTTCGAATTCTTACTCAAGTAACCTGTCATTTAGAGGGGTTGTATACGCTAGCCCTAACTTTGTAATAATATATCATACAGGAAAGCAAAATGTCATGCCATGCACTTAGCACAAATGGTGCTCCAGTTAGAGAGCATGTTTTGATTCTGAATCAAACTCTGTAGACAAGGACAAAAGGTTTGGAATCAAAGAATTGCAGCAACCTCAAGAGGAATAGCAAAAACTTGAACTTGGCAAAAAAGTTTGCACATAATCGGAGCTTGTAACCCAATGTCATTGAATGAAGTCATGAGGTTTGCAATTCCTAACTGCTACATGTATGTAGGAAAGGCAGAAGCACATATCCAACATAATGATCATCTTTGTCAGTTGAAGTTACATCTTCACCATAAGGCTGAAAGTTTAAGATTATTACACAGAGGTATGTCTAAATAGCTCTTGTTCTCTTATTTCACACAGACTTGGGTAGTAAGTAATCTTAAACCATTACACACAATCTAAGATCTTGAAAGAATTTTATTGTTTTCTGCATGAAAAATTACGCATGCAATGGAATTTCAGAGAATATTCTACTTTGTTCAACACTAGGAAGCTTTTCAATGTAAAATAATTATACAATGTATAAATAAAAAATGTTGATTGAATGCAAAAAAATGCCACAAAGAAAACAGTGTAAAGCAAATGGATGGAGAAAAAAATATCACAAAATAATTATCTTTGCACTGTCAGAATAAATCAAGCTAACAGATCATTCATTAATGACAAGCATCAATCATGTCTACAAAACAACATGCTTGTACAATAATTAACATGTAAAACTGCGGAAAATTGACAACCACTGGTCAGGAATTCAATGCATTAAAAATTAGAAATTATCACGAATACCAGATTCAGAGATATGATGAGTAAAATCAAAAGATTTTTTTTATATTTACAAACACAGATCTTATTGATACTATTTTGTACCTGTGAGAATAAAAGGAGTTTCATACATGAAAGCTGTCTTTAATTGTGCAATGGGAATAAATAATCACACCACACTGGCATGAAATACAATGGATATATACAATGAGAGAGAAACAGCAGAGAATTATCACAGATTTGATATTAGGTTCACACTGAACACATTTTGACCTACAGATAAAGTTTGTGTAGTAATCTCATCATCGCCTGTCGTACACGCCCCCGTTATAATTATTATACCCATAATGGTATGGATCATCCTCCATCTCCATTCCATATCTGTCCATCATTGCTGACTGCCTCCCATCCATCAACATCGCCTGCCTTTCATCCATCATCATTGCTTGTCTTTCGTCCATCATCATGGCCTGTCTCTCATCCATCATCATCGCCTGTCTTTCATCCATCATGTAGGGGTCCATTTCTAGAGGTCTGCCGTATTCATCTACTGGTGGACCATTACCAATAAAGCCCATGTGTGATTCTGGTCTCTCGTACGGATCATAGCCACCATCCATTGGATTTCCATACCTATCCAGATCAAAACAACTTTTAGACACAAGTATTTCAATATCACATGCATGATGCATAGGTATAAGTTTCTTATTAACCATCTTCTCTTGGAATGAATTAAATAATTTAACTTTATCAGACTGACATTTCTGCTAACAAGTTCTCTTTTTGATACACACACTTTTTCTCATTAGAAATGAACGTTACTGTCAGAAGAGACCCTGTTATAAAATCACAGTTACGTACCCGTATCCATAAGGCTGCCCATCATACATGCCATTCTCATCAATGTACTCGGGGGTCAGGTGACCATCCATTATGTAGGCATTCTCATACATATCTGAAATTCAGGCATAAATTCAGCACACATGTACCAAAAAAGCAACATTTGTTGACAATTATTTATCATCCCGTAGGATAACTTCAAAGCTCTACATTCAAGATCAGATAAACTAGGGACTTCCTCTATTATTAAACATTATATCATCTATTATGGAGATGACTTATAAAGGCAGTGCCTGCAGTCCAATCCTGCAACTGTAAATAGGATTTATTCATAATAAAATATTGTTTAAATTAAACAATAAATCATGCAAAACATGCTCATTAGTTTTACTGGTAAAAAAATTACAAATTCTACAAAAATTGCGTGAAAATTTCATTAACCTGGAATACCTGAATATTAGTGGGATTACATTGTCTAATAAATGCATGTATACTCACTCAAAAGTTAAAAAAAAAGATGCAGAAATTTACACCTAAAGCTTCTCAAGCATTGCAAAACACCACCAGACATTCCTGTACAAGATATTCATGCATCAAAGCAGCTTTTAAATTGATACATAAGGGTAACCAATCACGGATTACACAGCTCATCTCAACCAATGTTTAAGTCAGGGAGAATCTCAGATATTCGATGCTATATGGGTAACCTCTATACTATAAAAAGATTAACAGATTCCATGTTTCGCTGTAAGGAACTCCAATTATGAGTCTGATCAAATAGTCAAGTAGGAGGTCACAATGACACTTAAAAAAAAATTGAAAGTCTCGTTAAATTTTTAATTTAGTGGTAAAGGAGTTGTGGATAAGAGGTACATAAGGAAGGGCACACACCTCTATCACTAGACTTTTTTCTAGGAGGTATAAAATTCATTCTTTCATTCAAAAAACACTGTAGCTAACACTGATAGAACATTCAAGCCATATGCAAGATGTACCAAAGGAGAAAACAAGTCAATATTTGGAACTTTCATAAAATGCACCATATTTTGGGAAGGCACAAATTTACAATAAAGAGGATGAGCCACGTTGATAACTAATACATGCTGTTTTTACCCTCACCTTTTCCACCTATCAAAACAAAATCACTTTCTTCAGTCCAAAGTCAAATCAGGGCGAAATGGAGATTTAAAGAAAAGACCCTTAGAACTGATTGAAACAAAGATTACTGAGTTAAACTTTACCACCTATCAAAACAATCCCTTTCAAAAGTCAAATCGCAGCAAAACGCAGATTTAAAAATGACTTGTTGAACTCATAACACAAAGATAACTGAAATGACCTACCATCATAGAATAAGTCGGGTCGGTCCAGGATATCGGCGTCCTGTAGGTACGGGTCGTAGCCCTCGTCAGCATACATGTAGGGGTCCCCCATATCCCCGACCTGCCGCGTCTCTACCATCTCTAACCACTGAGAATTGTGCCAGCGGAACTTCTCCAGCTGAATCTTCTTAGCCCACTCCTCATCAAATTCCTAAAATCAAAATAAACCATGAATTTACGCTGAATTCTGAAGTATTTCTAGCTTGTATCATTGCTTAACAATATATTTACTTGGTTACTGTTAAAGAGTTTTATCAACAGCTGTTATAGAGCAATACATGTGTAGATGAATAGAAACTTGCATAGTCTGTACTCACAACAACACACAAAAGAATAGCAGAAACTTGCCTTAGCAATTGTCTACTTACTGCTATCATATCCAAAGTATTATCACAAACTTTACGGATTTCTGAGTTTTTGTCGTGCATCAAATCAATCAGATATGCAGGAGCCTCTAAGCCAGGTCAAGGTCAAACACAACCAAATTATTTAAAAAAAAAAAAAAAAAAAAAAATTAAGTTGGCTCTTATATCTTGTATAAATAGAAATTTTAGAGAGGATTTAATTTTGGCATTATTAGCGTGGCTGTTGAGGTCGCTAAAATTGAATATCACTAAAAATAAATTGCGTGTTAATTGTACTAGCTTATTTAATGAACAATTTAAAATCGCTAAAATTATTTCTCGCTAAAAATAAGATGCCAGTTTTTAAGGAGAAATCACTAAATTTGCGTCTCGCTAAAATTTCCACTTATACAGTATAAACATTTTCATTGAAAAGACTTAGAATGAAGGATACGAGTATCTTTGATGATGACTTCTCTGGTGGATTCATGGAAGATCATCTGGTAAAACACATACACTATCTGACAAACCATTTCATCATCTTCTTGTTTGGCTGTGTGAAAAAATTAATAAAGATTGGTTCATAAACCTCAATAATTACAATATCAAACAGCACTATAATAATGATAATAAATGATTTTTGCAATTAAGTCTTAAATATATACTCCATTCAGATCTAGCTGAATTGCTAATATGGCTACCTTTTAAGGCACACAACCTTGATTTGACCACATACTCAGAGGCAAGTCAATTTTATATCTTCTAATAAAATCAAGTTTTGTATCATCTATTAGGTGTCGTCACCTCCATTACACATTAAACGTTCTACAAATTTCTTATTTTACAAGAGAAAATTAATACAATATATATATGTGTATATATATATATGATGTGAATTCATGATGACATGAATTTGCAACTGAACTGTAGATCAAGATTTTTCACATGTACTAAGCAGTACCAAGTTAATTTAATTTTGCTAATGGTGCTTCTCACAAAATTATGCAAGTAGTTGCATATATTTTAGGAGTCTACAGACACCACTGGGATTGAAAGAAAACAGATTTATGCATATATATTTTACACATTCTTTCTTTCCACATTATTACAAGAAGACATTTAATATAGAAACCTGGAATATAGAGAATTCTTGCTTCAATCAATGGCAAGTTCCTAGATTGTTCTAGTTGTGCTTACACAAATAAGTATGTACACAGGACAGCATGCTTTTGAATTGTGAGATGATAGGCTTGGATATACAAATAACATGCAAAATAGTAAATATCTATCTATATATTGACCAAACATTCAAAGCAGTTAGAAAGTCATTTTAATTAAACTAATTTACTATAATTATCAATTTTTTTTCAAAGTAAGAAGCACTAAGTTTATGTAAAAAAATTGTAGAAGACATGTAAAAAGTCATAGTTCCTGTTGAAATGTCACAAGAAATTTTCATATGGTACTCTCTGTGTTTTACATTAGATTTTGAAAACTTTATGATGCAACAATATAGCTAATCTACCATTGTTTAAAAGGAAAGCTGAATTTGGACATTTGGGGTACTGTAAGTGTTTAGTGGGTAACACAGTGTTACTTTAGAATACTACAAATGGGCGAACTGCACAAATTCAAAGCACATTGTTTTCTTTAGGGTTTTAAAATAATGTGCCTTTTTTTACCTTCATCTGTTAGAAGTCAAAAGTCAAACATACTGATTGTTAAAATTATGATCTTGGGAAAATATCTCCTGAGATAGATAAACTTGATTAATAATGAATAAATGAAATGCATGAAACACATCTATTTATATACTTCTACTTTACTAGCTAGCTCTATGTTTTATACATTATTCAAACTATTCTGTAAATATAAATTGATTCAGCATTAAATTCCATGGATCAGGCTGATGTTAAATGGATCAGGCTGACGTTTATTGGATGAGGCTGATGTTACTGAACAGACAATATTTACCGTTAAGCAGCTCTATCAGCGACTGGATGATGTTAGCCTCCGCCAGCATCTTAGCGCAGGCGTCATCATTACAGACTGTCCCCACCAGAATAATCACCTCCAGTACCCAGTCATCCTCACAGGCACCTGTCAATCATACAGTAAATCTCCTATTACATTCTGACTACCTTCATTACAAAAATTCTGTTGGAAAGTGAGCTCAACATCTCATGGTTGCTTTGTACATCACTGTATTTTCTTCGATTGTATTATTTGAATTTATTTTTTTGCAAATTAAACAAATTGTATATTTGCAGTGTATTTTAACTAAAAAAAAAAACTGCACCTGGTTCTAGTTTACTCTTAATCCAGGGTATGAGGTTGTATTCCTTTAGGATCAGTTCATAATCCAGGTCCGGGATTGTGAGATTACCCAGAATGCCAAGGCACTCCAGACCAAAGTCTTCTTCCTCTTCATTCAGTACGGCCTGGGCCAGGTCACTGATGTAATCCTAAACAACCGAGGATGATATTTAGAGCTTATCCATCTAGCGATATAGGCAAGTACAATTTGACAAATATATTTAACTCACCACAAAGAGAGCTTTTGTAGGTCCGTCATGCTGAGACAGATTCCTGATCATTTTCATCAGAAGCGGATGCTTGTACTTGAAGGCTCGCTTCATCAACATCTTGAGACCTTGACCTTCACAGATCATGGCTGCTACACGTTTGTTGGAGGCCAGATTGACACACAGAGCCATGAGTTCCATTTCTACATTTTCTCCGCTTTCAAGAAGCATTTTCATAACCTGGAAAAAAATTGTTTAACAAACAATTACTCTATTCAACTATCACAATCTTTAAACTTAAAGTTTGTGCAACACATCTTTTCTTTATTTTCTGTCTAATATCTGACTTAATTGATGACTCTCTCTACATACTAATCAAGAACTGTATCTTTTAAACTTGTTAGAAAATTCTAATTTAATGAAATTTGGGTACTTACAATTGGTATACAGTCTGTGTATGTGAACATGGACTTGGATTTATCATCCATACTGATGTGATACAGTATACCCAGCACATGTTCTCTGTGGTTCTCATTTTCTACAGTAAAAAAACAACATTTGGGTCTTAAACTCTCTTGAACTTGGGTATACAATATTGTCCAGACCTTTACAGTATACAGGAATCTTGACAAATATTGAACTTACGGAGTAATCCTACAAGTTTAGGGAGTAACCCAAACTTGAACATTTTACTGCGTAGTTCAGCGTCAAAGGAGAGGTTCACCAGTAATCTAAGTGTGATGTTCAGCAGGTCCTCGTGTTCACATGGCACTAACTTTGTCAACTTCTCTATAATGTTTAACTCAGCCTACAAATGTAACACAAAAGCCCACTGACATTCCTAATTTATGTAATCTGGATTCTAAAATAAAACTTGTGAATTTCATATTCTATTTTATACATGTACGTTTAACCTACCTTTTTAAAGTTTTTGTTTGATTCTTGAATCATTTAGTTCTGACTATCATCTCCTTTATATGTATGTCCTTACCATTTCTGTTTTGTTCTCTATAAATATGCTTAGTTTCTTGAGGAACGACACCACCAGTATCAGCAGCTCAAAGTTATCTCTCTCCAGTGTCTTGACAAGGAACTTCACGATTCCTTTGTTCCTCATCTTCATCTCCACCTTAAGGTCCTCAGCAAGGTTCAGTAACAGGTAAAATGCCACTGAAACATACAAAAACCATGTAGAACACCACTGAAACATACAAAAACCATATAGAATGCCACTGAAATGTACAGACAGGTTTAGTAACAAGTAGAATGCCACTGAAATGTACAGACAGGTTCAGTAACAAGTAGAATGCCACTGAAATGTACAGACAGGTTCAGTAACAAGTAGAATGCCACTGAAATGTACAGAGGTTCAGTAACAAGTAGAATGCCACTGAAATGTACATACAGGTTCAGTAACAGGTAGAATGCCACTGAAATGTACAGATAGGTTTAGTAAATGGTAGAAAGCCACTGAAATGTACAAACAAAATCAGTCACAGGCAGAATGCCACTGAAATGCACAGACAGATTCAGTAATAGGTAGAACGCTACTGAAATGTACAGACACATTCAGTAAAAGGTAGAATGCCACTGAAATGTACAGATACATTCAGTAAAAGGTAAAACGCCACTGGAATGTACAGATTGATTCAGCAAAATGTAAAAGCCATTGAAATTTACACACAGATTCAGCAACAGGTAGAATGCCACTTATGCCATTCAAATGTCAAGACAAGCAAAAATCACTGACAGATTGAAAGCCAACAAAACATACAGTCAGACAGATTTTATACAAACCATACTTAATTTGACCAAACTTTGCACTTCTGACAACATTGTACAGACACTACTGTTGAAACACCTACCTCTTAACAGCTGTTCCTGCTTTTTGACCAGACCTTCGTACTTCTGAAGACTCTTGGCATACTCTTCCTTTGCCTTTTTGTCTTTATCTGAATTAGGTAAACTGGCTAAGGAAATCAATAACAGCATTGATCAAATGATATCTTTGCAGAGAATGTATCTATGATTCAAAAAATGAAATCATCAAACTAGAATATAACAATTTGCATTATTTGTTTTGTTCTAGTGTCTGTGAAGCTAATAAAATTACAAAATTGAAAATATTTGGAGTTAATGCAAACTTGAAAAAAAATTCAAGTCACAAAAAAGAAATATGGTATTTTTATTAGAATTATTTTGAATATTCTGTTATTTGTTAGGATTAAAAACAGAAACAATTTGAATGAGGAAATTAAAGGATATCAGCTTTCTTTTTTTTCTGTAGCTCTTCATTCCACATGTCGTATTTCTTCAGTTCGTGTTCTACAATGTTCATGCACAGAGCCCCAATCTTGAAGTGAACAATGACGCCGTGAAACTGTGTGAAGCTGGAGAAACAGAAGAAGATGTAGACAATGTTCGTCGCCAGTTCCGTGCTCTTCTTCCAATCCTCTCTCAAAACGCGGGCCAGTGCTCCAACAATTGTTTCTACAATTAATATTTCATAAAAAAATGTATTTATATTGCTTTCAGTTAAAAAATATACTCATCATCAACAACTGCTAAATAACAACATCCTTTTCATGTAATATTGACAATCTCACCATTTTGAAATAACTCCTCCAAGTTATCTGGATTTCGAGCTAACTGTAGAAGTAAGGCTGATCCGCGGACTTTTTCTGGAACGTCTTCATACAGAAGTTCCATGTAGTCGTCCACATCATTGATGTTGGCCACCTCATCAATTTCCGAGGCATCGTACATAGGAACTTCAGGTTTTTCATGCAGCTGTGTTTTCCCAGATGCTACAGTTAAGTAAATGAAATTCAATCTTTAACACAATCACATACTTGTAGAGTGATATTCCATCTGGCATTACAGGGACTTTCCACTCCATTTACTTTTACAGGGTAAATCTGTCTATTCTGTACATATATTTACAGGGTAAATCCATCTATTCTGTACATACATTTACAGGATAAATTTGACTATTCTTTACTTATGTTTACAGAGTAAATCTGACTATTCTGTACATACTTTTACAGGGTAAGTCTGCCTATTATGTACATATGTTTAAGGGTAAATCTGTCTATTCTGTACATTTGTTTACAAGATAAATCTGTCTATTCTGTACATTTGTTTACAGGGTAAATCTGGCTATTCTGTATATATGTTTACAGGGTTAATCTGTCTATTATGTACATACATTTACAGGGTACATCTATTATGTACATATGTTAACAGGGTATATCTGTCTATTCTGTACATATGTTTACAAGGTAAATCTGTCTATTCTGTACATACGTTTACAGGGTAAATCTGTCTATTTTGTACATACGTTTACAGGATAAATCTGTTTATTTTGTAAATATGTTTACAGGGTAAATCTGTCTATTCTGTACATCCATTTACAGGGTAAATCTGTCTTATCTGTACATTTTTACAGGGTAAATCTTACTATTCTGTACATACGTTTACAGGGTAAATCTGTCTATTTTGTACATACGTTTACAGGGTAAATCTGTCTCTTTCCTGTTCTGTAGATAGTACAACAGCTGTTCCACTTCGGGTAGCTTGGTAGGGTGGATCAATTTACATTTATCAATGATGTCCTTAGCTAAACTGGCCAAGTCACTGTTTTCATTCAAACTTTTTACCCTTATACTGTCAAAATAAAATATACATGTATCAAAATATATTTTTTCATGTTTGATATTAAATATTTTTCCCCAAAGTTTATATCTCTGTTCAAAAGCCATTTCTGTAACTCTCAAGAAAATATACTGTGTCATTTGTACTGGTTAATGACTTGTTGTTGACTGTAAGTACATGTACCAGATGTATCTAAAAATCTACTTGACATTGCCATCAAACTGTCCCTACAATTTAGATTGATTTTCTTTTATATATTCCTAATCCTATTGCAAAAAAAAAAAAAAAAAAATATACCACACACATTTTTTGGCATTCCTTCCATTCTCGCAGCATGGGATCTCCAAGTTCACCCAATATGGTAGCCTCCAATTCATAATTAACAACCAAGGCTTTTTCTGTGGGGTGTACATCAATGTTTCCTCCCTTCACTTTTCTAAAAATAAAGTTTTGATATAATGAGGAACAATTCAATTACAGGTAGGTGGATATAGAATTATGCTCAATACCAGTTCAATACGTTTAAAAAAATATTTGTCACCAATTCACCATCAACATTGATAAATACTTTGATGTCAGCTGTGAAAAACTAAAACAGCAAATAAAATACACGCTTTAAATTTAAAATGAACTGATTGTTTAATCATAATAGGAATTCTCTGATTTTTTTTCACATTTCCATTTTATTCAGAAAAAAACAAAGTTAACAATAAATAGATCCTCAAAATTCATCAGAAATAATCATGGATAATAAATTAAGTCAGACCTTGTTATCTCAAACCCAACTGAACTGAGAAAAAAAGAACTCAAATTATCCATGTTATCCAAGGATTTGAAAAATAAAGGTTTGAATACATTAAAAGGTTACTGTGACTTTCACCTCGCTTAAACATATTTATGGTATCCAAGATACCAAACCTCAACTTTATTAACATTATTCTCATTTTTGGAAACAGAATTTCTATAAACATTCCACTTCACAACTTAAATGTCAAAATGACCAAAAAATAATTTTAGATTTCCTTGAATAACTTTGTCATTATGTTTTAAAAATATAAAATAATGTCAAAAAATGGAAGTTAAAATAAGAAATTTTCATCACAAACATTTACCTTACATGTATTGTAACAGGAGCATTTCTATCTACCTTTACTCTAAATAACAAAGAAATTTGAATCTAACAAACATTAATTTCCCCTTCTTAACATCCAACTTTGATAAATTATTAGAAAATAAATGAATTTTTGAAATGTTATTCATTTTTTACATAGTATTTTAGAAAAAAACATCATCATGCATTTTCCAATTTTACATGTTCTACAGGTAACTGGTTTGTTTAGAAATTATGGTAAATCTTCATCAGACAGTCCAAATCAGTGTAATACACCTTACACATAACTAAAAATTTACCAACTGATTCAAAACAAGTTTTCAATACAGGACTTAGGAGATCAGTATGCTAATGGGGATTTTTTCAACAACAACTCAGTCCCATTCATTAATTATTACTTAGATCAATGTTACACAGTGACCCTATACTATACAGATCTGATACAATCACAAGATTTTGCAATATAGCTTGAATTACCTATACAGCTGTATCTAATTACTTGAGGTAGCTTTATGACTAGAGACGGGATACATCAACTTCCGGCTTTAGTTATATTGTAGGATAAAACCAGAGACTTCATAATGAAAAGTAGGGAAGTCTCAGATTTCATCCTATACTACATGTACTATACATGTATAACCATAACCAGAAGTTAATGTATCCAGTCTAAAGTTCAACAATGTTGTGAAATAATTTTCAAAGAATAAATGAGTGGTTTACAATACAGAGCCTTGATCAAGGATATATAGAAGGATATATTTGAAAAGAAAAAATTACCTAGAAGCAAAGTATGTCTTATTCGCAGTCTTTGCAAAAGACAATATATTGTCAAACCTGACCGATGTGCAGTACCTCTGGTCAGTTGCATCAGTTTTTACACTGGACCGAAATGTCCAATGTCTTAGTGTCCAGTTCTGAACTTAACATTTTGATGCCAAGTCATTTAAATGTTAGTAAAAAGTAAAAAATATCTCACAAATCCAAATATGTAAATGAATGAGCATGGATGTCTTCAGTTTTGTGTGGGAGCAATCTCTGGGAAAAAGAGATGTTAGGCTCACCCATTTCTTTGTTTTTGCATTTTCATATTTTCAGATTAGGTTTTGCAGTTAGATAGAATGTTCTATCTTTACAATGACAATGTCTTACGGACCTGGTTTAACATGGTGAGGGCTTGTACCAAGACACAGTTAGATTATTCTAACTAGTTTTGCAGTATGACAAGATTTGGTTTGGAGTGTTCATTGATTACACTGAACCGAATGTCCTGTGTAGCCAAAAATGAATCCTAAATAAAATTTGAGGCAAAGATATCTCAAAAGTATTTTTACATTATTTGAATAAGAAATGGCTTTGTTCTGACCACACTGTCTGACATGCTATAAATATATTTTTGTATAGAGGAAATTCGAAACGTTTCACATTCATAAAGAAACCCACTGACTTACCTTTTCAAATACCTAGCATCTTCTGCTTGCATCATTGTTACAAATGCTGAAAATTTTTGTCTCGTAAACTGAAATAAATAATTAAAAAGGCTCTTGAAACCTACAAAACACCTCAAACATAGCGACGAATCAACTCAGACTGTCAGCCATGTCAAAATATTTGAACTCTCTAAATAATTTTTAAAAATGTTAATACACCATGTCACCATCTTTACCACTATTTTTAGCTTTTAATAAGCTTCATTTTTGTATTTAAATGATGCTTTCAAAGCAAACTTATTTGTTTTAAAAAGAAAAATTCTCCTATTTATTTAGAGATTTCATTTCAAATTAAATTGTGCTATTAAGTATTCGCTTCTGGGGAACATCCTGATATTTCGTTTTATGTTCTATCTTGTAAAATAAGGTCTGTTTGATGTCAGTTATAATATTGTTTTCCTCTGAATACGAAATCTGCCTAAGCTCCTAAGATGTGTGTAATAGCGAACTAATTAATGTAAAACTTATCTAATTTTCACAATTGTGAACGCAGCCACCTGTCATTTGAGTCGCAGAACTGTGAGAGCAAGACAGAATATTATGTAAATTTTCATCAATGGCTGAGGGTCAGTCACAATCAACAGGTACCACTGAAACACAAGTGATTGAAGCTACAGAACCAGAGGTAAATTAATATGATTCGTTCGTCAAGTTGACATACAGTTAATGGAACGTTCGAGAAAATTCGGATCGGTATTTGTTTAGTGCGAAATGGAAATGTTATAGGCCCTCTTTTATGTTAAATCAAAAATACAATTTATAAGAAGTCAACAACTTTAAAGTATGCCTTGTAAATTGATATGCATTTAACCTGTCAGTAAAATGAAAAAACTCTAAAACAGGTTGGGCACAGTTCCTTTTTCGGGGAAGTATTACTATAAAAGGGAACTATTACTCTTTTCAGTAATAAAAAACATTACTCAATTCGGGAACTTTGTCACATTTTTTAAAAAATGGCTCTAACCCATTTATTGAATAAAGAGTGCATAAAAGATACAATGTGATGTGTTTAATCTTTGTCAAACAAACCTCGCTGACCAAAAAATTCGGTCCTTCAGTGCTGCAGACAAGAGTAAGATGAGATTTAATCATTTTCACTGTTGATAAATGGTACTAAAAGTATGGAATCTAATAAGGACATTCATTCTAAAACCATTTTAAAAGGATGTCGTTTGATATTTAATATTTCAAATAATTATTTTCATCTGTAAAAGAAGCAATGATATTTAAAATTATTATTACGATTTCATTTAAAGAAATAGTATAAAATTAAAATAGAACGAATAATCTCATGAACAAGTTAGCAAGTGCTGAACGTATCCATTATCACAATTTTAACACAGGTAAGCTTCCATAAGAAATCTATATCATAGAAATATTTCACCACTCTTTTTCAGCTTTTTGCAGCAATAAATATTGCAGTTTTGAGCACACATACACTTAATAGACAATAAATATTAAGAGGATGTGAAAATATTCTTGCACTTTATCTTTTATTCAAAACAAACAAGAGAATAGAGGCTAAACGAGTGAAAATTCCCCAATTCAGTAATGTTTTTATTACTGAAAAGGGTAATAGTTCCCTTTTATAGTAATAATTCCCCAAAAAAGGAACTGTGCCCAACCTGTAAAATATAGGTACTTGGATAAGGCACTTGTTAAATTTGTTTCACATACAGCCTGATACAGGGTACCCCCTACTTATTTTTACCACAAGGTACCTAACTCATTTTCAGGCACCCACACTTGGAACGACTTTACCTTACTGTTCCCCAGAAAAACGCACTAAAATGTAGTGAACATTACCGATGGTGATTTCAGTCTATATCAGATCACGTTAGCAATAAAAAAAAATAAAAATACAAAGTTTTTGGAATTTATTATCCCCAAATTGAATTTTTTGGTTAAAAATTGAGTTTAAAATTTTGTTTTTAAATGAAGTTATTAACCTTGTTCTCTGAAAAAATTAATAAATATTGTTATATAAAAAATTGATAAAAAATATTTGTCAATGAAGCGCGCCCGGCACATGCTTAGTGTCATTTCTTACGGACTTAGCCATTCTTCCATGTAAACAAACCAATGAAATGGAGTTGAAGCTGAATTATGACGTTGCATAAATTACAGAAGCAACTGAATTTCTTAAGTTATCTAAAAGAATGAGTCACTAACCCTAATCTCTCAGATGGTATGCAAGGACTAAGACGTTTAGCCAAAAGAGCTAAATCCACGAATGTGCTAAATCGGCCTAATGATTTTAGGAAAAATAAAGTGAGGGGAAGAAGAAAATTATTTACGGAAATATTATCCTTAGGTATCAAACTTGAATAGTTTACACCAAAATTTTCATTTGATGACGTCATATTTGTGTAGAAAACGTCTAAACATGTGAACTTTGCCACTTTTTATCAAAATTTAGCATTTTTTTCGTCTTTGATTCAAATTTTTGCTGTGGCCACACCCTTTGAACAAAATAAAATTCACACCATTAAAAAGAAAATTAAAAAATAAACAAATAGAATGTCATTTTATTTTGTCCGAGGGGTGTGGCCACATCGAAATATTTAATTTTCGTTCGATTCAAATCTCTTCGCACCGACCACCAAAGTGGAAATAATGGGGGTTTATCCAAATTAATTAAAAAGAAACAAGATTATATATTGCTTTTGTAAATTTTGATTAGTTTTTAAATGCTAATATACCATTTATTATAAGTTATTTTGTGTTGTGGTGCAAAAAAAGTACGAAAGTCTCTCGGAGTCTCTATAAGCATGAATGCATGAAGATGCAATAATGGTGACTCATTCCTAACCCAAGACTTTTTAGTCAAGCGCAGCTGATCTAGGTTTACATTATCATTGATTAGGCTGAAATATTTTCAAAAAATGGATACTCTTTTTAAATCTTATTTATTTCACAAACAATGTATTGATGTTTTATCTCCAATAAACATGGTCACTATGTAATCAAAGGGAATGCACCCTAGAAACTTTATTGTCACCAAGTCGGAATAAGTCCTAGAATATATTTTTAACATAAACAATTACATCGGTAGCAACTACCAGGATGTATATATAAATTGAAATTATTGTTTTACCCCTTTACAAACGCAAATTGTGTATGTTGTGAAGTCTGCATCGACTGGCTTCATAAATGATAAAAATGGTTTACGTTTGGCTGAGTCAAGATACAAGCGCATAAAGCCACAGGCCCTATATCCAAAACCAAAATGCATTTCAGAAACTGCTGTTGGTAGTTCAAGAAGACCGCTTAATTTTAAAAAGTTTATTATTAAAAATATTTTCCGATAACTTGAAGTTTATTACATATGTAGGCCTAAAGTATTGAACCTAGAAAATTTTGTTAAAATTCAAATAGATCTATTGAAATAAACAATTTGCGAAAATATATTGATTTTTGATCACGTGTAATTTTTGTGATGGGCCTTTATTAGACTAATACAATGTACATTGTAAAAACGAATAACTTACTACATGTACCGAGATAGTGACAGCTCTTTATGGTTGCAGGTAATTCCGTGGACAATGCCACATGAAAAAAAGTCAAAGGGAGGCTACTTGTTTATCTCTTTTTATTTTGAGTTACTCCTGTTCAAATGTAACCTGTTCAACTTCAGGTCTAAGGGAAAGAGGGCATGCTGCTGAGATTAGCAAGTCAGTTTATAGTAGAGTACATTCTTATAGCAAAGACCTGGACATAAAAGTGAGAAGCTTGCTGAGAGAGTGAGGTCTCCTAATGAAAAAAATTAGCCTGAGGGTAATGGGGGGGGGATATTTGAATCCCCACAATATCACTCATATGACAAATCATTACAGTACTGATGTGTGACAAATAACAATGCAGATAACTTAAGTACTTGTTTATAAGACAATAATATATGCAATGAATATGCCAATAAAGATATTACAGGGATACAGTAATATTTAAAAAGAAATTAATAATTGAATTGCATTTTCATTTATTTTAAAAAATCGGTACTGATGTTTCGTGACTTGGTCATTGGATTAATTCATTATACCGGTATGTCCCAATTGTAAATACATGTATCATAAACGGATTGAACTGGTAATTTGTATTGTATGTCATTTTTGTTTTCTTGAAATAAAGTATAGAACATCATTTGTATTTTAGGTTGTTGTCTCTGATTCATTCAACGTGGTATCGAGTCGGGGGGGGGGGGTTATGGTAAGGTAATATTTTGCTTGGTTTCAAATGACACAACGATTTTTTTCACTCCGAAAACATTTTGGAAGACATCGGCGTTGTCACATGACAAAGATTCATGATATTTTCACGTGAAGTTAGTTTCGTTTATTATACCTCTACTATTTTCCCTATATAAAATTAAGTGATGTGCGTGTGTGTGTATATTAATAGCTTAATCAGCTAATCCTCGTGCTTTAGTTTTTGAGCTAATCTCTTCGTCGATAGCTAGTCATGCTAATCCTCGTGCGTTAGTTTTTTTTTTTTTTATAATCCCTTTCTAGTCATGCTAAGTCGCGGTTATCCGTAATCCTCTAGTTTTTCAATAAATATAAATTTTGATTTTATTCAGTTATGAGAATATTGATTAGTTATATAATCTGTAAATATTAAATTTTTTTTAAAGGTCCCCCCCCCCTATTTCAACACGCACATGTCGCAGTCAATCATAAGAAGGGGAAGTGTAGATTTTTAAAATAAAACGTGGTACTGAGAGAAGTTTGGTAAAATTTTCACTTTGATTTATAACGTTTTTATCGTTCATTGGTGGATTTATATAAATTAAGTAATTTACATTAAATAATTGGTTTACGTGCTATTTCCGTTTAACCACCTTCTCAAGCCCTTAGCTAGCGAAGCTGGTGGTTATCTTGTTTTTTAACTTTTATAATTTTAATACTTTGAAAATCTTGTGTTTTCATTTTGTTCTTTTTTTTTTTTAACGAAAAAGCTAATTTTTTGTCCTTTGATGCTTCGCAGGCACGAAGCAACAAACGGGGGGGGGGGGGGGGGGCATTCAACATTACCTATACTATTGAATATGTTTATTGAAAGGTTTGTGCCCCTCCCCCATTTCTTACCATAGTAAAATGATGTCAGGGAAATGTAGTATTGTTTGCAAAACAATTGGTAG